CACTAGTCTACGACAACAGACCTTTTCAAATATATATTTTTTACATGGAATCTGCTCGGATCTGTAGACTAGCATAGAATAATGTTGCATTTTTTTGTATAATATAGAATTCATATTTTTCTCGGATATGGCTTGATGTTCATGATGTTGACTTTAGGATCTTCTGGTATTTTATTTATTCCATGTACATGTATATTTCTCCCCATACTGTGCAAGTAAGTGACATAATTAAACTACATGTAGAACAGTGTGTGACTGAAGAAATAATATGACTGAACTTTCTTTAATATTAGTACTTTTTGATACAAATGATTATCTGGGACAAATTTTCCCAACAGAATTGCAGAAGGCATTTTCAGGTCAGAACAAAACACTTCTTCAGATTGATATCTGTGTCTGTGAAGTAGACTAACATCGTCCAAGCTTTTTGATCCCAGGGATCCCTAGCCCATGTTTTTGTAGACCCCTTCTTGTGGTGTCATGTTAGCTTTTGTCTACCAGTATAAAGTGTTGCTATTGTTCATACTGTGTGCATGACCAGGGCAGAATAGAGCATGACAGACAATGTTCACAAAAGGTCCAATTATCCACTTGACTTGACATTTAGATGAAAGGGTAGAACAGACAACAAAAGCCTGTTCCTACCACATCCTCCTATAGCTAATTACCTCGTCCCTGCACCTCTACCTCACTCTCCCTCCCCCACTCCTCTTTTTGGTGGTGGTAGTTGTTGATTAACCAGAGATCAAACTCCAGCGCTTAGGGGTTACCTCGTAAACAACCATTGTGGGCGGAGCCAAGGACTCAGAGTCTGGTATATAACAACCAGCCTCTTGCTCTCACCTCTATAATCTTGGAGTCGATTGTGCTGGTGTACCGAAACCCAGAGGAACTCTTTGCGATCATTGTTATACAAGCAAGCTTGGCTTGGAGGATAGTCGAGCATTCTGTGTTGCTTTGACGCTAACTTGTTTGAACTGACGTTGGAGTTGGGAGAGAATTTGCGATGTCTTTGACGAGGACAGCCGTGGTGCTGTTGGGATTGTTGGCTCTTGTCTATGGAGACCATCATGGAGAACATGGTCCTCCTGCTCCATTTGGCATGCCTGGGATGGGGGATGGTGAGCAAATTCTTTTCTTCCCCTTCCCTTCTTACTTTCATCAACCCTCAGTCATGAATTTAGGCCTGTTTTATGTGTGAATCTTTTTATAGTGTAATGATTCAAGGTGTGATTCAAGCCCTTCGCATGCAAGCCTCAACCCTTGAAAGTTCTTACTGGGTTGTTTCAAAGTTTAATAAACCTTTCTCTCTTTCCAATTCTCAAACACCTAATCCTTCTTTTCCTGTCTAGTTGTCTTATCTATTGTAAATGGTGTACTTGATTCCTCCTCAGTCTACAGGGTGATTGGTAGAAAAAAAAATTTGTTTGATCTTTTTTTTCCTTCAAAACCATCCTTCATATTCTTCTCTAGCTTAATCTATCTACCTGCAAAACAGAATATTTTTCAAAATTCACTGGAATAAAATGTGTATGTATCGTAGGCCTACAAACTGTATGCATAATTTGAATTTAGTAAACGCAATCAAACCAAAACGCAAACATGTTAAGGCTGCACTTCCTACATCACCCATCATGAACTTTGCCCCAATGATCTTTTCACTTTTTAGCCATTAATCATGTGGTTTTCATATTTGATCTAACATGTAAGTTACATGTATAACATTTTCACTTGCTTGCGGTAGGTAATGTTGACTATATGTTTTGCATGTCCAGTATATAGATGAAAATGAAAATAAATATAGTTTACTACTTGAATCAGGTACTGGAATCAGGTACTGGAATCAGGTGTTTAGTGTACATAAACATGAACTTGTCAATAAATAGTCATAGTAACCTTTTATGTGTTTCAGTCAGTAAGAGAAAAATAGTGTTCAAAATTTACCTTGTAGCAGAATGCACTATGTTGTGTAGACACTTTGTCTCCAATACCTTCTTATATTAATCATGTACAAGTTAGTAAAATTATACATGTATTTACAAATTTTACATACAATCTTGTAGTTCATGATAGAAATGTTTGTATAGGAATTTAAAGGAAGCTTTGGAAAGTGGCGAGATAGGAACATTCTCTGATGGGAATTGGGATATTGTTCCATTTCTTTGAAGCAGCCACTGTTATATTTTGGGGAATAATTTAGTTTATATTGAGCAATATTTCCTCCATACTATTGAGCAATATAATTTGTTTTTGGATTGTTGAATCCTAATACATGTAATCAATGAATCATTTCCTTAACAACAATTCTAGGACACTGTTTCATATCCTTTACTCTATTGATTCAGCACTTTTATCGATCGTATTCTAATTTATATGTAATTTTCCTATAAAAAGGAGAATTCAGTTACATCAATCATGGAGTTACTATGTATGTTGCTAATCTACTAGATACAAAAATAATAGTTTTGTGGAGTTTTTTATATATATACAGACGACATGCACCCATTTGTTCTTTGACTGTAGAATATGAAAGAATATACAGGTACAGGTATGACGCTCTTTGTAAACTAAACCCAGTTTGTTAAAGGTTCAGCAATTGTTGCATAATAATTGTTTATGTCACTGGTAGGTAGATTGATGAATAAGCGAACAAATTGATGTAGATTGGCAGTAGTAGAATGTTTAGCAGTAGAAAGTTTAGCAGTCAAATATAAAACTGAATGCATCATAAATGGCATGGGTTATCTGTTTAGCCCCTAATCTCTTCTCTTATTAAAGAATCACAAAGGTGGAATCAGAGTATATAGATGCTGTTATCAACTTATCTTGATTTATGTTTGGGGACTTGAAAGGTTGATGTTTGATCAGTCACTTTGGTCAGACATTTCAAAGACCTGAGCATGTATATTCAGCCATTGTCATGTTTATACACGATGGAGATTGAATTTGCATACAAAGTAACCCGATTTGTTAGTACCAGCTGTTTGAGTATGTACACTTTATAAATCAAACAGTCTGGCCCCTGGACCTCCCCCATATTTTCAATTTTACGATGATGTAGAGATGGATGTCTTGGAGCGAAGCAAACTTAATTATAATTGAATTTATTGAAAAAGAAAATACATGTATACTGGCCTGTAGGAATTCAAAAAAAAGAAAAAGCAGTGGTGTAGACAATGTATCAAATGTAGTAGGGACAGGGATCATTTTACTTGACCTTCCAAATTCCCAAACCTTTGTGCATATGAGGGTACGTTTATGCTCAATTTTGAATGCAGAATAAGCAATTTGAAAGGCTAACCGTAAAAGCTCATCGTAATCACAGTTCCACGGTGTACGGTTTATGCTCACTTCTCTGGCTCCTCCAGGCATGATTCTGGCTCTGCAGCTGGATTCGCAAACCTGCACTGCGCATGCTACGTTGACCCCATTTAAACGTGTTTACAAATGATTGTAATTATTTGTATGCTTTCCCAGAATTGCTGATATTGCAGAATCGCCGATCCAAAATGCACCTTTTTGTGAGTTTACGATCGCCGTTTTTCAGTGATTCTACAAAAATGAGAAAGGACGCAACCGTGTTTTGAACTAAACGCTTAACAAATGCCTCATTCTGGCCAGAAAAAGTTGAGCATAAACGTACCCTTAGTCAAGCTTAGGTGTAGACTCACATTTATAGCAAGTCTTAATATTCAAGAGAGTATAAGTAGTAGTCTAGCTACATCTACATGTACATGTACTAGACTATTGGGTGTTGCAAGAAAGTTGAGATTGATTGTAAGTTGCAAAATTTGCAGCTGATATTTGCAGCTGATATTTGCAATCGATTGCAACTCAACTTTCTTGCACTGCCCCACCAGTCTCCTAAATTTTCTAGGATTTTGTTAGGATTAAAGTTTTAACAATTAAATTAAGTTAACTAGATCTAGCTTTTATTCTCTCTCTCTCTCTCTCTGTCTGTCTTTTTAATGGGGCATTGCATGTTGGGGATTTGCAATTGATTGCAACTTCTTTCTTGCACTGCCCCATATGTGTGCTTTCTTTAGCATGCTTGATAACTTATTTAAATAGAATACTTAGAAAGCTGCACATGTATGTTGTAGATGAGCAAAATATCCTTACATCTTACCAGCTAGGATTTTAACAAATCCTCACATCCTGATGAGCATCCTGGACAATTAGACCTATTAAGAGGATTAGAATTAAGATGTTAGATACCTAGACTAGGTAACTTGTTATTGTTTCCATGGTGACAGGACACTGCAAGGCTGTACATGAAAAAGGATTGGTTCAGCTCTTTGTATTGAGATACACACCCCACTAATACAAAGTATCATAATACTTAGCGTCTCAAGTTTTATGATTGTAGAATTTGATCTATACTGAAGATGCTAGCCTCAGTGGCCAGATGTCGGGGATATTTGATATGGGGAAATTCACAAATGTTGAACCAATAAATAAAATGGAACACTTTCACTCCGCCATACTAGTGACATTTGACATGAACTATGATACCCCACAAAGTATCCATGACCTATTTATTGCACCTGTTTTGTATCAATATGAGACATTTTACAACAGATTTTTCACATTATCCTCCTGCTCTAGCTTGCTCAATTCATGATCGATATAAAGATTTTTTTTTCCTTTTGCTATTTGTGTAATACTGATACAAATTTTATTTTCAAGCTCATTGCTCCTGCTGTTATGTTGAAATAAAATTTGAAATGTTTTAAATTTTGATATATGTTTTCTGCCTTTCCTTTTGTGTTGGTCTCATGGCTAAATGTTGGTTTTGTTGGATTGTGCATGGATGATGAATGTTCCCTGCTGTGAAGTGAGATGGATAGTGCTTTGATTGTATGTGATGGTGCAGCGGTGAAGGTGGTGCATATTGGGTAAGAAGATCCAGATCCGGGCCCAGGTAACAGAAGGTACTCACAATAACTTAGCATACTTTACTTAAGATTCATGACGATTCCTTATCATTATCTGAACAGAAGTACAGGAACCAGCCAATGCAACACGAGCCCCTCAGAGAATAGGTCTAGAGACTACAAGCGTTCCATCCCCACAGAATGTAACTGAACAAACAGCTAGTGAAATTCCTCAAGAAGGGAGTGAACAATTCACCGAGCAACCTCAAGGAGAGGTGACACAGAATGCGACATCACAACCTTCAAAGCCAAGTCCAGTTGAAGAGAACACAGTTACTCCAAGTGCAGGAGAAGAAACTTCTGATGCAGGAAGTTCTGGAAACAGCTCTGTCGCACCGGCTTTGACTGAAGTTGCATCTAATGCAAGCGAAGAGTCTGTATCGCAGAGCCCTGGGAATGTTTCTTCTACAGAAAATGTTACGGAGAGCACTGCAGCACCAGAGTCAGGTTCTGTTACATCCAGACATGATTCATCAGGCACAGCAGCTCCAGATACCCAAGGGAACACAACAACCACAAGTCCAGTTGAGGAAGTTACAAGCAACTCTGGTGCAATGAGAACTAATGGTACTGAATCACCTAGTGTAGGGAATGGAAGCTTCGTAACACCATCCGCAGAGGAAGGGTCTACACAGAGTCAAAATGAAAGTACTACTACATCGGCTCCAGCAGAGCCGGACACTTCCTTAAATAGCTCAGTTACACCAGTTGCTGTACAAGAAACAAACACTACTGCTGGGGAAGAAGCAGTTACACCTAGCTCAGGTGACACCTTGGGCAATACAACAGTTGCACCCATTAGAGTAACAGATTCACAAAGCAATGCAACAAATGCACCTTTGGATGCAACAGGTGCACCAAGTAATACAACAGAAGCACCTAGTAATACAACAGAAGCACCTAGTAATGCAACAGAAGCACCCAGTATAGCATCAGATGCACCTGGCAATGCAACAGTTGCACCCATTAGAGTAACAGATTCACAAAGCAATGCAACAGAAGCACCAAGTAATACAACAGAAGTACCAGGTAATACAACAGATGTACCAGGTAATACAACAGATGTACCTAGTAGTGGGGATCAGGGTACAGGGCATGTCCTAATGAGAGGAGATGGTACAGTTCAGCAAGGTATGTCATCCCTGCATGGGGAGGTTTGTTCAGATGCAGGGGTCGATCCCTCATAATGCAGTGCTACGCTTAACCCCTGAACCTTTGGTACTTTATTCATTAATGCTTGATAAGGGTGATTGAAAGTTCAATATTTGTGTATGCTTGTCAAATGTATCCAGATCTAAGTGCCTGCAAAGGTCAAATGATATTTACCAAATTTAGTGGCCATCTGCGAAAAGGTGGGATCTGTTGCAATAAGTTATACATTTCAAGCCATCAATATTATTTCATACCAACATTACATGTGTATAATGATCAATCTCATGCAGATATGACATAAGAAGTGAAAAGATAATATATGTATGTGTACATATACATGATACATGTGTACACAAGTGTAGGAACAAGGACGTAGTGTATACTTTTCATACATTTAAGATTACTGTTACAGGCAGGGACTAGGGGGGGGATGCACGTCTGCATCTATGTGTACATGTTTATGTAGTGTCAACATGCGATTGTATAGTAATTCAATTCCTCTATCTTTTTTGCTTCTTACCTGTTTTTCATCCTTCACTTCCATCTAGTTTAATGTAGTCTTTAAAGTTTGCTCTGATTCTGTGACAGAAACTCAATATCGGCCAAATTTTAATTTAACATCTTTCATTCTAATTGTTAAATCTCTAAAGACCAGATGTCGTTATTTTCATTATTTTATCTGTACTAAAATATCAGAAAAGATGCATAATGTGGGTGCTCACCTAATAAGGAGAGAGAGAGAGAGAATACTTGGTACTTGGTTGGGTAATCCCTTTGGCAGCTCACTCAGGAAGCTATACTGGGATGAATAGCTAGGTGTTCTGTGGTACTAGCTTTGTAGGATAAACAGTCATCAGAGTGGTGGCTCTTTCGATGAACCTTTGGGTTGAGGTTTAAAGTCAAGGTATGAGATCATCACTGTAATTTAAAGGTATACTGGAGTATTCATGATAGAAAAATGATTCCGTGGTCGAGTGGATACGTCGCTGGATTGTCAATCACAAGGTACACGGTTCGAGTCCCGCCGCGACACTATTTTTGCAAGACATTGATCCACATTCGTTGATGCAAGATGACTGTATGTAACACTGCTTTTAACTTTTAACACTAGGTATCAAGCCAGGAACGTGCCCAGTAGAAGAAACAGGAGGATTCAGTATCTGTGGTGGAGTGCCTTGCCTAGGTGATGAAGACTGTACAGGAACCCAGAAATGCTGTGAGAGGAGCTGTGGAAAACTCTGCATGGCTGTGGATCTTCAAGTTGGTGAGTTTAACGGCTTTATCCGACAATTGCTCTGCATCATATTTCCAACACAAAATTCTCTGCGTCATATTTCCAACACCAAATACTAACACTTGCCCTAACCCTAGACCAACCATAAAACTCGATTGCAACCCTTACCCAATAATTTGATAAATCTCGGTTCACCGAGTGTAATAACAGTGCAATCAAACTTGCTAAAGTGACCACTGGTCAATCCTTGATAGGTATGGTTTTTTGGAGGGGCTCTTTTTGATATTCAACAAACTATTTTGTCCCTTACTGCTTGATAAGGGAGATTAAGAATTCAAAATTTGTGTATGCCTGTCAAATGTATCAAGATCAGTGCCTGCAAACATCAAATGATATTAACTCTTTGTTTGCTTTGTTCGCCGATTTGCACGGACGTAGGCGTGCCAACTTCGCATTTTTGCACAGATGTATACGAGTCAATTAGACATTCATAATACCGCTCGCAGTGTGTAGCCACGCGTTGCGTTTACTATTGTTTACATTGTATACATCGCACACTTTCCGGTAAACTGTTTTTCTTCATAGTGTTACATTCGAAATTACCGTGTATTTAGCGGTTTTCTTTGGATTTTTTTTACTGATGTTACGATGGCACCTGCTGGAAAACGTCAACGTGTGTTTAGTGTAGAGGAGGCTCGAGATCTTGTTACTATGGAAGCATGGAGCATGGACTCTGATTCCGACGAATCGAGCAGTGACGAAGACTCTAGTGATAAAAGTGTTCCCTGAGAGTAGACTGATAGAATAAGAATGAATAAAAATTAATGAAAGAGCTAGAGATGACAGCAAGAAAGAGAGTAGACTGATAGAATAAGAATGAATAAAAAAAATGAAAGAAGGAGATAGAGATGACAGCAAGAAAGAGAGTAGACAGTGATAGAATAAGAATGAATAAAAATAATGAAAGAAAGAGATAGAGATGACAGCAAGAAAGAGAGTAGACTGATAGAATAAGAATGAATAAAAATTAATGAAAGAGCTAGAGATGACAGCAAGAAAGAGAGTAGACAGTGATAGAATAAGAATGAATAAAACTAATGAAAGAAAGATGTATCCTGTCTTGCCGTCATCTTTATATCTTTCTTTTATTATCTTTATTCATTCTTATGCTATCAGTGTTTACTCTCTTTCTTTCCGTCATCTCTATCTTATTATTATTATCATTTTCCTATCTATATGTACCCTATGTCTTGCCGTCATCTGTATATCTTTTTCTTATTATCTTTATTCATTATTATGCTATGAGTGTAATACTCTCTTTCTTGCCGTCATCTCTATCTCATTATTATTATCATTTTCCTATCTATATGTACCCTATGTCTTGCCGTCATCTCTATATCTTTCTCTTATTATCTTTATTCATTCTTATGCTATCAGTGTTTACTCTCTTTCTTTCCGTCATCTCTATCTTATTATTATTATCATTTTCCTATCTATAATTATGTACCCTATGTCTTGCCGTCATCTCTATATCTTTCTCTTATTATCTTTATTCATTCTTATGCTATCAGTGTTTACTCTCTTTCTTGCCGTCATCTCTATCTTATTATTATTATCATTTTCCTATCTATATGTACCCTATGTCTTGCCGTCATCTGTATATCTTTCTCTTATTATCTTTATTCATTCTTATGCTATCAGTGTTTACTCTCTTTCTTGCCGTCATCTCTATCTTATTATTATTATTATTTTCCTATCAATATGTATCCTATGTCTTGCCGTCATCTCTATATATTTCTCTTATTATCTTTATTCATTCTTGTGCTATCAGTGTTTACTCTCTTTCTTTCCGTCATCTCTATCTTTTTATTATTATCATTTTCCTATCTATATGTACCCTATGTCTTGCCGTCATCTCTATATCTTTCTCTTATTATCTTTATTCATTCTTATGCTATCAGTGTTTACTCTCTTTCTTTCCGTCATCTCTATCTTATTATTATTATCATTTTCCTATCTATATGTACCCTATGTCTTGCCGTCATCTCTATATCTTTCTCTTATTATCTTTATTCATTCTTATGCTATCAGTGTTTACTCTCTTTCTTTCCGTCATCTCTATCTCATTATTATTGTTATTTTCGTATCAATATTATCCTGTCTTGCCGTCATCTTTATCTCTTTCTCTTATAATCTTTATTCACAGTAAAGTCCTTTCATTTCATATCACTATTTCTCTCTCATAATGTCTCTCACGTCCGTTCTCCATATTTTATTCATTGCATACTCCACTCGTCAATCATTTCTGATAATAAGCTCTCTCACAATAAAGTAAATGGAAAACAATGCAATATAGTTTATATTTTAAGATTGATTCATTCTTTCTTTGTATATCTATGGCTGTGATAAATGTACTTGAAATCAATTTTATTGAGGGGTAAAGAAGGTGAGAGAACAGATGCGGTGAACATTCATAATGAGACATTTCAATAAGATGCTGATTATGTCATGTATATCACATATAATATATTATGCCTATACCATTTTTACATGCTCATACCAGTGGGCAAAATCAATAACATTCTCTTATTTCTTATTGACTTATCATGGCACAACAAAGAAAAACATCCCCACGACGTCCCTTTTCATGCCCCGCTAAACCGGACATTGACAATAACCTGGGGTAATAGGGATTTCAATGGGCAGATTAGCCCATTGTCAAGGGTGGCTGAGCGGGGTACTTTCAAGTCTCTCCCTATTGAACTTCTTTTCTTCAACAACCTAAATACTAACCTTCTGAATTGTTAGAATACTTGAGCAAGGTATGTAAAGAAAGGTAAGAAGTCCACCTTTCTAATAGATTCGATTTGAAGATGTCTTATCATTGCTAAATAAGAAATTCTAGAGGGATAAAAAACTGCCGTAAATAAGAAAAATTAAACATTATATAATTATGATTATTATAAAAATGATAATTCAAAATATAACAAATGACGGTTCATCGAAAAGCACGTTTTCCGGTCTACAACTTTGCTGCACAATATTTTTCATCATGATCATCCAGTGAAGAGTTATAGCCTCTTGATTCAGCAGAGTCAATAAAGATTCCCTCGAAATGTGTGACCCTAAAAGAATGTGGCACAGGGGGTTTTTTAAGTGGCGCATAAAGAGTTAACCATATTCAGTGGCCATATGCAAAAAGGTGGGATCTGAGTCATCAAGTCCTTTCATCAATCATCCATATTTCAATATCGGCCAAGATTTTAATTCAAATTATTTCATTCTGAATGTTAAATCTCCAAAGAATAGATGTCATTATTTTCATTATTTTATCTTTTTTATCCATGTCAGGAGGAGAAGGTGGTGGACCAGATGAAGATAAACCAATCATTGATTATGGAGGTAAGCAGAATAATCAATTTTTATCTAAAAGTAAATAATTTACCATGAACAAAAATTGGTAGATTGATATTAGGCCATGTACAAGAATGTGTATGTTTAGCGTCCCTGCCCGCTTCCTTTGGGGGGGGGGGCCGCTTAAAAAAAAAAATTAAAGAAAAAAACATGAAAAGCACTGCTAAAATGATCTATTTCTGATTTAAATAATAAAAATGCCGGCGGCCATCTTCAAAAATAGCCCGACTGTCAGGAAAAATGCGGCCACTTTGAAAAAAAGAAAAAGGGGTGCCTCCTCCTTCCTATTTTTCAAAAAGGCAGGATGCTAAGCATGCTTTTTTTTGGGGGGGGGGCCTTAGGAGACATGGAATTACCTTCTCAAATTTTATTAGACATTCTGATTGTCCATATAACACCTTTGAACAATTAATAATAAAGGGTCCCGGTATTGTAAATAGGGGGTAGGAGTGACAATTTGTTACTATTATTGAGAAAATGATATGTTTGGTGAGGGCATAATAATATCATGACCAATATGGATTCAAAACAAAATCATTCAATTATGTAGAATTCATTGAATTTCTTTGAAACAAAAGGACTTGCTATGGTGTTGTTGATCATCGACTCACTCAATATTTCATATCTGCACTTTGAGATGAAAACAATAATTATCAGTCAAAGTTCACGTCATATCCGATCCTTAATCAAATATGCATTTTAGGAAGTATGCACCGTTATCAGTGGAGGGGCATATTAATCTTTGTCTGTTTATTGGCCTGTATTGACTTAATCGAGAATTGTGGACTTGACACAATTGAAGGGAAGGGCACTTTGCAGTCAAAAAGTCTCTCCTGCTTGACAGATCTAAAGTACAATTGTTTGATTTCTCGTTGTTTAATTTGATCGAATGATATAAAACAAAAGTCTGTTCTGTTGACAGATCTGCAGTGCACTTGTAAGTTGAATGATGGAGCTCAATATCAGCAAGTCTACTTGTAGGCCGGCCTGAGTTGACCTCAGCAACCAATGTGTTCTTTTCAGCTTGACAAAATTTGTGGAAAGGGCAGTTTGTTTGATTGATCATCAGTACACATATTTGATTTTCTTGTTGTAGAAATTAGGAGCTGTAATAAAAAAAAATGATTCCACATTCAACGTATTAGTCTAGAAAAGAAAAAAAAGTTAATATATATATTTATATATATACACAAACACATATAAATTCTGCATTGGTTTTTAATTTCTCAGTTGATTATGGGCTGTTTTGATTAAAATTGCACTCTAGAGAGAGTCAGAGAGACCCACATATGTTATGATTTTTTAAGAAAATACATGTACGCAATGTAGAACCAGGCACTTTGAAATTAGGTTGGCCTCGATGAATTTCACAGTAGCCTTTTTTCCTCCAGATTTCAGTAGTAAAAAAAAAGATATGGTAGGTCATTCCATTAAAGTAGGATACGCAAACATTAATATGGCATGGTCAACCTGTTTTGTTATAAATGATAGTTGATTGCACCATCATAAATTATCCTTTATAGGCCCATTAACAGATACAAGCAAGGCATAAATGACCTGTATCAATATTGGTTGTAAAGGTTTCATTTAGTCCCTTTTCTGTACTAAAATATCAGAAGAAATGCATTTAATGCAGGTGCTCACCTAATAAGGAGAGAGACGTTCTGTGGTACTGGTAGCTTTGTAGGATAAAAGTTGTTATAGTGGTGGCTCATTAGATGAACCTTACGGTTGAGGTTTAAAGTCAACGTATGAGATCATCACTGTAATTCAAAGGTAAACTGGAGTATTTACAGTATTATTGGAATAAGATTCAGACCAACACAACAAAACTATATAAATTCAAATTAGCAATGCTAATACCTGTAGGTAAAAAGTAAAACAGTTTGTGGAGAGCCCTGCATGTTTTTTTCCTGTTTTTCTTTTATACTTATTTATGTTTATATTTTCTCAGTTGTTTAGTTAGTTTAGTTTGTCAGCATTTAAATGTATGCATTATTCTTATCTGACGAGTTTGTTCTTTTAGGACATACTCATAAGCTACTCATGAGGGACCTTAAATCCACAAGCATTGCTTTCAACCAAGGTCACCTCATCGTTCTATTGTAACGCCATATTATGTTAAACTTGTTATATTCATGTCATATTTGTAAAGTGTGTTATGAAAGAAAGATAAATAAAACTTGAACTTGAACTTGAACTTGAACTTGAACTTGAACTTGAACATGTATACACCATTGAAGGTGCTCCAATATTACCCCGGCTCTAGGTAGGCTACAGATATCAGTGCTCACAGCATTCAAGGACATCCTTGTAGTACCCATTTAACACCCGGGTGGAGAGAGGCTAATGTAGATTAATGTCTTCTCAGTCTACTTACAGATTGCCTTCACCTTTGGTTAGAGTGTAATATCTGTCTTTAAACTTGTTCATGTATAATTCTTTACTTAAGTAATATTTGATGCTTGTATTTAAAGGAAGTAGGAAGGGAGGGGGGTTGAGAGGGGAGAGGTAATAGGTCTCTTTTTAATGAGTGTACATGTTGATGCAAAGTGACTGGATGTAACATTGCTTTTAACTTATAACACTAGGTATCAAGCCAGGAACGTGCCCAGTAGAAGAAACAGGAGGATTCAGTATCTGTGGAGGAGTACCTTGCCTAGGTGATGAGGACTGTTCAGGAACACAGAAATGCTGTCAGAGGAGCTGTGGAAAACTCTGCATGGCTGTGGGTATGCAAGTTGGTGAGTGTAACAGCTTTATGACATTTGATCCTCGGACAATTGCTCCGCGTCATATTTCCAACACCAAATTCTTCACTACAACCCTGGACCAAACACTAACACTTACCCTAACTCTAGACCAACCCTAAAACTCAATAGCAACCCTAATCCAATACTCCTTACCAGACCCTACAAGGTACTTTACCAAGCAGGCCCTCGGAAACTAGGTCCATGTTCATGACAATCTTTCTCCTCCCAATCTATTGTGGAACATAGATACCACTTATCACTCAGTCAATCACTTGAGTAGCCTTAGAAGTGCTTGAAGCAGATCAATAAACAGTAAATACAAGGAATCTAAAGACAATAGATGACTTCATTTATACTTCTCTTAAGAAAAAATTTCCTTCATGGCAGCTTAACAGAGACTGCCCTACAAATTACCAAATGCATTGGCACAAACATGTACAGAACCATCGTCTTAAAATCATCACCCTCTGCCGTCCCAGGACTAAACTGAAAACTCTAATTTGCTGCAATAAATCAATCAAATCGTGTACAATCTTTCTTCTCTCTACAGATCCTATAGATCCATTAGTAGACATTGGTGGCCCAGTAGACGTAGAAGCACATCCAGGAGTTTGCCCTATGGACGTTGGTGGAAGTCCATGGTGCACAGGATTGACGTGCAATCATGACGGCGACTGTGCAGGCAATGAAAAGTGCTGCTTTGATTTTGAGTGCGGTGCAGAGTCCCGTTGCATGGCAGCCCCTCAGATCCGTAAGTATAATGCCGCCAAGATGCTCTCTCACTCACTGATCCATCATCAAGACTTACCTGTAGTTTATTCTGATGAAGTCTGTTCACCAGTTTACACTGAACTATGGAGTAGAAATGGGAAATTTAGTTTTGTTCATCATTGCTGTTTCTACACACACATATGTATAACAGGTATTAAAGGGTTCATGTCTTGCAGTAGAAGTAAACGTAACGTTAGCTGCCCTTGAGGGAGATATCAGAATATATTGTCCAAGCTCCAAACACACCAAGCTGATAAAAGATGAGTATGATATGTTGTTTCTGTGGCAGATTAGTTGACAATCCACTCCCTTCCTTTCTACCTGAAGCAGAAATGACTAATATTGTCAATTGTGATATCAGATATTAACATGTGACAGCAAATATGGATCCTTAATATGCATTGTACATTTCAAGATAATGAAAGGCTAATATTAAAATTAATTCAGAATCTCATGGATATCCCTCTCTCCCTCTTTGTATCTTTCTCTATGTATCTCTCCACCTGTCTTTCTTATCCATCCTTCGATCTATCTATCTCTTTTCCCCTCTTCATCTTTTGACTGCGTGCTCTATGCAGAACCTGTTCCTGGTCCTTTCGGACCTTTTCCAGTGGGTCCCAAGCCCGTCGTTGGACCAGAGACCCGGTCCGGTGCATGCCCCGATGAGATTGGTGCTACCCCCTTCTGCGGGGGCCCCCTCTGTATCTATGATGGAGAGTGTGATCCCGGAGAAAAGTGCTGCTCCAGCGCCACGTGTGGAGAGGGGCTCAGTTGTATGCCAGCTCCTCAGATTCGTGAGTCAAAGCTCTTTCAAAATACCAGGGGGTTGTTTCACAAAGATCCTAAGTTGAACTTATCTCTAAGTTGGACTTAACAATTATGGAAAGCCGTTAGCATCTTTGAAAATATTTTGTAAAAGATATTTATAAAGGCATCAAATTTTGATTCAAATCATTCAAATTTTCTATTATCAAGGAGATTTCCTGTTTTAAAGTCTAAAATACTTGAATTTTTGTTTTCGACTATATTTATTTTAAGGTTACAGATGGCTCTCCATAATTTTAAAGTCCAACTTAAGAGTTAAGTTCGACTTAGGATCTTTGTGAAACACCCCCCAGATATCGACTGTGAGGAACCAGAAGGGCGTTAACAACTACAGTGCGATTAGCAAATGCCCTTCTGGCTCTCACCCAATGTGCTTCTTCTTTTGTTTCTTTGTTCTTTCGTACTGTGGATTTCATGGTCATCAAATTCTCCTTCTAGCCAAAGAAATCGCACATGATGTAGTCTTAGGTTGCTTGGCGTACATTAATTCCTAAATGATTTCATATTTTTTTCCAGTGAGAGTTCACCCTTTTCATACATGTAAAGGTATTTGATAGAATATCTCTGTGCACTGTCTGCCATCGCATACCCATAGATATTCACCATTGATCCCTGGGAACCTTGGTTATAATGATGATAATAATGATGAAAAATAATTATAGTAATAATTCAATTTATATAGAGCCTTTTACAGAGGATACAAGGCACTGTCCTTAAGTCTGAGGACAAATTAAGAATAATTGTACAGGTTGGTTTTCAGATGTTTTTAAAGAAGTCAAGTGAGGCACTATTTCTTAGAAATACAGGGAGTTTGTTCCGTAGGCCTGAGAGGATTGAGATTGAAAGGATTTGAATTAACTGTGTAACCAATATATTTGTATTCTAATAGAGCCTGTGCCGCCTATGAAACCAAGAGAGGGCTCTTGTCCGATGATGGGTAACTGCCAGGGCCAGGAGTGTGTGATGGATGGAGATTGCTTTGACAATGAGAAGTGCTGTGGAAGTGACTGTGGGTACCGCTGTTCTCTTTCTCTTTCTCTTCTTGGTAAGTCCAGGGGGTGTACGTCTCACAAAACTTGTCATCAGTGACAAATGACAATTTCTGTTATAAGCTACTGAAATCCTTGCTTCTGATTGGTTATCAGCAGATTTGTCACTGATTTTTGTCATTTGTCATTGAAAAAAGGCTTTGTGAAACGGGTCCCGGTTGTAATGCCTAGGTCACACCAAAACTTTTTTGTTTGTAGATGGTTAGCTCATTCCATACTTGGATGGTCCTTGGAAAGAAAGGCTGTACCGTAAACTGAATGCTAAACTGAGAACACCAGAGCTTTATTCATAAGCGATATGATGAAATGCCTTAAAATCAGTGCATCGATATGATGATGTGCATATACATTAATCATAGTGTGATTCATATTTCTGTACCTTACAACGCATAAACGCATGAATACTCTTTTGTTTGTTGTAATGCAGAGCCACCACCCCTTCCTGAGCTTCACCTTGGCCTATGTCCGCCTGTAGAGGGCGAGGGAACTTGTGGGGCCACAGTGTGTGTCCAGGACGGCAACTGCACCATGTCTGAGAAGTGTTGCGTCAGTGCCTGTGGATTCCACTGCACACCTGCTATCCCTTTTGGTAAGAGAAGTTTCTTTGAGATTTTTTTTTCTTCATCATTTGAATAAAATCGCTCACAATAGGAACAATTAAACCAACAAGTAAATGCGTTTAAATTTATGTAAGGAAATAGATGAATAGAAGCAATACAAATCCAAATGTTGAGGGATTAAGAGAGGCCATTGTAACGAGGACATGTCAATCCCAAACATGGTAACCAGTAAATGTTTTGTTAATACAGTTAGATACATGATCTGGGGGGCATTTCACAAAGTCAGTGACAAATGACAGTTTTTGTTAATAAGCTACTGAAATCCTTGCTTCTGATTGGTTATCAGAAGACTTGTCACTGATTTTTGTCATTTGTCATTGAAAAAAAGCTTTGTGAAATTGGTCCCTGATGTCACTATGTCAAAAGAAAAAAGAAAATAGATTCAAGATAAACAAAGACATTGGATGAAGATTTCTGGTACAATGGCTATTTCTGGCTTCCTTAATATCATTTGTTCAATTATTTTGGTATTTTTATTCAATGGCAAACTTTAGCAAGATCCTGTGGATGAGGTTGTGCAGTTGTAGTACCCCGGTATTAAACTTCTTGATGTCATTGAGTGTTTGAAACCTCCCGAGGAAGAAAGGTTTTAAGAAAAGGTTGAGTTTTGGGAGAGGTGAAAAATAATTTGTGAGCTTTTACATTCTTTTTATGCAAGTGTGGAAGAGTATCTTGAAAAGGTGTCCCCTGAAAAAAATGGATGATCAATATTTTCTTATTGAATATGTGACAAGTAATTGCTAAGAGTTGCGGACCACATATTTGTGTAGTCCCATATAAACATTCCCGTGTACAGTGCATGTGACTTTTAGCAAGACTGTGTCAATTTCTTATCAAAACGATAATTCCAAAACTTTGCAGTATACACCAATACTTATCTGCTACATGATCACCCTTTTCCAATCACTTCCACATGCTCTCTTTTACAATAAAATTGCATGTCCAGAACTCAACTTTATTTTTCACTCAAAGATTGCCTGCTGCATTCATTGTCATCATCCACTGGAAATGAATTTAATCCCTGATTTTGTATTATTCAATCACATCTACATGTAGCCCCCCCTGCACCAATAGAACCCCTAGTATGTCCCGGGGACCGCGTCTACCTGGAGTGTAACTCTGCATGTCCTGAATTCTGCGGCCAGTCCTTGGAGATTGCTCTTTGTATTCAGATGTGTGAGCCAGGCTGTGGTTGCCCAGAAGGAACCATCCATCTAAGCGAGAACTCTGATGAATGCGTTGCTTCAGACGCTTGCCCAGGTATTGATTCATTTAAAGCAGGACTGAACTAGTTGTTTCTACTTGCGCCCTCTATATAGCCAACAATGCCTAAGTGGTACCCGTTGGTCCCCCACGATCCCCTTTTTCTTATGTTAATTAAGAGCTTATTTGATGAGATAACCACCTGTCAGTGACCTTGCAGGGTGGTCTAATCCCTCCTGGCCAAACTAGTGCAGATGGGCTTTAAAATTGGTTTTGATAACCCCATCAAAGTACCCAGCAACTTTTTATACCAGCATTTTTTGCATTAGTAATATATATGGTTTGTTATCGAGAATGGGTGTGATTGTTGATTAACTATAGCTTATGAGTTTTCCCGCTACACATTTGGGCAACATATTGCACTATTAATTACACATATCCAGAACTCAACTTTATCTTTTAAAGGATTGGGTAACTTTGTCTCAGATTCCGAAACAACATCCTTGATTTAGCTCATTATGCAATTATAATTATAAACTTTTATGTCAGTCAGGAACCCCATAACTTTCATGTATAAACAAATTACCAGCTGCATTCTTGAGTGAAATTAGTGTCTGTGTCTGTTCAACCGATTCTAGTCATTCAATTTTTACTAATTGGCCAGTATTCCTAGAGCATGTGAAGTAGGTCAGGTTAAACTTCACAGGATTGTCTTTTGAAGATCACAGGAGTAAAGACAGTAAGGCTTAAAATGTTCTTATTCCTGGAGAGAGAGATAAGGACACCTTATACTTTCCTTGAGGTCTTTTCATAGACAACTGCCTGTCTAGAATACTTGTCTTGTCTCCTTTTAGTGGTCTTTAAACAGGTTTCACAGAAATACTATCATGTCAGAATTGCTATCAATAATAATTTCATTTTATTTCAATTTCATTAAATGATAATTTTCATTCCAATTTCGTCTTCAAATCCAGTTCCAGTTCCAATTTCAATTCAATGTACTGAACCACTGGTCTTCAACGAATGTGGGTCCGCGTGTGAACAGACCTGTGAGAAACCAGAGCTTCAGCCATGTACTAGGCAGTGCGTGCCAGGATGTTTCTGCCCTTATGGAACATTGAGGGTTTCGCTGGAGAGCGACCTCTGTGTGTCGATCATGCTTGACGCGCCTATTGACTTAAACTGCCCAGTGGGTAAGTCAGCTTGCTTTTACCCTTTGAATACTAAGCGTAAGGTACGTCATAACCTGTCAATACAGTGCGTCCCAGAAAAAACGAAACCGAGAATTATCGATGTTTTATCATTACTTAATCACAATTATAGTTAACAAATGACACATTTTTGGAAAGTTTAGATCCTCCTCTTTTATGTGATGCAACTCATATGATTCATATTTTCATGCATGAGCGATTAAAAGCAATTTGAAGAGAGGAAACCAAAAAGTCATTTGGCGGGCGGTATCTGAATTTCAAGGAGAAAATCACATTTCTAAAAAGTTCAATTTCTGGCCTTTCAAAGACATTGGAGGAAGATTCTGGTACAATGGCTATTTCTGGTTTCCCTTATTTTATTTCATAAATTATTTTGGTATTTTTATTCAATGGCAAACTTTAGCAAGATCCTGTGGATGGGGTTGTGCAGTTGTAGTACCCCGATATTAAACTTCTAGATGTCATCGAGTGTTTGAGACCTCCTGTGGAAGAAAGGTTTTAAGAAAAGGTTGAGTTTTGGAAAAGGTGAAAAATAATTTTTGAGCTTTTACATTCTTGTTACTCAAGTGTGGAAGAGTATCTTGAAAAAGGTATCCCCTGAAAAAGATGGATAATCAATATTCTCTTATTGAAAATGTGACAAGTAACGGCTAAGAGTTGCAGACCACATGTTAGTGTAGTCCCATATGAACATTTCTATGTACAGCGCATGTGACTTTTAGCAAGCCTCTGTCAATTTCTTATCAATATAATTCCAAAACTATGCAATATATACCAATACTTGTCTGCTACATGATCACCCTTTTCCAATTACTTCCACACGCTTTCTTGTACAATACAATCGCATGTATAGAATTTAACTTTATCTTTAAGTCAAAGATTGCCCCCTGCATTCATGGTCATCATCCACTGAAAATGAATTTAATCCCTGATTATGCATTATTCAATCACATCTACGTGTAGCCCCCCCTGCACCAATAGAACCCCTAGTTTGTCCTGGGGACCGCGTCTACCTGGAGTGTAACTCTGCATGTCCTGAATTCTGCGGCCAGTCCTTGGAGATTGCTCTTTGTATTCAGATGTGTGAGCCAGGCTGTGGTTGCCCAGAAGGAACCATCCATCTGAGCGAGAACTCCGATGAATGCGTTGCTCCAGACGCTTGCCCAGGTATTGATTCATTTAATGCAGGACTGAACTAGTTGTTTCTACTTGCGCCCTCTATATAGCCAACAATGCCTAAGTGGTACCCGTTGGTCCCCCACGATCCCCTTTTTCTTATGTTAATTGAGAGCTGATTTGATGAGATAACCACCTGTCAGTGACCTTGCAGGGTGGTCTAATCCCTCCTGGCCAAACTAGTGCAGATGGGCTTTAAAATTGGTTTTGATAACCCCATCAAAGTACCCAGCAACTTTTTATACCAGCATTTTTTGCATTAGTAATATATATGGTTTGTTATCGAGAATGGGTGTGATTGTTGATTAACTATAGCTTATGAGTTTTCCCGCTACACATTTGGGCAACATATTGCACTATTAATTACACATGTCCAGAACTCAACTTTATCTTTTAAAGGATTGGGTAACTTTGTCTCAGATTCCGAAACAACATCCTTGATTTAGCTCATTATGCAATTATAATTATAAACTTTTATGTCGGTCAGGAACCCCATAACTTTCATGTATAAACAAATTACCAGCTGCATTCTTGAGTGAAATTAGTGTCTGTGTCTGTTCAACCGATTCTAGTCATTCAATTTTTACTAATTGGCCAGTATTCCTAGAACGTGTGAAGTAGGTCAGGTTAAACTTCACAGGATTGTCTTTTGAAGATCACAGGAGTAAAGACAGTAAGGCTTAAAATGTTCTTATTCCTGGAGAGAGAGATAAGGACACCTTATACTTTCCTTGAGGTCTTTTCATAGACAACTGCCTGTCTAGAATACTTGTCTTGTCTCCTTTTAGTGGTCTTTAAACAGGTTTCACAGAAATACTATCATGTCAGAATTGCTATCCTCAATAATAATTTCATTTCATTTCAATTTCATTAAATGATAATTTTCATTCCAATTTCGTCTTCAAATCCAGTTCCAGCTCCTACTCCAGTTCCAATTTCAATTTTAATTCAATGTACTGAACCACTGGTCTTCAACGAATGTGGGTCCGCGTGTGAACAGACCTGTGAGAAACCAGAGCTTCAGCCATGTACTAGGCAGTGCGTGCCAGGATGTTTCTGCCCTTATGGAACATTGAGGGTTTCGCTGGAGAGCGACCTCTGTGTGTCGATCATGCTTGACGCGCCTATTGACTTAAACTGCCCAGTGGGTAAGTCAGCTTGCTTTTACCCTTTGAATACTAAGCGTAAGGTACGTCATAACCTGTCAATACAGTGCGTCCCAGAAAAAACGAAACCGAGAATTATCGATGTTTTATCATTACTTAATCACAATTATGGTTAACAAATGACACATTTTTGGAAAGTTTAGATCCTCCTTTTATGTGATGTAACTCATATGATTCATATTTTCACGCATGAGTGATTAAAAGCAATTTGAAGAGAGGAAACCAAAAAGTCATTTGGTGGGCGGTATCTGAATTTCAAGGAGAAAATCACATTTCTAAACGTCAATTAACGTCTGGCTGGAATGCTCCCCAGGGAGTGGAGATTGTTCACACAGTGTGTGTGCGGGCAAGCACTTAATCCAACGACCGGGGTAATGGTATATTTGTAAAGCGCTTAGAGACATTGTATTGAGCGCTCTGTAAAAGCTAAATATTATTATTATTATTATTGTCCTAAATGGTTTGATATTGACAGCTGAACCTCGACCATGTGAGACTGAAAGACGCATAAAGCTGGAAGAAAGAGGTGAGGCGGAGGGTGTGTTTATCCCACAATGTACTCAAGATGGATTCTATGCCATGGAGCAGTGTTACGAGGGCAATGGTACTTACTGTTGGTGTGCGGACCCCCAGACTGGAACAGTCCTCCCTGACAGCGAAGTCCATGGTGCTCGTGCAGACTGCGATCGTAAGTACATTCTTTTCACAGGACCAAGAAGGAGTGGCTACAAGATCAACGCTAATTTGAATAACACATTTCTTTTTTTGAAGGGGGTGGGGGGGGGGTAGAAATTTGAATTTTTGTATAAACCAGAAATGTTATGTTCACAAACCTTCACAAGTTTTGCAAGTAATCCAGGTTTCCTCAAATATTCATGTCACAAAATGATTGACTATTCAGAACAGCTTCTTGCCTCAAAAATTTAAGGCCATCTATAATTTTACATTGTGAAATACATTAACAATGAAAAGTAACATTGAAAGTAACCTATATATAGTGTAGGTACAATACCACTCTCCTACTATGTTACTCTGTGTTAGTATTTGTAATGAATTTATAAACAAGATATTATTTCTTTTTTTTTTTTCCTTTTACTTTCATCTACCACAGGCTTCATTCCTGACCCTTCACGTAAGTTTCATCTATTTTTTCCCCCTTTTTTTAATATTTTTTTTTACTTCATTCCTCTGTGAGATTGACAGTTTGGAACACTTCAAACCAGTCCTCAAAACTTACTTATTTCGGCAAATTAGAATTAGTGACTAATTGGACAAGCCTGCGTCTTTGATTTTTTTACAGAGACATATATCTTGTGAATCACCATTATCTTTCTTTTAAAAATAAAAATAAAAATCATAATTTTGCCCAAAAACGTACATGTACATGTGAATTTATTTACATTATAAGAATGATAATAGTGAATTCTTACAAGTGCATGTATATACATGGATGTACATATAGCCTTCATGTCTGTCGCACTTGACTTCCTGGCTCTCCTGTATTAACACATATTGCTGAATGTACGCAAAATCATATTTTACCAGTAGAATCAATGGAAATTCTATATTGTAATGATAAAAATTATACAAAAAGGTAGCTGGTCGCAACAAAGGTCCTATGCATGTGTACTTATTTCCTGTGTAGAAGTGTCATGGTCGAGTGGTTTAAGCACTTGACTTGCAATTTAAAGGTTGTGGTTTGATCCCCGATACGGCACTAATGTCCTTTGGCAAGGCATTAATCTTCATTTGCCACACTCGACCCAGGTGAGGTAAATGGGTACCTGGCAGGAATTAATTCCTTGAAATGCTAGAGCGCTGTAATGACCGCTAGGCTAAAGCCGGGGTGATAATTAATGCGCCTCGGAATAGAATTTCTAGATAGACAGCGCTATAGAAATGCCTCAAATTATTCATTATTATTATAAGATACAGAAATATGAAACGCATCGTTGTAAAAAGCTGCTGCAGCTTTACTGTGCTTTGTGCATGAGACTATAGAGATATGTGTATGCGGAGTAGTATAATACAGTCAAACCTGTCTATAGCGACCACCCAAGGGAAACACAAAAAGTGGCCTTTGTAGACAGGTTGTCTTTGTAGACAGGTTTCTTTAGTACATGATTCAATGAGAAACCATTTTCAAGGGAATCAACAAATGTGGCCTTTGTAGACAGGTGATCTTTGTAGACAGGTGGTCACTAAAGCAGGTTTGACTCTATGTTTCATTATCATGTGTATTATGTTTGCAGTTCTCAACCAGTGCCCCGAAGGCAAAGTGTTTGCTGATGGTGTCAAGAAATGTGTCTGTAAGTATTACATCTTTCTGAGATGATTCCGATAGCTTGTGAAATTTAGCTTGGAAAGAAACTGGAAGTAAAAATAATGATAAGAATTTATAATAATGATAATAATGCGGATGATGATAATACTTATGAGATGGGGCCATCAGAGTTAATATTGATTAATCTCGATATGCAGTCCAGTATCATAGAGATTTAAAAATATCTCACCATATATATGCCTTCTTGAAAAAAGAAGAATGTGGCAGAAGCTTACTTAATACTTATGGATAGCCATTTGTAGCCTTAAAATAAAATATATTCAAAAACTAAAATTCAAGTATTTTAGACTTTTAAAAAATTCCACATCAACAACATGAAATCTCCTAGATAATAGAAAATATGAATGATTTTAATCAACATTTTATGCCTTTAAAAAACTTTTCCAAAATATTTTCATAGATGCTAACAGCTTTCCATAAATGTTTTTGTAAAACACACCCAGGTCACTTGATAACACATGGATACTCCTTGTGCCGTTTTGATGAGACTATCCATTTTAGGATTGAGATGGAGTTGAATGTTAGAGAACCTTGAAGACGGTCAGTTTAAGGATACAAATGATCACTGCATTCTTTGTTAGCCATTTTTTCACAAAGAGAATTTTTTGTTCACCTACATACTTGTATAGATCCTGAGCCAGAGCCAAGGCAGCCAGGTATCCCTGCATGTCCAGGAGACTTTGTCCAGAATGACTGTAACTCTGCATGCCCCGAGTATTGTGGACAGCCTGAAGAGGTCGGCTGCATCCAGATGTGTATGGTTGGATGCGGATGTCCTTCTGGTAAAGTGAAGGCTAGTCTGGACTCTAATATGTGCGTTGCTCCAGAGGATTGCGCAGGTATGTACAAGCTCTTCTTCTTCTTCTTTTCGATTTTTCCCTTCTTTTCTCTATTCTTCCCTATTTTTTCCTATTTTTTCCTATTTTTTCCTAATTTTCTTACTCAAAAGGGGGAAATGTTGTTAGATCCCATTTCCCCCCCCCCCCCCCCCCCGAATCCTCTTTTTTTTTCTTTTTTTTTTCTTTTTTTTTTTTTACTCAAGGGGGGCGCGGTTAAGGGGAAAAAAAAAGAAGCTATATTTTGTAGTGCTCACTATCACCTCTGACATGTTCAAATGCGCTTTACAGACATATTGTGAACAGAAGAGGTGAGTGTTTAGATATTTTGTGATGGTATTGACAGATTGTTGGTTGCGAAGAGTTATTGGTAGGCTATTCCACAGTTTGGGAGAAGCAATTGTGAATGCTCTATCACCAAGGGTGGATAGCATCTAGGGAGATGGGTGGTTCAGCGTGATGCTTAGAGAGGAGCAAAGGGAGTAGCAGGATGGTTTGTATATGTGAACCATTAGGAGAATTCACATTAGGTACTAGGAGCTGGTGTTCGTATTTGCTGAATAATAAATACACTTTTTGTAGCAAGCAGTCTATATTTGCACAAGAACTGGATAAAATTATGGTGGGTTTCAGCGTAGAAGTTGTCACTGGAAGCAAAACTCATCCACTCTCTGCTACAGTATGTTTGAGACCATAATTCTCTATACTCTGCACTAAATCCAACACCAACACTAAACATGCAATCGCTCAGCATTTCATCCAAAGGAGTAAATAATCTAGAAGAGATCAGAAAAAACCACCTTAAAGGCACACTGTCCTACTTGTAGCTACTTGCTCCCTCTATATCGAAAACTTCCCCAATCGGTGTCTGTTGGTCCCCCATGATCCTCTTTTTTTTATGTTAAATGAGAGCTGAGTTAATGAGATAGCCACCTGACACAGTGACCTCGCTGGCTCGCTGGGTGGTCTAATCCCTTCTAGCTGAAGTAGTAAAGCCTGCGTTTAAACCAAATTACAAAAACGATTACAATCTGAAATCCACAGCTGGTGTGCCAGAACCAGAGCCAGAACCATTAACCTGTGTTAACAACTTGGTGCACAAAGATTGCGGAACGGCCTGCCCCTTGACATGCAATGAAAAAGAAGCAGAGATGTGTGTAGCCATGTGTGTCGCAGGATGTCACTGCCCCGACGGGATGTATCTGGTGCCCGGAGACTCTCCACGATGTGTGGCCCAGGAGGAGTGCCCAGAACGTAAGTCTTAAACATGCCTCAATGGGACGTCGTCTTGTATTTTAGAAAAGAAGGACATTCTGACATCTTTAATGCTAATGATGATGATGATGATGATTGTATGTGCATTGTATACAGCCCCAAAACACAGATACTTCTGTTATTAAAAAGGACTTTCAGGTATTTTTTTCATGGACAGCATTTACGAGCTCTTGCAGCGCAATAGAATATATCCACATAGTTATTGCGCTTTACAAATGAATATTATTATTATTATTATTATTATTATGTAATTTCCCAAGTTCATCATATTTCAAACATTGATAACTTTCTTATTATTGACCTGATTGTTTTCGAACTGCTGCCATTCTGTTAACCTCATTTTTCTGCTTTTATACAAATGAACTTTTCACAAGGTTTGGATTGAACAATAAATTTCTTGTCACTGAAAGTTTGTTGGGCTAACTCTGGGTAAATGATATTGTATAAATAGATTTTCATGTTTGAGTTACCATGCTGTAATCCCATACCTATTGATTCATACTCTTTCTCTCTCTTCTCTCTCATGTTTTCAACAGCATGTGATGAGGGATACAAGTACAATGAGGACCTGGAATGTGTTGGTAAGTAGGAAGTAGTGTACATCTACTGAGCTACTGTAATAGGGTAGATATCCCACCGCTGCCACTATTAATGTTGAGCCATTTACAATTTCATATTTAAGCACTAAATTGATCAACCTGCCTTCTTAAAATTGGAGACATTATTTGTTACAAGCATGTTTCTTCTATTTGCTGCCATTTCCTGATCATAAGTCATGTGTCTGAAAAGAATTTACAGAGTACATGAACAGAAATTGTGTTTTTAAAATCTTTGTCAAAACTTATGCTCCTCAATTTATAAATTCTTTGCTTACCATTTTTAAGGCTGACTGTTTACTTAAAAGTTATATACTATTTCATAGAAGATCCTTTTAATCGTGTAATTGAACTCAATGCAGTACTGTCCTGTCAATCTGTGAAAGCTTCTTATACTAAATATCTAGTTGTTTTATGTGTCTGAAAGAAATGTCGCGTGATCTATTCTAGGTCGACATATGTGCACATTGGTAGACAAGAGAGCTGACCAATAGACCAAAAAACATACAGTGTACCTGTATGTTTTAATGGTGTTCTGTTCAAAGTCAAAAGAAGAATACACTAACGGTAAAACATTTTATTCTCTATCAGTTGCCAATCCATGTCACGTGCTGCTGGCTGCAGTCCAAGCGAGAATGCCTATGCCTGGTCAGTTTACTCCAACGTGCACAAGTGAAGGGAAGTACGAGACGGTTCAATGCCATGGTAGTACTGGATTCTGCTGGTGTGCCGATACTGAGACAGGAGTCAAGAAACAGGGAACTGATGTCAGAGGAACTCCCGATTGCCCAGGTATCTAGAGCAATTACTCTTCACAGTTTTGATCTTTCTTAGCTTTGACCTAATATATTGCATTCTCCTGAACCAAAAATAGTAACATTATCTTAGAACAAATTGTGATGATTGATAATGTTCTGAAAAGGCTCCAACTAGACATCTCTCTGTATTTTATCAAATCGAGGGCAAAACTCAATTGTACATGTATTTCATGAAGATGTGTGATATTATGGTCTCATAGATAGTTACAATAAATATAATATTAGACAAAACAGCTTTCAAATGTAATGAATCTTTATTCTTGTCTTTCCAGAACCAGCCCCTACTTGTGATGAGGGATACAAGCACAATGAGGACCTGGAATGTGTTGGTAAGTAGGAAGTAGTGTACCCCTACTGAGCTACCGTAAGGCCAAAAAAAAAATTGTTTGGTTGTCCTCGATTGCTATTCTGGAGTAGGGGCGGGCGGGCAGATTTTTTTTTTTTTTTTTAACTTGAATTTTTTGTGTGTGTTTTATTATTTATTTATTTTTATTTTTTTTATTTTTTCCCCCCCCTTTTTTTTTTTTTTTTTAATAATTTTTTTTCCATAAAAAAAAAAAAAAATCATTGGGATTGTCAAGCATTTAAACAAACAAAGTCTATAGAACACTTTAATTTGGTAAAAGACTAGTTTAATGTACAATGAATATCAAGACCAACACAGAAAGTATTTTGATCTTTGAAATACAGCACCTTTTAAATCTCCATTGTACTACTTATAGCTACTTGCGCCCTCTATGTAGCAAACAATGCCTAATCGGTGACCATTGGTCCCCCATGATCCTCTTTATCTTATATTAACTGAGAGCTGATTTGATGAGATAACCACCTGTCCAGTGACCTTGCAGGGTGGTCTACAGACAGGTTTTAAAATGAGTTTAAGAATGCTCAGAACCTGACATTTTGACATAGAAAAATAAAAATGGCAAGTTCAATAAATACCTAATTGCGTACTGAAAAGACCAAACTGACAACGGGACGCATTTTGATCCTTGCAAATGCATAAAATGGTATGTTTGGCATTTAAGAATGCTCCCCCCCAACAAAAATTGAATAACAAAAAACAAAAAACAAAAACAAAAAATTATGAATTAAAAAAAAAAATATTAAAAAAAAAAAAATACGAGCGGCCCGAAAATGATGAGCGGGCGGTCGAGGACAACCAAATGATTTTTTTTTTTTGGCCTAATAGAGTAGATATCCCACCGCTGCCACCATTAATGTCGAGCCATTTACAATTTCATATTTAAGCACTAAATTGATCAGCCTGTCTTCTTATAATTGTAAACATTATTTGTTACAAGCATGTTTCTTCTATTTGCTGCCATTTCCTGATCATAAGTCATGTGTCTGAAAAGAATTTACAGAGTACATGAACAGAAATTGTGTTTTTTTAAATGTAACAATTTGCCTCACTAAATCTTTGTCAAAACTTATGCTCCTCAATTTATAAATTCTTTGCTTATCATTTTTAAGACTGACTTTTTACTTAAAAGTAATATATAATTTCATAGAAGATCCTTTTAATCTTGTATTGAACTCCTTCCAGCACTGTCCTGTTAATTTGTGAAAGTTTCTTTTACTAAATATCTAGTTGTTTGATGTGTGTGTTTGTAATTGAGTTCTTCATAAGTAGGATACATGAAGTGTCTGAAAGACATGTAGCTGGATCGATCCTGGGTTGATAAATATGCATATAGGTAGGCAAGAGAGCTGACCAATAGACCAACTAACGTACAGCGTACAGGCATGTTTTAATGGTGTTCTGTTCAAAGTCAAAAGAAGAGTTGAATACAATAATGGTAAAACATTTTCTTCTCTATCAGTTGCAAATCCATGTCATGTGCTGCTGGCTGCAGTCCAAATGGCAGATGAGCGTATGGTTGGTCAGTTTACTCCAATGTGCACAAGTGAGGGGAAGTACGAGACGGTTCAATGCCATGGAAGTACTGGATTCTGCTGGTGTGCCGATACTGAGACAGGAGTCAAGAAACAGGGAACTGATGTCAGAGGAACTCCTGATTGCACAGGTATCTAGAGCAATTACTCTTCACAGTTTTGTTCTCCATCTTTGATTTAAACTGGTCTACTTGTACTTAAATGCTGTAAGCGAGAAAAACAGCAAGCTTAGCAGAGCCCAGATAATATTGGAGCGCCTTGAGCACCTTGCATTGTGGATATGTGCGCTTTATTGATATCCAATAGTAATTATTATTAATAATATCATTATTTTTTATTACATGTATAGGGTCTGGAATGATTAGTTTCTTTATTACATCAGTAATGTATTGCATAGAGAGAAATTTAGGGCTGCATTGTTGAATAATCTTAAAATAAAATTAAATTTGAGTTCTGAGCATTAAATGCTATGCAAGTCAGTTGTCCAGTGTTCTCTATAGTTGCCCTTTAGAGTGCCTGTCAATGCTGGTATTCAAATAAAGAATTAATATTTAAAGCTGAAGCTGATTAAATGTTCACAAATTTCACGAGTGGTTCAAACCTGTGAAAATGTCATACTGCAGAATTATTGAATTAAGATTGAAACATCATTTACTTTTTGCAATGCTTAAGTTTCTTGCTGTGAAAATGGCTGATATCTGAAACATTATGGTTTTATAGTTTATAGGGTACCAGCATGAAACAAACAAAAATGAAGAGTTTGGGATGATTGGTTTCCTTTGATTTCACAAACCTGTTTCCTTGTTTATTTCTAATCAGCCCCAGTACCTACCTGTGAGGGAGAAATGGAGTTCCAGACTTGCGGATCTGCTTGTCCAGCAGTGTGCAATGAACCAGAACAGATTTGTATCTTTCAGTGTGTCAGAGAGTGTCAGTGTCCAAGTGGGACATTGCTCGTTCGAGAGGACCCCCCTCGCTGTGTAGCCTTCGAAGAATGCCCATGTAAATATCAAGGAGCTCATTACATCATTTGTACATGTTCAGGGCTACAGTAGAGGTGTTGTGGTTGAGTAGATACGTCACTGGACTGTGGATCACAATGTCCGGGGTTCGAGTCCCGCCGTGGCACTAATGTCCTTTGGCAAGACATTGATCTACTTTTTCAACACTCGACTCATGTGATGTAAATGGGTACCTGGCAGAAATGAATTCCTTGAAATGCTAGAGCGCTGTAATGGTAGCCATGCTAAAGCCAGGGTACCCACTATAATGATTATTATTACTGTAATAGGGTAGATATCCCACCGCTGCCACCGTTAATGTTGAGCCATTCATAATATAATTTTAAGCCCGTCTTCTTAAAATTGGAAACATTATTTATTACATGCATGAATGCAGTTGAAACTCCTCCATGCTGTGTAGCATTTGGAGATGGCCCAACACGTGAGTCACATCTAGATAGATGGAAAGGTTGGTATGTAGATGAAACAGTATGAAATACTCATGAAATTTGCAAACATTTCAAGCACGTAAAACTTTCTAGTATTGGAATATTGTACATGTACATTTACATGCAGTATGTTATTGTCAGCCTTGATTTCTTGTTCCATGCAGCACCCTGCGATAACGGTATGAAGTTTAGCGAATGTGGTCAGGACTGCCAGGACTACTGTGGTAGACCAGAGGAAGGTTTTTGTAACAGCGTCTGCAAACCAGGCTGTGTGTGTCCAGAAGGAACCATTCGTATTGATCTAGAGACGGATATGTGTGTTCCAAGAGAAGACTGCCCGGGGCTTGAAATACCTGTAGAGATTGAAGTAGAGTTTGGAGGTACGTATCTGTCATGTAGTCTTAACCTGATGTGGGAGTGAATTTGCTTAAGGTTCTAGTCACTGAATAACTCCCTTGATGCAAAAAGCCAAGCACTAGGGACTTTAGGAAAAATACAGTTAACATCTAAATTATTCATACCTTTACCAAGTTTTGTAATTTTTAATTATTAGAAACTGTGAATTGTACCAATTCATGTTTCTTGAGAGTGTGACATATTAAAGCTTACATCTAAAAATATTCAACAAAGGCCCTTAATCAATTAGTCCACCTTTTATTCTTGAGTTACGAAAAACAAAAAAACCATCACGTTTACAATGGGTATGAATAACTTAGGTGATAACTGTATAGCAAGGGCAAGTTCTGGTTGAATAGGGTGCAGACAAGTGTAATAAACATGCCATTGCATGCTTTTAAATTGCAATATTGCATTACTGTGATCAGAGCCATTGGTTGCCAACTCGGGTGAGGTCTGCACAATACGGCAAGTACTGCTATGTAAGGCAAGCTCAAAACAACAAGATATGCCATTTTTGACCAGGTGAAACCAAGTTGGCCATTACTGTGTGGATAGATGGCTCTGGCCAGGGGAAAAAAATCAATATTTATTTTTCGGGGGCTTCTTTTCAAGCTGGCCTGAATAAAAATAACATTCTAAAATTTGATTTGCATTGAACTCGATGCAATTTCAGGGGCTCTTTTCTGATTTTCGGGGGCATTTAGGGGGCTAATTCACCCCGAGCCCCCGTGCATTTTTTTTCACTGGCTCTGGCTTTGGTCATCCTACAATGCTGCATCGCTAGATATCACTTATCTTGAACCAAGGGTAATCAAATTCTTGGTGAGAAGGTATACTGTCCTTATGTCTGTCCATTTGCTATGTTTTCTTGAAGGTTTGACAAAAGGCCTGCATGCTTGACATTCCCACATGGGATCTTTCTATGATGTACCCCCCCCCCCACACACACACACACACAGACACATATTTCTTTCAAATTCAGACCTTGCATGGATGTTGGTGTTGATATACCGGTCTTATTGTAACTGTTCTGAGTCTTTACTGAAGTTACAGGGAAGCGTTTGTAAATTGAACATGTTTCTTTCGACGAAACAGGTATTCTCCGCAGCTGACATATTTTTGTATTCTGGAGGGTTGCTGTCAGCCAAATTAATGACAAGTGAGCTATAAAATCATAAGCAGTACTTTTTATTTTTCTAGGCTAGGAACATCCCAATTTACAGCCTACTGACTGCTGCTGAGGGGCTTAGTATTAGTTTTTTCTTCAATGAGAATGATTATAAATTTGTTATACCATGTTATTAATAATTGTTATATTTTATAGATAAAGTGTATGTATATGTCTTCTAACTTAAGTGATTTTGAAGGAACCCATTCCATTATCACCTAAACTTTCTAGACTGCTTTTCAATAATTGTTTTCAAATTAATTGTTTTCAAATTAATTGATAAATGATTAAAAAAATACCCTTAAAGGAGAATAAGAAAAAATTGTTGCCAATTTGAAGTAGGTAAGTCCTTTGTAGGTGCGAATATCAGTGATTGCACTAACCCTGATAGAATAATAAAACATAAAGGAAATGAATCCAGGAAACCAGACTGTGGCTTGTTCAAATTGCAGTTTCAGCTGATTTTGAGCTATTAATGGACCTTGAAGTTCCTTCCTTCAATAATGGTCTGACCCGTCTTCTCTAGCTGTCAAACTGCCATTTGCTTTTGTCTTTATCTGTCTGTTGTCAACTCATGTTCGTGCACTTCATTCTAGCCATCTTTTCTTTTCTGCTGCCATATATCATATAGACAGAGAAAGAGAGAGTTGAATTAGTATTGAAGTGATACATGTGCGTGTAGATAGAGAGACAAGGAGAGGGAAAGAGAGATAGCTAGATAGAAAGAGAGAGAGATGGATGGGATGAGAGAGAGCGAGGGAAAGAGAAAGAGAAAGTTGAATTAGTATTAAAGTGATACATGTGTGTGTGTAGATAGAGAGATAAGGAGAGGGAAAGAGAGATAGATCGATAGAAAGACAGACAAAGAGAGAGATAGATGGGATGAGAAATCTTTAAGATGGACAGCTGAAATACACCTCTATGGGGAGATAAAGTTTGAATTTGAGAGAGGAAAAGTGGTATATGAGAGTAGAAAGAGAGCGAGACAAAATGACAGAGAAATATCGAGAGAGAGAGGAGAGAGAGAGAAGAGAGAGAGGGGAGAGAGAGAAGAGAGAGAGAGAGAGAGAGAGAGAGAGAGAAGAGAGAGAGGGGAGAGAGAGAGAGAGAAGATAGAGAGGAGAGAAAGAGAGGGGAGAGAGAGAGGGGGGAGAGAGAGAGAGAGCAAGCAAAGGGGGAGTGGAACATCTACCGGTATAGTACATAAAGGTGATATAAATTGAATGACAGAGAGTGATATTTACGTACACTGTACCTCTAGATGTGTGTCAAGGTTGATATCAGGATATGCCAGCAATCCCACATTAGTTTTCACTTCTGTAAACAGGGTTCAATGTTCTATTCAGATTCACATTTTCAATATTTTTTTTTTAATCACTTTTATTATGTCATGTTTAGAATCACACAGCAGTGTGCAAATTACAGTGTATATACATGTTCATGTTTCATAAGACCAGTGTCAAAAGATTTATTGATTTTTTTTTCTTTCTGTACATTTCTTATGGTCAGATTTTCTGAAAAAAGGCACCGCCCGATCACCATTAAATTTTCACCACTAATTTCCCTTGGTCAAAAATAGAAAACTCCTCCCTCTCAGTGTGATGTTTCTTGCGGGAAGATTTTCAAATTTTATATAGATTGTCCCATTAGAGATATCTTCTAGATACATTAGTCTTAAGCCCAGACCTTCTGTGGTTTATGAGTTATTGCATTCTAAATTTTGTGAACAGAGCCTATTCGAAAGTTAATAAAAAAATTATTTTTGTCTTCATACTATACAAATTAATAATAAAATGATTGCTGTGTCATGTTATGCTTGTATCATGACTTTAGCCTCTTAATATATTTGACAATCTTTAACGCATCCTTCTTAAACTCCCACCAGGTGTTGGACCGGCGCTCATTTTTGTTGACTGTAGCGGAAGCAACCCATGTCTGAATGGAGGTACCTGTGAGAGCGAAGCATGTACATGTCTTGAGGGATTCAGTGGAGATTTGTGTGATACTTTTTCAGGTATGTAAATCTATTGTAACATACATTATAGTGCTTTTGAGATTCATTGTATGTGTCAAATAAGAGTTTGCTTTAAAAGAAAATAACATTTACTTAATAATAAAAGATTAAAGTGACTTGGTAACATTGTTGAAGGTTGATGAAAAATCTGCCTCCTTTTTGTATGAAATGTTACTAATCATATTCCTTCTACTGTACTAACCCTCTAACATGCAAAAAATCCTGAACAAATTCTCAAACCACAAAGATATTTATGGTTTTCTTTGAAGGCCACACTGTGCGACACTTTAAATTCTTTCAATACTTAAATGTCTGGAAATTTGTGAACAAAGCCTATTTGAAAATTCATTCATTTGAAAATTAATGTAAAAAAGTTCTTTTTGTCTTCATACTATAAAAATTAATGATAAAATGATTGTCATGTTATGTTTGTATCGTGACTTTAACCTCCTAATATATTTCAAGATTATTGTTCTAACTTATAACCTAGTCTACCTGCTTTCTAATTTGAAAATCTTTAACACATCTTTCTTAAACTCTCAGCTGTTGGACCGGCACTCTCTTTCGTTGACTGTAGCGGAAGCAACCCATGTCTGAACGGAGGTGTCTGTGAGAACTTGGCATGTACATGTGCTCCAGGATTTAGTGGAGATTTGTGTGATTCAGGTATGGAAGTCTATTGTTACATACATTAAGTGCTTTTAAGATTCATCCTACCGGTATTTGTCAAATAGGATTTTGCTTTAAAATGAAATAACATTTACTTGATAGATTAATGTGATTATTGTGACTTTAACCTCTTGATATATTCAGAGACCATCATTCTAATGAAACAAAAATTAATTCATTTGAAAATTTATATAAAGAGTGTTTCGACCTCATGCTTTATCTAATGCGCCATTATTTAGAGGATATGTGTGTGTGTGTGTGTGTGTGTGTGTGTAATTGGGTTTTACAGATGTGTATCAATCAGTTATGATTATTTACCTCTGGGACTGACCTTTAACGTCACCATCCGCAAGACGTGACCCAGTTCCGAAACGGGGTCCGCCTGAGCCAGTTTGTAGGCGGTTCTTCAGATCTGCTGCAGATCAACTAATTTGTCAGCAGTGACAAATTCCATTCTGGTTTTATTTGCTTTTGTGACAGTAAGGTTACCTCACAGAAATGTGTACATATTTTATTTTTTAGAGCCATTTTGGAGCTTCCATACTGAAGAAAATTGTGCTCTGCTTCCATGTACGGTATTTCTTCTTCATTAATTCATTGTACATGGTTATTCTAGTTAAAACAGGAAAGTTCTCATAGGGGTTGGGTTGAAAAAAAGGGTTCAGAAAATGGGGAATATGAATGAAAAAAACATTGTGTACAAATATCTGTTACACAAGTACTGTACAGACAAATATATCTTAATATAGGTTTTATGACCCGATTGAGCTCTGACCTTGTTTGTTAAGATGATAGTAAAAGAATCCTGGGAAGTCGTAGGTCTCGTGTCTCCCAGCTATTGTTATTAGTCATCGTATTTTAGAAAGTTAATAGAAAATAATTAACCCAGATGTGAGATTGGATTGAGGTCACAGGAAGTTACAACCTGGACGGACATTCAGACAAACGTCACCAGACACCACAAAAACCTCAACTGTTACAAAATTGAACGGTCATCCGAGTACTTCCCGCAAAGTGTAAGATTAACAGATTCCTCTGGTCACCGCGAAACCCTTGATACAAGTGATAATTAATACAGGCCTGATAATTACCCAGAGTAAATCAGTTTTCTGATTTTTGGGGATATTTTTTTTTAATTCTTCCCGATTTTACCCCTATTCTCCGGATTTTTCCCTTATTTTCCCTTATTTTCCCTTATTTTCCCTTATTTTCCCTATTTCCCCTTATTTTCCCCATTTTCCCCATTTCCCCCTAATTTTTTCCCAATTTCTTACTTGAAAGGGGGGGGGGGGAATGTATTTGATGCCATTTTTATTTGCTGAATCCTGTTTTAGTTTTTTTACTCAAGGGGGGACGGTTGAAGAAAAAAAAGAAATTTAGTGCTCACTATTACCCCTGTTAATATTTCTTGCCTTTTCCTGAACTTCTGAAAATTAGACCCTTTGTTTCTTTACCTAGCTACATTTTGTTTATCTGCTAAGTTAAAAGAATTCAAAAATATTGATTTCAAAGGACTACCCCCAAACCAACTGGGCATTTAACAATATTGTAACCACAAGCCTTCAAAACATTTCTGCTCCTGGTATAGACAGGGTTAATGTGTTGGTGGGTGAGAGAGAGTGGGAATAGAAACTGTGGTTAGGGAAGCAAGAGATTGGGCCGAGGGGGAGGGCCATGTCCGGAGCTAGGGTTACTAGGACTACTAAACAACTGACCTGGACAACGGGCTTTCTGTTGACACCTCTAAGCTCCTATCAGTCTTGCGTAGATCCTACGAGGTGCGTAACCTACACCCACATGTAGTTCGGTTGCGTTAGCCATGCTTGCTCACTTCGATTTATTCTACCAAAGAATCTTTTTATAAATATATACATAGCTGACAACCTTTCCTGTATTTGTTTTATCATGGACAAGTTACAATGAAAAACACATTTCAAGTGTAGGTTTCTGGTAATAATGATGTGATTACAACCCCCCCCCCCCAAAAAAAAAGTGCATATACACCATTTCAGTGTATGTGCCAAAAGTGTATCTCAGTGTATTATATGATATGATAAGAAGTGTTTTCCCTGAACTCTCATAATATTCTCCAAGGTGCTATTTTGTTCTTATTGTTCTAACACAAGTACACTTTCCTGTCAACTCTGATTTCATCTATCAGCTTAAGATGTTTCATTCAAACTTATTCAGCTCTGCCAACCCACTACATGCAGTATATTCATACAGCCAAAACACACTATTAATTCTCATAGGATCTGAAATTGGGTCAGGAATTGAAAGGTCAGCTGTTGACCCCAATCCTCTGGCCATTCTTGAATGATCATTGTCCTTCTTTCCCTAGCCCGTCAGTAGCAGTAAGGTCAAGGTGCTTGACATGACCTTAAAGTGTTGGTGATTGACCCCAAACAGGAGATCACCTGGTTCCAGGTGACCTTTACAAACCTTGTCCTTCACCAGTTGACTACATAATTATATAAACACACTTCATAAAGCACTTGTTTAGTTTAAGGGGTTCACGCAGTATATGTATTACCGGTATACAAATATTTAATGCTCCTAGGTTTAATGTAACAATATATATAAAAAACCAAGTACTTCTGAATTTCCTGAGTAATGTCATATTTTACTGAGGTTGTAGGCCAAGGTAGAAATATAATTGCACAAGGGAAAATCATCTAATGCACTTTTTTACATGTATTTAAAGTTGCTATATAGCGCACTCATGCACCCATAACAAAATATTGAATGTCATGTGAGGGCTTCTCTGCCAATAGAATGCTCGCGAGCAAACACTCTATGTTATGTTATGAAATACAACATGCAACATGCTTCTTCTACACCCACCCCCCTCCCCTTGCAAAAAAAAAAGACCACGCCGCTCCTGTCTCTCTGTTTCTGTCACTGGCATAATGAAATTGTTGGTCTTTAGAGTAAAGCTGACCCTGACCTAATGTACTTCTCTACTGTGTTGTTTAGCAAAGAGAGAGTGGGAGGCACTGTTGATGGTTTCATATTTGGATCAGTTTGTTGTTGTTTCCAAGCGTAATTGATTTTGCATGAGATCAGGCATGAAATTATTTGTAGGTGTTCGTTTATACTGAGTTTGTTTAAGAAAGGGAGTGTGCCGGCACCATGACAACTTATGTATACAGCTATACATAGGTACACATATGGTTACAATACAACTATACCAATACCATAACGCTAGCAGAGGAAGAATCTAGATGTAGAAATGAAGATTTAGTTAAGATTTGATGTAAATGTACTTGGACTTGCAAAATTTGTTGAATGCTTTTTTTTTGGCGATAGAAGTTTGATGCTGATTGACTTTAGCTACATGGCCAAGTTTTCTTTCCCACTGGACTTAGATAGGGCACTGCTTTTAGAGGAGGCATATACAATTTCATGAACACCATCCACTGAAATATTTGTTCTGTATATCACATTATTTCATTGTAATTGAATAAAGACAGTTCCTACAAAATATGTCATTTTTCTTATTTCTTCACTATTTTTCTTTCCTTTACTTTCTTCATTTCCTTTTCATTACTCATTCCTGCTCTTAAATTTCTTTCCCTCAGTATTTTATCTTCATTTTCTCCTCTATTTAGCTCTCTTTCTCATTTTTGAACCCAAAGTATAAAAATAATAACTATCCAGACTGTACAAGCTTGTGATTATGTGACATGTTCTTATGAAGTCCTTTTTTTTTTTCTACAGTTGTTTGTCCAATGGTTACAGCTACTACTCCGGATGACGTCGGACAGATTCGAACAATCATTTGTGATTTTGACCACAGTAAGTACTCACTGTCACCATTTCCCACTTACTCCAATACCTATGTCAAAAGCCTTACTCAAACCTAAAGTGTTAAACCGCCTATAAAGAGGCGCTGCAACAAAATGAAATGACAATAGCATAGTGTGCTTCACTTATTTTATATATTCACGCCCACAAATATGCAGGTCTGAAAGTAAATTGGAATAAGCAGACCTGATAAAAACCCGATTTAAATCGGTTTCCTGATTTTTTTTGTGGATTTTTTCCGTTATTTCCCTTATTTTCTCTATTCTTCCATATTTTTCCCAATTTTTCTAACTCAAAGGGTGGGAATGTTGTTAAATGCCATTTTTCCCCCCAATCCTCTTCTCTTTTTTTTTTTAACTCAAGGGGGGGGGGGCGTGGTTAGTGCTCACTATCACCCCTGAATAAGACATAAGTTATGAAACTGAATATTGTACATCAATTTATTCATGATAATGACAATATATACACTGATCAACCTGTTAAATATTTAGGAGTATCTGTAGGCGAAAAGAAATAAAAATGATTACAAGATTTAAACTGGAATTTAAAAAATTGACAAAATTCGAAATGTATTCAATATGGGGAAAATGAGAGATCTTACTTTTTAGGGTGGGATAATTGTTTTGAAAATGTTGTATACTGCAACTGTTGTTCCAGTGCCAAAACATGTTATACATATATTGAATAGACTATTGTTTTGTTTCTAATGGAATTCCAAAAAAGAAAGATTAAATAATAACTAACCAGACTGAACAAGCTTGTGATTATGTGACATGTGCTTATGAAGTCCTTTTGTTCTTTCTACAGTTATTTGTCCAGTGGTTACAGCTGATACTATGGCTGACAACAAAGAGATCGTTTGTGATTTTGACCACAGTAAGTACTCACGGTCCCCAATTCTCACTTGCTCTGATACCCATGTCAAATCCTTACTCAAACCTAACGTATCAAACCGCCCTATAAAGAGACGCCGCAACAAAATGAATATGCGCGCAGTGTGCTTTGCATTTCTTTATATCTACACCGATAAATATTTAAGTACGCTTAGGGAACTTCGTTACTTTTTCACTTAAATTGGTTATATTTATCCACGACGTTTATCACATCATGTGGGAGCCATGCCTAATTCCTTGAAAGTCTACCACTTTTGCAAGAATGCTAGATTAGTTTGTCTGACCCCTTCCTAATTCCTTGGTTGGTTTTGTGTACAAACTTTATCACTAGGTCAATCATTGTCAAAGACACTTTGATCAAGATACTGAATTATATTGATGTTCACCCCTTAAAATTTTGTAACTATTAATCTGTTCACATACGAAGATCTCACATACTTCTTTTGTGTGTACAGCTGCTAATTCAAGCTTCATGTATGGATGTGCCGGAAATACTTATTTTTGAACTCATCATGTTTGTTTGACAGTTTTCATCGTCAAGATGAGGCTTGATGGACGAGCGAAGATTCTGAATGATTTGACAACTTCTGTAAACCCGTATGCATCTGAACGTCCCATCTTTGGATTTATCTCAAATGATGTCTGTAACGTTGAGCTGACAGGTGAGATATATCTAAATCATCATCGGCTTAGAGACTGAAGTGGTTTTTAATAGAATCAATGCCCTTCTGGCTTTTAACAAGGAATGTAATTGGAATGAGTGATATTGCACGGTTGGTATCTGACCTAAAAAGAATCAGGAAATACCTTTAAACTCTTGTATTATGCATTTCGATGAAACATGTTGTTGTAGTTGCTTGCTCAGTATTACTAACTTTGACATTTGGCATGTTTTTTTTTTAATAGTAAACACATAAGTGAAATTGGAGATAGCTAATCAATGAATGTAAGTTTACTTAATAGGTTTTATAATCCTCATGTGTCCATGTAAATGTATGTTTGAATTTCACATCTGTATCAAATTCTTCTCATACTACATAAATAGACAATACCCATATTCAGACTGCCGTGAGCTCAGGAGGTTTGAAAACCCCTTACGCGCAATCAATATTGTCAAAATTCATGTCAGAAGGTGCATAACGCTCTAGTAAACTCACAGTAAACATGGTCATGAATTTTCATGTACTAATGATTCTTCTTTACCTTTTCTCTCCGCAGAGGAACGCTACATCCTGTTCATGGCTGGAGAAGCCGTAAATATGCCTGGCAAAAAATTCACACTTGACCACACCGTTCTTGCAATGCCCATGACTGGTCACATCAAGAACGAGATCCATGAACTCTGCTCTGTTGCCTAAAGAGGTCCCAAAAGATAACCTTGAGGGATTACAGTACATCTTACTCCACATCTATCTATGGCTCCATGAATGTATTCTCATTGTCTCATCCACCAGTTGATGTCTGGAGTTAATGAAAAAGAACATTTAGCTCTAAGAAGATGTAACATTTCCATGGAGAATTTGTGCAACAATACTTTCTTAAAACTACCAAATATGGTATTATTACGTATGAATAAAATAAAATGAACTTCACATAATTTGACATATGTCAAACTGTACATGTAATTGTGGTACGTCAATCATTAGCGAGGTTTTTTATTGTAAGAGAAGACTTGGTTCTTTCAACACTTGCAGGGCATTGTTAGAAATACATGTGCCTTTCAGTTTTTCACTTGTACAGTATATTTTTTCATTGCACATCTTTTTATGGGCACACAGTCAAATGCATTTTAAAAGAAAATTCACCAATTTTATGAGCAATTCAATTAATAAGAGTCTGTTTTAATGCTTGTAACTATGTCTATAAATACATGGTATCCCAAACCCTTTTACAAAAAGCTGTGATTAATATACATACATGTATTTTTACTCTCCATTTTGTAAAACCTCTGGCCCACTTTTTTTCTGCCTCTCACCCCTTCACCTCCCCCTTTCCCCCTCCCCATCTCCCCCTCCCCCTTTCCCCCTCCCCCCTCCCCATCTCTCTCCTCTCACTGTATCTTATTGAAGATTGTAGATATGTACATTTATGTGGGAGTGTGAAAATCATCAAATTTTGCAATAAATGCTTGTCGGCTTTATTTTGAAAGCTATTTTCCCTATGTACCTTTTGAATAGATGATGAAGATGATAAATGAATAATAATGCTGCAATGAAAATCGGAAGTGAGTGTAATTATGTTCTTTCTGTGACGAGGTAGTAACTAATTTATACAATGTCATATAAAGTACATGTACATGTATGTATGATGAGCTGGAACCAAAATGATGTTACATGTAAAAGTTATAAAAGTCCTTCACGCACTTACAGCAACCTTTTTCTATTCTAAGCCGATGACAATATGCCCATTTTGTATGATCGTCCTGTGGGGAGTATTCAAGTTTTGTGGGTTTTTTACGAAGATGTGTTGTTCCAAACTTCCATTCCATTTTGTACCATGTAAGGATGTATCGTCTCTTCTGCAAACCTTCTGTAAACTGAAGGATACTCATATTAAATGGAAGAGAGTTATAGCTCACAACACAATCATTTTGAGTCAAGTTGTCTCTTCTTTTGTTCCGATATTCTAAGCATAATAGAAGGCGTTCATGTGTGGAATGTAAACCGTGCATCTGGTGGTATGTAGAGAGAAAAAACAATTGGACAGTAATGTAAAGAACAATGTGATAAACACCAATAAATCCTTACAGATTTTAACCTCCTTTTATCGCATGGTACAATATTTTTGAACTACAAATCATTGTTTTTCTTGAAACCGAAATGTTTTATTATGCATGTAGTTTCAAGTCCATGAAAAATCGACACTCCCTTGATTTTCTGTTCCATACCAAGACGGCAGAAATATATGTAGCTGCTATAATTTCATAAACACATGGACAATCATCTTGAAAATTTTCATCTACAATTTTCTTAATATCATGACATACATTTGTATCAAAACATTCAAATACCATGATTATGATTTGCCTAATGAAAGTGATATGTGAGAAAAGAAGAGCTCTTTGTACATGTTTCTCTCATTTTACCCTTTTTTTCCCTCAATCTTTCTCGTTTTATTTCTCTAGTCTTTCTTTTTCTCCCATACACACATTTCTCTTTCCCTCACCCCCTCTCCCTTTTTCTCTTTCTCTCCTTCCCAGCCGCTAACCTAGTTATTCTCTCTCTCTCTCTCTCTCTCTCTCTCTCTCTCTCTCTGTGTCTCTCATTGAATACCATCATGCCTGTGATGATAAATTAATAATTATAGCTTCTGCTTCTGTTACCTTCACCTCTCTCTCTCTCTCTCTCTCTCTCTCTCTCCGTGCCTCTTTCTCTTTCTTTTGGAATTCGATTGGGGGACATTTGCTACATCTCTATCTCTATAAATTGATAATTATACCTTCTGCTTCTGTTACCTTCACCTCTCTCTCTCTCTCTCTCTCTCCGTGCCTCTTTCTCTTTCTTTTGGAATTCGATTGCGGGACATTTGCTACATCTCTATCCACATTTAACATGTAACAACAAGGACACATGGGCACTTTTGAAAAATAAATCAATGGCAAAATATTAAATAATAGATAGGACATTGATAAACTGCAAGAATTAATTTCATCTGAAATTGCAATTTTTTAATAAAAGTTCCTCAGTTGCAAGCATGCAGACTGCATTTAGCCGTGTTTGTAATGCTGCACATGATAACTTGAACAAAACAAATGTTATTTCAATTAAGTGAACTTGTATAAACCGCACGAAATAATGATTGCCCTATTTGGCACCGCTTTTTGGATTTATGTCAGTCTAAATTGTCTCCTTGAAATCATTAAGCTTCCGCTTGTAATCAACGTAAACAAAGTGATACATTAAAACACGATTTGTTCATTTCCTCCATTGTAAAACAAGTGGAGTCTGATGGTCTAGCCAAGTAATTACCTGTTTGATTGCTGTGTAGAATGAGCAATAACCATACATCAATAAATCAACAATCATTTCATATATTATGCTCCTACAAACTTTATTTTTATTGGAAATAAGTAGCTCAAATATCTTCAAACATAACCATGGCAAAGTTACATAAACACTAAAATTGTGCGAATGATAAACAGATGAAAAAGAAAGAGAAAAAGAATGGTAAGAGAACAAGAAAAAGAGGAAGAAAGAGGAGGGGACGAGGAGAATAGGGAGAGGGGGGGGGGGGGGAAACAAATTGTTGTCGTCTCATCAATATTATGTCCCCCCCCCCCCAGGCGCGTACCCAGGGGGGGGGGGGTTTGGGGGGTTAAACCCCCCCTTCAATATTTTTATGTGTGTAAACCCCCCCCAAAAAAAAACTCCCCTAAGACCCCCCCCCCCCCCATTTGTTTTTTTTTTTTCATTTATTTTTTTTAATTATTAAAATATAAAAAAATAAAAAAATCACCCCCATGGCTGACCTAAAACAGGTGACCTTACCCCCCAACGGGGCAAAATGTCAAATTTTCAAATTTCGAGACAAAAAAAAAAATGTCCTCTTACCCCCCCCCCCCCCCCCCCCCCCCCCCCCCCCCCCCTCATCGATTGGAGAAATAGGAAAACATGGGATAAGGAGAAGAAACGAGAACACGAATGAGAAAAGTAGATTATGAGACCACTCTAGAGCACCGATAGATAGCGTTATTAATTGGCATGAGCATTGTTTGATATCTAAATACTAAACTTCTTGAGTATAGGCCTACGTGAGATGCCAATTATGTTTACACATACAGTAGCTAATGGTTTATATTGTTCCTCTTCCTATCTATCTTTTTTGGTTTTGGTCACATTTAAACTTACATAACACGAGTCATTCACGGTCAACAGGTCGACATTAATTTCCTAGTTCATGGATAAATGATGTCGGGATGTAATTTTCGATAAACAACAAAATAATGAAGGTCACTTTTACAGCTACTGGTTCAGAACTCCCATGTTGTAACACGTCTGCCATAGCTTATTGCCCGGCCTATTCTTTAGTAATTACTGTACCGACATTTTCTCCACGAAGGCTGTAGTTAGCGTTAAAAAAAGAGAGAGAATCTTTTTCGTAACAACTAGAAAGCGTTGCATTTCGCATATATACATGCTTGTGAGAATTCAAAATTTACTTCTGCCTATTGCGTCACGAGAAGCAATAGATATATTTATTATTCAACATTTCTAAATGTTTTCACCTGTGATTCTGTCACGGGTGAATCAAATACATGTATGTCGGAAAGGATACAATCAGGGAGATGAAAGAAAGGAGTGGAAACTCCTGTAATTTATTCAAACGCATTCATGAGTTCTAAAGCGTAACAATGAGATGTGTAACATTCTACTTGGCTTTGAAGTTCCATGCTCCAAGCCGCGCTTCCACTGCGGGGAATTTCGGAGGCCAGGCACCAGTTATCACATTTATTACAACATATCAAATTACCGGCAAAATTTCAGTGTAAATTATAAACTTTATATGGGGATTGTATTAGAAATAGTGCATCAAATAATTTTTCAAATTCACAACCCCGCCCTTTTCTATAATTTGTGTGCCAGAGTTGGTAAAAGAAAAATAAGATCTTGAAAAAATTCTATATTTTAGGATGTTAATTTTAATTTGTGCATGTTTTAATGTCCCGTTATTTAATCCATGATTTACAATCTTCGATAACTTTAAGTTTGCTAATGCGTTTTTTTTGTGTGTATTTTTGCAGTTGGAAAACTGAATGGATGAAATTGTCAAGTTTGTGCTCGCTTGTTCTACTCATTACACATTCAACAATTTATTGATGAGAATTCATTGAAAGGGATAGCGAACAGTTGCTGGGATACCATTTTCTGATGTATATATAGAAATTCTAAATCCTGAAATTTCATGCGTTCTTTTATCTCACAACCTGGTCAACAGTTGCAGATTAGCGCATAACTTTTCGGCGGCTTGGAGCATGGGGTCAAAGGAAAGCGATTCTACTCCTTTCTTTCACCTCCCTGATACAATGAACACAAATACAAATCAAAAGCACAATTATTGATGTTGGTCAAAAAAAAGATTGACGTTATGACGATATGGTGATTTTACGACACCCTCTCACACCCCCAATCGAAGCTTTGTCGTATCCTTCATAATTTTATATATATCGTAGTGCCCCCGCGGCCCCGTTAATTATTACGGGACCCACATTACGTCACAGCTACCCGTAAGCGTAGTTCTTTCTGAGTAATTATTTTTCGAGCGGTATATGGCCTACCTGTATAAAGTTGATATAGGCTATAAATCACGCAATGATTTAATAAAAATCATCTTGGAAGCAATCAATACTCATGCCAAAGAGGGGGGGGGGATGAAATAATACTTGCTCTTCGACAATACCGAGAAGTTGCAAATACATGTACATAATGAACGGGTGTATATCTCCTTGTGTCAGCATGGTTGTATAAAACAAATAATGAATGTTTTTCATTCGTTCAACAGTGTGAATATTTTCATTCGTTGAAAGATTTACGTTAATTCTATATCAACTCGGCTGACGCCTCGTGAAAATAACCATTCATTATTTGTATAATATTTATGCGCGATACGATTTACAATGATTAAATGATGAATTGTGAATATACTGTATATTGTGTATACTTTTTTAAGGTAGATACTTGGGAATGCGTACAAAACGCCACACTCAAACGAAAAAAAAGCCCTTTATCTTACTGAGTCTGCTTTCCTTCCTAATCAGGCACTCAACAAAACGCTAGACATCTTTATTGACCGGATTTCCTCTTGTTTCTAACTGGTCTTCTCAGAACTTACATAGATAAGATTGGTCCAGCAATTAACCGAGGACAATTAATTGCGGACATCACGTCAAAAGAGATAACATTTGTATTCAAATAAATGCGCATTCATGCTCACACAAATGGACGTTTAATTAATAAAAGGCTCGGATCCATTTTCGGGATTAGGGGATGTAATGGGGGCAAACAAATTAATTGGTACAGCACTATGGGTAAATATATACACACAATATATACATACATAGATCCCGCATGAATAGACGCCCCTTTCACTGTCGCTGTGGCGTAGCACGGATCCACACATCGAGCGGGGGAGGGGCAACGCAAACACGGGGGGTGGGGGGGGGGGGGTGAATAAAATGCAAGATCAAATGGTGGGTTATAGAGGGGGTCGTAGCATATTCTTTTGATGCCATCGCTCCCCCCCCCCCCTCCCCGCCTCTATTTTCATCTCTCCCTGACTCTCGGTGTTCTGTTTTTCACGCGTGATTCGATGGGTAGGTGTGGGGCATTGTTATATGATACTGTCATGTTTCACGAACTTTATAGACGGGCAAGAGAGAAAAAGAGAAAGATAGAGAGCCAGAGAGCCAGAGAGCCAGAGAGTAGAAACTAGATAATTAAACAGATATGACTATTCTCAGCATGCTATCCAAAATATCTTTAAAGACGCATTCAATTACAAGTCAAACAATACAAAAAACCTAAAGAAGGCAGAAAATTGCAATTAGAGAAGTAAAGAAGAAAAACAGATGAGGAGACCGGGTGGAAGTTTTATGAGGAACGTTTTAGTAAAGCCCCGGGAGTAAAGCCCAGTTGGCAAACTATGTATATTACCCGGTTGCTGACCCTAATTATGTTGATATGAATATTATACATACCTCCGATTGCCACTGGTGTTATGTTTGCGGTAACGCCATCCTTAAACTTTGTTTAGAGACGGAAACCCTAGTCCGTCTCTCCCCTATTAAAACAAAATAGTCAGACATGGCGGAAATAAATACAGCCGATTTCTGGTTCTTTTGGTTATTTCCTGCTCTTTAGTGACAGGTATCACTAGACACTTATTTACACTGATAATTATCCGAGGAAATAAAGCCCACGCTCTGCCCTTTAATGTTGTGATTAACGTCGCTAATCTAAATCCGATGTGCACCACTAGACTTGATACTCTATCAAATTTTGATTAATTCTAAGAATGTTGATATGAATGGAATTGGGCAACTCCTCAATGGCAAAAGATTGGCAAAAGTGGAAAGCTAATTTTGAGGGAAAAAACTATTGTCTCAAATGGTAAATACATCTAAAAGAGTGATTTTTGAAAGTTAAAACACAAACATATGCCACAATTTTATGAATAATTCCGTTACCGAGACGATTTCAATTTCTTAGATTTTCTTGGCTAAGAAAATGATAGCAAGTGCATTGTCTGACTCGCAAAATATCAGTAGCCAACACCTGACGACTAAGATTAAAAGTGTACTGTGTCACGCATATAAGTTAGATAAAAGAAAATGGATGGAATTATATCAACGCCCATATGGAATTACTCATTTTGGGCATATATAGTCGGAAACAAAAGGTTGAAAAGTGAGAAAATAAAGATAAAAACCCATTCTGCCACCATAAGATGCAGACAATCTGAAAAAAATAATGAAGGCCGTCGGAATTCCCGAAATAATCTAAAGAAAAAGGGAAACTCCGTTTCGATGTCAAATAAACTTCGTTGGACAAAATCTAGTTTCTTAGCGAAGCACATTTTCCCTTTTTGGGGACTTCTTTTCTTTTTAAATGAACGTGGTCAGCGGTAACCATTATTCTCCAACGATTCCTCAAGGTAATATGTAATTCGTTGAAATTTAATTCATAATATATACAAATGTGTCACTGGAATCAGCTGTATTCAACCTTGATTAGGTTCTCATCTTTCTTCCTTTTGGTCCGATAATTATTTGTCATTCTTTCTTGTACCTTAACCCCCCCCCCCCCTTCACGAGCAAACTAATACATGACTTCAGGTGTGTCTCTTTGTCTGTCCGTCTCTCTCTCTCTCTCTCTCTCTCTCTCTCTCTCTATCTGTCATCTTTTCTCTCTCTAATCTCGCCCTTTCCTCCTTATTCTATCTCTCGCTCTGACTTCGACCAGTCCCCCTCTCTTTTTCTTTCTACCCCTCTTTCTCCTTGACCCCATTTTGTCCCACTTATCCATCTGTAACTACCCATCCCTTTATTCTTTCACTTCATCTCTCTTCATCACTTCTCTTCCATTCTTTATCACCTTGCCTCTCTCCTCATCTCATCATCTCCCTAATCACTGTTCATATGTTAGCGATCTTCGTCCCGCGCCCATCTCTCAAAGGATTGTGAATGAATAAATCTCAAAAATGAAACATTTCCATTACCACCCTCCCACGCATGGGTCAAAGAAATACTCCCGTGTGTACGGGAGAGGAGATAGCAATCAAGAAAAAATAACAGTAATTGTGTCGTAAGTTTAAAGGTATAATGCGGATTTATTTCATAATTTCATTAAAAAAAATACATACACATATAGAAATGTTTACAACAATTAATAAATTTATGATATAGTTACAAATAGGAGAGAAAAGGAGGAGGGCAGAAAAAAGATGCAACGGAAGATACATTGAAATAGAATTAAAAGGGTTGATAACAGAACAACATCGAGGGTTCTGTCGAAGCACCAACCCTGTTGATAAATAAAATTCGCAGTTCATAATGTGATAGCATTTCGGTTTTGTCATGTTTAGGCCAATAGGCTTTCATACTTGTTGTTAATTTGTTTGAAACCTTAATTGTGCTTTGTGGGTTAGTGCTATGACCATAATTAGGCAGCACAACAAGTATGTGCACAAAAGATACGTGACGATGTAGGAAGGTGTCATAAACCAAATGACTTTACGAATAGAATTATCTTAATATTTTACGGATTCAGTGTCGAGCGAGTCAAAACTAAATGATGTGCCTATTCGTATTTATCCAATGGTCTTTAAGAAATGAACATATTTATATTACTCAAGTAACCCAAACCATATACACATAAAGCAAATTTATGCAGTAACGAAATTTAAACATTATGTTGCGGATGTTCTTGATTTCTCATCAGTTCTAGGTTTTCTAGCTTTTTTAAATCTCACCTAAGCCTAAGTTTTGATACCAATATATTTCAATACCAGTTGATGACCACATAAACCCGAAGTCAGTCTAATCCGATGTGGAAACGGAAACAGAAGGGCTTGAAGACAGGTGCTGGTAGTCAACCTCAAAACTATCGGATACCAGAGTGGAAGCCGACCAGGAAACACTGATCTGGGACCGGTATCAAACAGAAGGTAAGGTGATAGCTGTCAATATATAACCCTATATACTCACCCTGGTTCAGTGTGCTTCGCTCTGTTTGATGAGATCCATGATTGGACCTATAAAGTACTGCACTAGTTCACAGAGGGTGCTGCATCGGTCGAGGAGTGACAACGGGTGGGTGCGGCTACGTACATAGCCTATCTGCTTTCCAAAGTGCTAAGCCTAGACCTGGAACTGGTGGACAGATTCTTTTTAGTTGAGGACTGGAAACCCATGGCAGCAAGATGAGAGTTATTTTGTCGTTCGCGATTTGTTTGGCGGCAGGGAGCCTGTCCCTCGCTCAAGATAGTGACTGGTGAGTTAATTATCCTAATTAATTGATTGATTTATTGATTCATTAATTCATTTTATTGAATATTTTCCATTCAGTCGGATACCTAAATGCGATGATACAATATGTAATAATGTATAAATACCAATATTTTATTACACTAATTAAAAAGTTCTGAAATACTAATCTATAATCAAAATTTATGTACTAAATTTGCGTTATATATCATTTAAAGTATCTTTATTAAAAGTATTTTCATTTTTCTGAGGAAGTGATTTGATTTGATTTGATTTATGTTGTGGTGTTACGGTTATTGTGTTTAATTCATTTGACTTCCAATCATAGGGTTGAGGGTTCGAATCCCAGCCCGGCTCTCATTTGACAAGGCATTAACTCATATTTGCCATTCTTTACCCACATGTAAATGTGTACCTTATAAAGTTATAATTATGATTGAGCACTAGTTACCTTTGCGGTTCATCTTTAACTTGAGTAATAATGACATCATGATCGCTTGTCCGAATATCATGCTTCTTTGCGAGCGGGCGAAGCGAGCGAGGAACAATTCGATACATTATTATAATGAAAAACGTAGTTTTGTCACACGAGATTTAAACAACCATTAAAGACTGCCCGTCTGTATTTCCAAATTGTGGGTGTATAAGTGAACTTCTGGGCAGTGAATATACGAAATGAATACAGCCTAAACTTTGACCAAAAGAAAGAAGAATACATGGAGTTGTTGAAAGGTTATCGCACAATAGTAGTTTTAATAGCTGTGCAAATCACTATTTTAGAGGTTCGCACTATGATATTTTAGATGGCCGCCCTGCCCCCACCCTTAGAAGTAAAGCTCACATCAATGAAACTGCCATCATTATTGTGAAATTGGCATGTCAATGTAGCATGATTTAGTTATAGTTATTTGTTCAAATGATTATTAGCCTACTCTTCAGTTGCATCCAACATTGATCAATTCTTTTCCTTTATTACGAATAACATATATATATATATATATGTCATTGATGAAAAAAATATCCTTGGCACACAATATTACAGGAAAAAATTACAAAAACTATAGTTTTCAAACATTGGGAACATTATTATGCTAACACTGGCTTGCATAGTGTAGGGACGTTGGCGCCGGTTATAATAGGGGCTTCTAACACTTTTAAAAGATTCGATATAGTATTAAGTTTTGTACACTCAATCTAATATTTAGAAACGAAAGGGAGATCTACTTCCAATACCCACTCTGTATTTAAACGAACTGGAGCCTATATTGAGCATTCAAAGTACTAACAGTTTTCGAGCGATTTATTGAAAAAGCAAACCTTTCGAATAAAACCGATCAACGCACCGTATCGAGTTTGACATTAATGATGGAATCCCGGTGGAATCCGCCGTGTAGCTGGCCTTCCAATTGGAAAGTGGAGGGGGGGGGGGGGGGGGGGAGAAAAAAAAGACCAAAAACAACAACAAAAGATAAAACGAAACAAACAAAAACGAAATGCCTAGCACATTATGTCTATATTAGGCGGAAATTCCACTTCCCCCTTTGGAGGGGATTTCGCCCCCTTTCTTTTAATTTCTGAATACGCCACTCTAATCTCGTTTTATATATCTTTTTAATTCTTATCATACACCCTTTTCTTTTCTTTTATGTTGTTCTTTTTTAAATCTGGGCTATCACATGTAATATCGTAGGCCTCCTGTCCAAAATGAGATTTCATTTTAAGATTTAGTATCCATACATCATTGTGGATTTACGGGTGACTGCAAATACTCTGTTCAGTATTGGCGGACTTAGGCTTATTTGACTGTAAAGGGGTGGGGACATCTGAAGTATGTGTCTTAAATGCCATTTTGAGAGTCATAATATTATGTCTAAAAAACATGTCTTGAAGAAGGGAAAAAAAGGGGGGGGGGTCTCATATTTTGGCCTGGGAAGATGGAACACGTAGTCTGCAAGCACAGACTCTAGTTTGACACTTCACCACAATTCCTAAAGCCTTGAGCAGAGCCTAGATAATTACGTCAGTCTTTGGCTGTGTCCGGAGCTAGCTGCTAAAGTACAGAGTAGTCTCATAGTGCAGACACTGTTACGCACGACGACTAGCTGACAAGGATTTTCGCCTGCAAACTTTAACTATGGAACACAATGTGTATTCATCTGAAAAATAAAGTTAGGGTGCATGTGCCCCTGCCCCCTAGATTTATATACCTCTGTTTAGATATTAAAAATGTAATATGAAAGTATCGAAAGAAGGCCTATTAAAGCAAACAGAGCTCTATGGGGCACTTTACGTGGGATGTAAACGAGTCTGGGTTAAGTAAAGCTTAACGGGGTCACATGTTATCTACTAGTCGATGAAGGAAAAGTATTCATCATACGCCCACTTATGGCTTAAAAAAAGAAATCATTATGATGACTGAAAACTTTGAGATGTGGGCTAGATAAGATTGCCGCTTCCTTCGATTCTTATTGCTCTACATAAAATAGCCCATTAAAAATATGTCTAGGAGTACTTTTTTTTTTATTTTTTAATGTAAGACATTCTCCAGTTTATGGAAAGCAGCATGCCTTGAAATTTTCATAGGATATGCCAATTTCTATTTTTCCATCAATATCATAATCATGTTATCTGCTTAAATTGTTCATCTTTAATTCTTAGCGGATCTTTGACAAATAACTTGCATCCCTTTCTGTTACCACCCTACCTGTATAAATGACGACTTAAAAAGCCCCCCCCCCCCTCCAAAAAAATAAATAAAAAATTATATTTTCAAAAGTGAATTCAATCCACATGTACGGGTATTATTGCTAAGGGAGATGGTCTCTCTTATTTTCCTCTCAAATTTATTACCCCCGAAAATGTATTGCATAATAGCCTGTAACTTAACGTCATAATCATAAATCGCACCAAATAGATGCCGGTATAGATGAATAAAAACAAGAAGAAAATACTATCCAATGAATGGTAAGTTGGAGTTGTAAAATGGGGGCGGGACGGGAGGGGTGTAAGATGACTCTGGAGAAAGGTAACTGCTGTCTTCAGCGGACTTACTGGATATGTCTAGTAGGCCTATTTGAAACGTGTGAATAATTCGATGACATGTTACGAATCCGAACGGCTGAATAACGGTATTGAAATTTGTGGATTTATTTACGGGCACTTAATTCTGGCATCGAAATGTTGAAAACTTTGTCAACTCCCCCTTCTCTTAGTCCAACATAATATAGGCGTAGTAATAAATAAGACAGGGCCGGTGCCGAAATTCTTAAATTATCAATTGGGCAGTCGCAACCTCAAATTGGATGTTTGTTTGTTAATTCTTATAATCTAAATAAGTGTAAAGGCCTATTAATATGATGAAGAAAATGTACTTTCATTTTATTGCTTGCTCCGTTGCTCGCTTTGCTCACTCGCAGATTATGCATGTTAATCGTGCCGCTATGAGAGATGACCCCAGCCCTTTAAAATTTGTCTACTATGGCAATAATCTGCTACTCAATATGGCATTGCAAGCGGACATGCGACACGAATCTATGGGGGTGGGGGTAATATGGGCATTTGATTTTCATATAGGCCCAGGCGCGTACGCAAGGGGGGGGGGGTAACCCCCCTCAATTATTTTTAATTGTAAAAATAAATAAATTCTGTGTTAAAGGAGGCCCCCAAAAAGCGCCCCCCCCCCCAAGCCACTGAACGAAATATCTGACGACGTAATTTTCCAATTTCCGGGGCAAAAAAAAGTGCATATATTAATCCAGTATAATCTAACTTAGGTACTTGTGATACAAGCATAAACATTTTATTTTGATATTGCAGTTTAATGTACTTTTGAATACATTATTGGTAAGAAGCCCTACTAAAACGAACGATGCGCGGAAAAACAAAAACATAAACAAAACTATGAGTTAAATGTTCTATGGTACTTTCCCCTAGGCCTATATAACAAAAACTTTTATTCTGTAAATATTACCAGTTGATACCTACTGGCTTGACGCCTTAACTTTGTCAAAATGATAGATAGATGAAATCATCCAAATAAACTAAACCGTGAAATTGTTATTTTTGACTAACGAGTTCGGATCGAAATCTCTCTGTCAGTACCGGTAGTAGGTGGGTCTTTCATTCACATCATGTGATCTTCAATCTTGACCAATGAAAATGCATTACTGGCCCATGCCATGGACCACGCAATTTAAGGCAGCCCCCAGGCAGCCTCGACCCCTCCGAGCTCCCCTTGTAGCTTACGTGTACCGGCGATCGAGGCGTCCGTCCCATCCGGGCTGGGGGCGGGCGGTTCGACATCGCGGGTACGGCGGGTACGGGCAGTCTGATTTCGAAGCGTTCATTTCCAGTAATCTTAAAGTCATACCAGTTGAAATTTCAAGATGCTAGGATGATTGATCAACAAGGCAAACACATCGATGACAGTGGTATGAGGGTGAGGAATTGTTGTAGCTGAAGTCGTAGAAATATAAACGAACATGATGTTGTCATTTCCCATGTCATCGGATTTCTGAATTTTCTACCCCAGAATTGTTGGGGGAGAGGGCCGAGGGAGGGTGCCGTGTTCGTAGGATAAGTGTTGTAATGTACGAGTGCGAATTCTGCAGCAGGTGGATGGATGGATGGTTTTCGACCGTTTCCGGTGGGGAGGGGGAGGGTATTAAATGAGCTAATGTTCGATCTTTTACTTTGGGACCTTTATTTGCAAAGTTGTAAAATCAAAGATTGCTCAAGAGTTACAGAGCCAGAACCTGCAGAGGCTCATAGGCTAGATCTGATGATTAACAGCTGCATGATGTTGCTTTACAGCATAAAACTAAGAGAAAGAAGGAGAAAGAGGAGAGGCCCGGCCCCCCCCCCCACTCAGTGTTATTTAGGGTACGCATATGCTTGTTCCCTCTTTTTGAAAGCACCCCCTCTTTGAGGACTGCCAACATTTCCGAACCCCCCTTACACGGGCTTTTCCTGCCTTGGAGACCCCCCTAAATCATGAAAAATGCTCAATGTACCCCCCTAAATTCAGAATAATTTCTCAGGAGTCCAAAGAGATGAGAGAAAAAAAAGAAATAACACCCCCTTTTTAAAGAAATCCCCGGGTGAAAAGTTAATACACCCCTTTTTTTGCAATTCTCGGGTCGGACTTTGTCGCACGAAAATTTTGGTAACACGCATGGGGTCTGTCCGTTCTCGGAGTGGGGGGGGGGGGGCCGGGAGGAGAGGTAGACAAATAAGGGAAAGAAGAATAAGAGAAGGAGGAGGATCGAGGAGGGGAAGATGATAAAATTGGTAATAGTGTGAGAGAAATGGTACAAAAATGAAAAGAGTGAAAACATCTACATGTATACCACTGATGTAACTTTGCCATTATAATGGTAACTACCATGGGCATCAATCCGAGCTTGAGCATTGGGGGGGGGGGGTACACAATTACGTGTCACCTTTATAACTGTTCAGCGAGCTTTTACCAAAGATGTTTTGGGAATATCATGCTCAACCCGTCTCAACGCAGTTGGCCCTTTATCGTCCAAATTTAGATAAAAACTGAAAATGCATTGTAGAGGTGGGGGGACGTGTCTCTCCCTTGTGTCCTCCCCCCCCCCCCCCCCCCCGTTTGATGGCCATGGTAACTACCAGCTACCATGACAACATAACTCAACAACCAATCAAGCCATCAAGCCATCACTACCACTATTACTCCACCCTGGACAGCTGTCAACGTAGCTTTTTGGGTGCAACAAATTCAAGATTCAAGATTCAAGATTCAAGGCTTCCATGGACTCGGTTACAAACAATATACATGTAGGAAAGTTGAGATGGGAAATATGGAGGAAACTCCCAATAGCAATGCAGCTATTATTGTATGTTACAAAATGACGTATCAAGCCTTGAATATACCAGTATATATTTTTTTTTGTGAAACTAAATTTTTCTGCAAGTTATTATAATTAATACTTTGAATGTAATTTTTCTTTCAGTGGGGTCAAATTCCTCCTCACAGCCCCCAAGATATTGTTGGCTGGCACAACAGAGAAGATATGCGTGGATCTCCTGAACAGCTCTGCGGTCGAACTTGGCCTTACGCTCGAGACGGACAACTATTTCTGGGGTCCCGGGGATGCTCCTGAGCCAGAGGTGCTCGCTGAAGTGATCTACAGCATGGACTCTGAGAGGGAGTGCTTTGACCTTGAGGTAACCCTTCCTAACCCATTTCCTTTGAACTAATACCGTCTAGGCTTGTGAATCGTGTTTTCTAGCCTCCACTATTATAACCTTGAACTTGCAAGACTGCCCTCCATTCTGTCGGTGCCTGTACTTTCTTGCACCTGGTTGCATGGGTAAACATCCTAAAGTTTGTATGTTGGTGAACGGAAGTGATCCATGTGTTAATGTCATGAATGCGCTTTGGAAGAGGAAGTCCGAGCTATTTTGAATGCCCTGTTGGAGTTGTGGCTCTGAACTTGACTCACGCACATGGCGCTTAGTAAATGTTGCAGGAGTGATAAAATTGCAAAATTTGCTTTAAGTTGCTTTAATTTGCTAGAATTACTCCCATGAACTTGCTAATGAGTTTTGAACCCACTATACATTGTAGGTCATAACTTACACATGGCTTTAGAAGTGACTACTTGTATTTAATATTTTGACATTGAAAGAAAACTAGGCCTAGAGATGATAATAGTTAAAAATGATAGTTGCAATTTGTATAGCGCCTTTCCTACTAGATACAAAGCTCTTTGAGATGCCATTTAGGAGTCAGTGCTAGAATTAAAGTGTATACAAATATGGTTTCGGCATTGGTATGTCTCCAAATTCTGTTTGAATTGTTCTACCGTTGGTGATGATATGTCATTGAAAAGTTGTAATTTTGAGCTTTTTTATCAACTGTCATACAGATTTTCAGGTATTACCGTATTTGCACCATGGTAAAATTATATGTACAGAATAGAATATATTATGACAGGGTGCCACAGGAGGAATTTCTGAGCTATTTAGTGAGATTATCTTGCTTTTTCTATTGACACTGTGACACAACTATTTATACATCAAATTTTGAAATTTTTAAAAATATGATTTATGCATACTGAGATAATCCCTCTTTCACAACTCTACTGATCTTCACGGAGATAAACAGGAGTCACACTGATTATGGTTCAAAAATATGTTTTCACACATGCTGTTATATTTTTGTTTTTAATTGAAGAAAAAGAAAAATTGTTTTATTCTGTTTATTGCATAAATTTAAATTTGTCACCGTTTTCATGTTTTTGATAACTTTTTTGGAATGACAGGCTGGGAATGGTGAATGTTAAACTTGGCAAAGGTAGTGAATTATAAGCCAGGGTTTGGTAGTTGTTTTAACCAGGCAAAAATCTTCGTTCGCGAAGCATTGCCTATAAATATAATGTCCCAACCTCAATTTTTCATCGTATCGAATTGCGTAATGCAGGCGAGACCACCGAGAGCGTTTCCCTTGTTCATTTGATTACTTTTTTGGAATGACGGGTTGGGAATGGTGAATGTTGAACTTGGACAAGATAAACCAGGGTTTGGTAGTTGTTTTTACAGGACTGTTCTCCAGGATATGCAGACTTCTCGTTTCAGAGTCAACACAGAAATTATGTGTGGCAAAAACTTGTTGGCTGACTTGGCTCGGGTGTGAATTGTGCAATTAAACATGTTAAACAAATCAAAATGTTCAGTCGGACATGAGAGGGAGTGATTTTGACCGCCATGCCCTGTCCTTGACTGATGTTTTACTTTCCATGAGAATGCCAGCACCTATCACTCCTTTTTTTTAGGGGGGGGGGGGTGTAGAATGCCCCAAAATCTATTTTAAAAATCTGTTAGTGTCAGATTAGGTTGTAAATGCATTTGACTACATACTTGACAATTATGATTGACAAATTAACCATTTTAATCCATGAAAATGTATTTTTTAAGGGTACTAGTCACTTTTAAACAAATAATTTCTTTACAGCTGGATTGTATGAAATTATAAATGACAAAGCATTACCTTTCATTCTATGGGTTATTGGTAAAGGTTAAGGAATTTACAAAGAAATACGGGATAAACATTATAAAAAAAAACTGTGGTCGGAACCCACATTGGACTGCACTATGTGTGAATAAGGCTTTTAGATTTAACAGTTCACTAGCCGGTCATGCCCTCACTGTGGGACCATCGCTGTGATCTTATAATGACCTTGCCAATCACTTTGTTATCTGTATGTAGTTTCTATTAGTTTCAAATTAGTTGAAATCCTGATATGACTTCCAATTTCCAAACTGAGAACGGTTTGGGAGATATACCAAGCTTTCAGCACTGTTTTTGTTGTCTTTTGTTATTTCCTCGGGGGAAATGCACCCAATGGTGCTCAAATGCTGTGCGTGTGGGAAAAGCAGAATGTTTCCATTCATTGTTTTCATTCATCGTTAATTGTGCAATAGCCTATAATGATATTACTTGAACATGTAGAAAGATAGTTGAAAAACATTGCAAGAGTTCAAGTCTGCAGGAAATTTGTTTCTATTAATCTTTATCCGAGTGAAAGAGGGGAATTTAGACACTAGATTTGTGACTCGAACTTCAATTTACCTGGTACCAAGCTGGAGTATGGGAAACATACCTATATGACTTAGAATCTAATACCTGAAATCAGTTCGAAGAAATAAAATTAAAATCAAACTTGATAGAAAAACTGCTTGTTGTTTGAAATGATGTAGGTGCAAGTGCTTATGATACTACTTTGTTAAACAAATATATAATTACATTAATTATATATTAACATTGAAGAGAACTATGAACTATGAGCCTTTACAGTGAAGTTGATATTGATTTCCTTTCATACAATACAAAGTAAGGTATTACTTTTTATAATTGTTACAGATTTGCAGAGTTGTATAGATGTTCAAAACTATGTTGATGTAATTTCAGTGACTTTTGAAAAAAAAATAGGCAATGAGCGTAAACTGTAATCTGAGCATGACTGTATTCACATCAAGCTTAGATTAGGCCAAATAGTTATAATACATGCACGCCAATGAAAACTTCAGGTCAAATTCAGGTCAAGTTAAGTTCATAGTTTGTCCCATATATGGTTGTAAAGTGACTTGGAAATTCTTGTACAAGGGCCAGGGATGTGATAACTTGACTTTCTTGCAAAATTGATGTTGGTGAGAGGAGACATTTTTTTTTTAAAACTGTTTTTGCCTGGAAAGAATTAGAGGCCTGTGTTTTTCCTCAATTTTTAGACCTGGCTACATTTAGTACATGAATATAATGCATATGATACGTTGCATGAAATCAACATTTTAGAAATGTATTTTTATTCATATATTTGTGGACCAGATAGCTCTTGACAACCTTAAACAGTGTTGGAGCTATGGCTGACCTAGCAACAACCATTGTCTACCTTCTGCACCCTGTTTAACAAAATACATTGTGATACCCAAACATGATTGCTTGCTGATAAGCACTAAATGATGAAGAAGTCTTGAATGTACTTCAATGCAGTAATGCATGTTCTTGAAGTGAATACTGGTATGCATTTGATGTATATTGCTTCTATCACCCAACTGAGGCAATGCTCTAAGCTGATCTAATCTAAAGGCTGATCTCCCAGCCCAGAGACACCCTGATCCAGAGCTCTTGCAGCATTGGTCTCTCATTAATAGCTACAAACCTTCTTCATCATCATGAATTTATCTCTTGAGCAGCGTGCAGTATTGTAAAGCCTTTGTATGTTTTAAATAGATATAGCACCATATAAATAGTGGGAATCATCTTTTTCATTATCATCATCAACACAAATTAGACAATATTGTTTTTTGTTTTGGCACAGGTTCCTAGAGTCAGTGAAGAGATGCTTTTTTGATAGAAATATAGCACCATATAAATGCTGTGGATCATTGTAATCATTATCATCATCAACAAAAATTAGACAATATTTTTATATTTTTTTGCGCAGGTTCCTAGCGTCAGCGAAGAGAGGCAGCGTTCCAAGCTGATCCTAGAGGTCACAGACATGTCGAACCCTGAGAGAACGTGTAACCGCTCCAAGAATATCATGGTCTCAAATGCTCATTTACAAACCTTGATTCAGACTGACAAACCAATCTACAAGCCGGGCCAGCCAGGTATGAGTTTAAATGATATTCTGTAACAGTTAGACGATTAACACAGATATTTTGTTTTAATTGCCATGCTATTGCTACAAAAGATGGTGCTTCTCAGAGTAATATGGAAACCGATTTGAATGAAATCTGATGCCAGTTAAAGTTGTTAATGCTTATTTTCTTTGAAAATGTTCTGAACATAATTATATTAAGTGACTTTTCATAAATGGATCATAATTTGGTTCTTGACTTCCAGAACAGTTTATATATGCTCTTTGTATGTATATTTTAAAGGACTATGAATGAAATTCAACCGTGCATAGTGACAGAATGTTGAAGTTTATCGTTACTGCCATCAGGTTCATTCTATACAACTTTGATGGAGAAATGAATGGAAATGTATGATATCATTGTTGTTTATCTTCTCTTTTTGACAGTCAAATTCAGGATGATGTCTGTAGATAAGGAATTCAAGCCATGCAATGCAACAGTAAGTAATTTCAATCTTTTTTTACTGAAGAATGATGATTTTATGAACATACCGTATCTTCTTTTAAAGCAGAACTGCACTACTTGTAGCTACTTGCGCCCTCTATATAGCAAACACTGCCCACAGGATACCCGTTGGTCCCCCACAATCCCCTTTTGCTTATGTTAATTGAGAGATGATTTGATGAGATAACCACCTGTCAGTGACCATGCAGGGAGGTCTAATCCCTCCTGGCCAAACTAGTGCAGACAGGATTTAAATCAAACTTTCATATTATATGTATACATATATGCTGTGGACTTGATTGATACTATCTCACCCATTTCACAGGTGGCCCTGATCTACATCGAGACACCCAATGGTATCAGGCTAGCCCAGTGGGAGGACATTGAACCCAACAGGGGTTTGGTTGACCTGGAGTTCCCTATGACCTCTGAACCCCTTCTTGGTGATTGGACGATCAAGGCAGACTTTGGAGACAGGAGGGCGGAGACGACCTTCAGAGTGGAGGAGTACGGTAAGATTCCCCCTTAGGCTGCTACCATAGCAATTCATTTCTCCTCCTTCCCTTTCTATCATTTTTGTTCACCCTTATTTATTTTATGGAAGTTTCTTCCTTTTCTGTAGATTTGCTTTCTCTTCTTCTTCTTCTTCTTCTTCTCCTTCTTCTGCTTCTTTTTCATGTCCTTTTCTTTTTCTTTCTCTTTTTCTTCCTCTTCTTCTTCTTCTTCTGCTTCTTTTTCATGTCCTCTTCTTTTTCTTTCTCTTCTTCTTCTTCTTCTTCTTCTTCTTCTTCTTCGTCGTCGTCGTCGTCGTCGTCGTCGTCTTCTTCTTCTTCTTCTATGTCCTCTTCCTCCTCCTCTTCCTTTATCATTATAAATATTCTTATTTTTTCATAATTATTATTAATCCATCAGTATTCAACTATTCATTTGCTTGTGACATTTACAATTATGGTCGTTCAGAAGTGAAAATTGGTCTTTAACTGAGCCTGCATTTTCTTTTAGATTTTTTTCATCATCTTCCACTTCTCCCTTTTCTATCCTCTTGGTACATTCTTTGTACCAAATCAGAAAGATTTATTACTAACTGACAGAAATACATGGACTTTATACATTGTACAAGTTCTTCAAATCAGTACATGTATAATAACATTAACAAATATATTGCCAATTTGATTTCTCATTCTAGTTCTACCCAAGTTTGAGATCACGGTTGAGTCAACACCCTCTTACTTCTTACTCACTGACACTTCCGCCACCGTCAAAATCTGTGCTAGGTAAGTTCTGGGCCAACCGGCCTCTACTGCCTTTGTTGTCTCTGCCATTGTAATAATGATTGCTGTATTCTTGTTCTTCTTCTTCTTCTGATTAAGTCTGCTCCCTTCAAATTGACTGACGATTCTTGCAAACTATGTGCGTGTGTGTTAACCACAATTTACAATTGAGTGCTATTTACATTATAATACAGTTTATTTACAAGCTCATTATTTATCAAGCTCATTTGATCATTATCTTTGATATTGCATTGTGACTATCGTGGATGGTGGTACAGTTATTTATAGCTTTTAATGAAAATTATTGTCATGTAGAAAGATTGACTTAAAATGGATTTGAAATGATATGTTTGATGCTAATTTGATATTATATTTGATTTTGCATTTTGTTTACCTGATTTAAGATACACCTATGGACAACCCGTACAAGGAACCATGGCGATAGAAGCAACGATCACTAGCTACAGAAACAACAGACCAACCTCATATTATGAAGGGGTAAGATACATCATCATGATCACATGAAACATTCACTGTCAAGGAGAAATGTCCGTTGGTAATGGGAGACCATGAAATAGCTATTAAATGAAAATGTGGTTCCCTGATACGTCATATTAGTAACATGCGATGTATTTCAAAAATACTTAAAATGCATATAAAGTACAATGTGTAGGTAAGTGGTAAGTGAGAAATTTACCTTAGAGCAATCATTATCCGAGCATGTTCCGCAGAACCCATGGAGACCGACTCCGCTTGACTCCTGACAGGGATCAACACTAACAGGACCCTGCGATACATGGGCATCCAAAATCTCAGTCCAGACCCCACCATTTTAAAATGGACCCCCTTCCAAAAAACTGCTTCTTACAGGCATTGGTTAACAACGTTAAATCTGAGATGCACGGCCCTACATGTTATCAGTGTCTGTGATATGGTGTAAATTCGAAGCCCTAAAAAATTGCGCTTCAAAATGATCATGAAGTGACTAAAAGAAGTATTTGAGTGACCGGTCTTACCATACTCCTTTTCTACAATAGACTGTAGTGTTATAAAAACCATTAGGGAAACTAAAAATGAAATTTCAATTCCAATCATAAATATCTTGATAATCAGACAGGCGATCGGCTTGTAAAGGTCATGGGATTCCTGACTGACCTAAAGGTTTATAGTTATGATTGCAGCATGAGCTAAATCCAGGATTTTGTTTCAGAATCTGAGGCAATGTTACCGACTCCCTTTAATACGTTTTGTCTGATCCTTGTTTTGTCAGGAGACCGATAGCGATGGATGTTACTCTCTTGATCTAGACCTGACCATGTTTGAGTTGAGATCGCAAAGTTACTCCACCTGGAACGCCTATCTCAAGATCGATGCTGACATCACAGACTCAGTGACAGGTAAACCACTAGAGGGGATCCCCTGCAATGCGTCCCTGACGACACATGATATTTATCCGCATCTTTTATCCGTTAACAAACAATCTCTCGAAATGACGATGACGGTTGGGGTACCAGGGGGGTGTTTCACAAAGATCCTAAGTTGAACTTATCTCTAACTTGGACTTAACAATTATGGAAAGCCAATAGCATCTTTGAAAATATTTTGTATAAGTTATTTTGAAGGCATAAAATGTTGATTCAAATCAATCATATTTTCTATTATCAAGGGGATTTCATGTTCTTGATGTGGAATTTACGAAAAGTCTAAAATACTTGAATCTTTGCTTTTGAATATGTGATATTTTAAGGCTACAAATGGCTCTCCATAATGTTAAAGTCCAACTTAGAGTTAAGTTTGACTTAGGATCTTTGTGAAACACCCCCAGAGAGCACAATGTGGAATAGTCACACCAAGAGATATTCTTCATTTTTGGATGAGATATGTGTAAAGAAGACATATGTCGTACGAGATGCATTGCAAGTAAACGTCCTGAAGCGTTATTCACATGTATCCATCATCAAGATCATCATCAGTATTCAGAAGTGAGAAGTGATCCTGGGGAAAGTTTCTGAGCGTTGCGTCGTTTGGTACATGTTCCAACCTTAGAATCGGTTGCATGCATGGTGGATGGACTTATTACGCAGGAATATAGACAAGCAGGAAAAGATTTTTATTTTTGCCCCTATGTCAATGAAGTCTGAACAGATTTAGAGGAAGATTTTGATTAATAACCTGTGTTTTTGTTTTCTTACTGTGTAGGGGAATCATTGAGTCACTCTGCTGAGGTTGGTAAGGTCAGTCAGGATGCGTTGTCCATCGCTATAAGCACGTCGTCAACATTCAAACCAGGAGTACCATTCTACGGCACTGTAAGTATAATTGCTTCAATTGATGAACATGACACCTTTCTGAAACCCTGAAGTAGAAAACATTGGATCCAAATATGGACAGCACTTTCATTTAAGACTTTCAAATTTTCTTTTCAAATAAAGGAGGTTTGGCTTTCCACAAATTATTTCAATTACTAACTCTTTTCCATCATTATGCTTTGTTGTTTGTGCAAGTTGGAATTTCAGTGAACAGTGCATTTGTAAAAACCACTAATTTGAAGCAAGTAGCAAGTATGGACAGCACTTTCATTCAGACTTTCAAGTTTGCTTTTCTTTGAGAAAATGAATTCAGGTTGATAGTTTTTCATATTTTAGATCAGGGGCTATCCACAAATTTTCTTGATTGCTGGTGATATTCTAGGGAATAGCTCTTTTCCATCATTTTTTTGTTACTCTTTGATGTGGTTGCAAGTTGGAATTGTGCTCATAAAAATGGCGACTGGCCGGAATGCTCCCCAGGGAGTTGAGAATGTGCATACATTGTGTGCGGGTAAGCCTGAAGCCAATGACCGGGGTAATAATATATATATGTAAAGCGCTTAGACACATCGTTGTATCGATATATTGGGCACTATATAAAAGCAGAATTTAATTTTATTATTATGTTATTCTTGTATGATTTGCTGCTCAGATTCACGTGAACCACCCTGATCAGACTCCTGCCGGGGATGAGTTCATCATTCTCAAGGTGCAAGCTAAGGAGACTGGAAGCTATCGCTACAAACCAATCTTTACCCAGAATTATACCAGCCCTGCCGATGGAGTTATTGATTTCACCATCCCTGATATCAATTTCAACACCACAGATTTGAGTATCAATGTGAGTATTTGATTTGATTTGATTTGATTTATTGGTTTCTGCATCTTTTTTTTTGTCATCAAACATTTTCATGAACATAAATGGTTTGATCAGGGACGTGATAGAGAAGGACTGGAATCAAGCCGCTCTCCTTTGACCCCATGCTCCATGCCGCCGAAAAGTTATGCGCTAATATGCAACTGTTGACCAGGTGGTGAGTTAAAAGAGCGCATGAAATTTCAGGATTTAGAATTTCTACATCAGAAAATGGTATGACAGCAACTGTTCGCTGTCCCTTCCAATGATATCTCATCCATTGTTGAATGTGTAAAGAGTAGAACAAGCAAACACAAACCTGGGTCACCGGATTACGAGACCATTGCTCTACCGACTGAGCTATTGCGCCTCGTCTGCAAACTCTGTAAATGCATGAAGAACTCAACTTTACCCTCAATAGATTTCCTAGATTGAGGGTGCTCTAAACCAAATTTTGTTTTTTACATTTCAGGCCGAGGCACCTGGGTTTAAGGACCTGGACACTGCCAACTATACCCAGTACCGTATTTACAACCCATTTGGCTCAGCGTACGTCAGAGCACAGTACTCACCTAGCGGCAGCTTCGTTCAGATTGAGCCAATCTATGGAACGCTTGCTCCGGGTTCAACCCAGAATCTCAACATTTTCCTGACCAGCGACACGGCCGATGCAGAAGAAACAAAGTTTGAGTTTGTGGTGAGTATAAAAGAAGTGTCTTGCCCGCGCCTTGTTCCTTTTAGTTTCTGTTATATTGTTTGATTTCGGCTTTCTGTTTCATTCTTGCGTTTTTACTTTGATGAGTGCAAGCAAAAAAAGCTATGGCTCGTTTCAACGCGTTTCTCAGAAGTGTAGGAGTGTAATTGATGCTGGTAATGAGACGGTTGTACAGTACTTGCTTCAGTAACAGTTGCTATGTGCCAAGTTTCCTTCACTACCGGAAGTTTTGACTTCAACCCTGGACCAACACTATACCTAATTATCCCGACCCTAATATAAGCCTGTCCTAAAACCAAATTGAACCCATTACCCTATGCCTGGAGCAGTTGCTACTAGATGCCAAAAGATACCCCTCATTTTTACCAGACTTTGACAATTTTAATTCACCAGCGACAAGATAGAGATAGTTGGGATTGATTTTCTAGTGAGTGGCAAAAATTGGTAGGGCTAGAGAGGGATTGGTGGGGAGGGGGCAGTTTTAATTTTAGTGATATCAATATCTTGGATCAAACCCAACCCCATTTATGTTACCTGATTTTCCAAAGTTAGGCTAGCTCTGCAAATACCTCGTTCTATGGAGGATGGTAGGATGATGAAAAATATTGTGATAATAATAACCACAAGCCCTCATGGTGATCATATGATAGCAAGACTCCCTAGGAGTGGAGATGATGCACACATTGTGTATATGAATGAATCCAATGATAGGGGTAATAAAATTTGTAAATCAAGTAGAGACATTGTTTTGTAAGGTTCTGGGACACCTACCCCCTGGACATCCGCCCCCGGATAACCACCCCAAGTACACTACCCCCTAGGACAACTACCCCCCAGACAACTACCCCAGACAACTACCCCCTACGACAACCATCCTCTAGGACAACTACCCCCCCCCCCCCCCCGGACAACTATCCTAGGAGTAGTTGTCTGGGGGGAGGGGGTAGTTGTCTGGGGGGTAGTTGTCTGGGGGGATTTGTGTGGGGGGTAGTTGTCCTAGGGAATAGTTGTCCTAGGGGGTAGTCAGACCCAACCCCATTTATGTTACTTGATTTTCCAAAGTTAGGCTAGCACTGCAAATACCTCGGTCTATGGACGATGGTAGGATGATGAAAAATATTGTGATAATAATGACCACAAGCCCTCATGGTGATCATATATTAGCAAGACTCCCTAGGAGTGGAGATGGTGCACACATTGTGTATATGAATGAATCCAATGATAGGGGTAATAAAATTTGTACACCGGCCCCCGGATAACCACCCCCAGTCCACTACCCCCTAGGAAAACTACCACCCAGACAACTACCCCCTACGACAACCATCCTCTAGGACAACTACCCCCCCCCCTCCCCCCGGACAACTATCCTAGGAGTAGTTGTCTGGGGGGATGGGGTAGTTGTCTGGGGGGTAGTTGTCTGGGGGGGGGGTGGTTGTCCGGGGGGTAGTTGTCTGGGGGGTAGTTGTCTGAGGGGTAGTTGTCTGAGGGGTAGTTGTCTGGGGGGGGGGGGTAGTTGTCTGGGGGGTAGTTGTCCTAGGGGGTAGTTGTCCGGGGGTAGTTGTCCTAGGGAATAGTTGTCCTAGGGGGTAGTTGACTGGGGGTGGTGATTCGGGAGGGTGGATGTCCATGGGGTAGGTGTCCAGATACAGTTTTTTACTAAGAGCTAAATAAATCCAGATTTATTATCATTATTACATACATTTACGATTTACTTTTTTAGTTTTATAAACGACACTTAATGGTTTGATGGAAATTGATTGGGTATGGCTCTCTTTCCTCTATCCTCCACACACAGTTCATGTCTCTTGGTGACTTCATAGACGTCCCTGTGTCAGCACCATTGTCCAGGAGGAGGAGACAAGCATGGAATGGAGATGAGGAACAAAATGGTAAGAACACCGTTCAATCCCATCAGGTTGCAGTCCTCCCCCGGGGGGATACTCAGATTTGGTTTGGACGGGGGTGTGCCGCTCAAGCCTTGAAAGCCTTACCCATTATAAGGGGGCAAAAAAAGACCAATTTTCACAATGTTCAGGTGTTTTTAAAAAAATTGCAAATTTATTTGTTATTTTTGTTAAAAGTGGGACCCATGTTTAGGGATTTTTTGTGAAAAAGTGACCCATTAGACCGGCACCCCCCTGTATTTCCAATATGTGAGTACCCCCTTAGGGAGTCCTCCCCTATTGTTTTTTTTTTGTGTGTTATCTATTGATCTAGAATGCTGTGACATATGCAAATTGACTGGAAAGAGCCTAAAAAAAGTAAAAATGTATATACACGTATTCCAGAAATTGAACATTTTTGTTGCTCAGTATTCCTCAGAAATTAAAACAAATAAATTTCACTTTGGCAGTGCACAGAGGCAGAATGCATCCTACAATAAGATATATTTTCTTCCTTTCTTTCTTTATTTCTTATTTGTTTGGCACCATACATCATTGTGACACAATATATTTATATAAACAAGAAAATTATTGTTTAAAAAATACATGTATGTATGTATGTTTATATATAACTTATGAATAAACTAGGCCCTTATGCGTAACCATTTTGTTTCTCCCTTCTGTTTGATGCTAGGTACTGAATGTGAAGGTGACCTTGTGTTCAACAGCTGCTCCACCGCCTGTCCATTAATCTGTTTCCAGAACGTGAGTGAGTTCTGCACCTTCCAGTGCATCATCGGCTGCGTGTGCCCGGAAGGACTCTTCAGAGACACCATCAACGGCACCTCTTGCATGACGTCTGATAACTGCACAAAAGGTATTAACCCCTTGACTTCTGAGTTTCCTCATTCCCATAGAGTTAGCACAGGGACCACCAGGTTTCCATAGCCAATGGGTTACATTCCAGGGGAGTGTTTCACAAAGACTAAGATTGACTTTAAGTTGGGCTTAACTATGGCAGGCCATTCATGCCACTGTTTGCTCTCACCATTATGATCTTTAGATGATATGTTTTCCTTCAATAATTCATTATCAAAAACTATAAATTCTGTATAATTGTGATGATTTGTACGTCCCTTGAGAGACCAATGCCAGTAAATGGTGAGAGCAAACAGTGGCATGAACGGCCTGCCATAGTTAAGTCCAACTTAAACTTGATCTTAGTCTTTGTGAAACACCCCCCCCCCCCCCCCCCTGGACATGCTCTGGAAACTACCAAAGTTGCAATGCCATTTTTGCATTTATAAAGAGAAGGTTGATTTCTGCTAAAGGTGGAAAGTACATATACTTAATGAGCTTTTTCATGCTTAATATTTTTGTGTAGAAGATATGTAGAAGAGATTCCTCCCTAAATGAAAACGAGACAGTTTTTAAACATTCAGCCGTTATAAACAATTTCTTTTGTTAGTTTGCATGAATAAGACTTTGGCTAGACTATCCTTGGACACACTTGGATTTTTTGAAAGGATAATAAGGAATGTGGCTTATTGATTTTTTAAAGAAGGCTTAATTTGTTATTATTTATGTTTAATTATTTTGCAGTGGAGATCGTGGAGGAGGAGGAAGGCGAGTTGGATATTATCGAAATTTATCCGCCCATTTACCCCATTTACCCGCCAATATACCTCCCTGACCCTGATCCAGTAGACATCGCTGAACCAGGTCAGCTGTATTCAGTCCAGAGGTCGTTTGAGGTCACGGCAGACATGAGTCCAGGTGCAAGCCTTCTGGTCTACTACATCCGTGAGGATGGGGAGGTCGTAGCGGATAGCATCACTTTTTCGGTCGAAGAGACTTTCGCCAACGAGGTGAATGACCTTCATGTGACCTTTCGTGCTTCATTTAGCGTGCATTGCTATTGACTACCTGCAAAACCTCAACCCTAATGATTCAATGTGGGTTGTATGATACATGCTCCTCCAACAATTGCTCCGAGTGAACATCCTACACTCACCAAGTTCTTGTACTTAACCCTGACCCTAAACCTATATATCTAACCTAAAACCCAATTGCAACCCTCACCTAACCCTACACTTTTGAGGAGATAAAGCCCTTAGCTACTGTTGCTGGAGCAAATGTTGACAAAATTAAGAGAGATAATACCCAAAAGGAAATGCAGTATAAATGTTCCCGTAGAATTTTGTCAAAGTTTCTCAAGCACACATCAATGTACTGCTTCCGAATTTGTTATCAAAATATTTTTGTAAAGGCTTTAAAATATCAAGATTACATGTATTTCAAGAAATTTCACTCGGCAGTACCTGGCCCTTTTAGGATGATACACAATTTGTTAAATGGTTCCTTCGATATCTTTCCTTTCTGATCAGGTGACATTGGGTTTTGCTGACTCCCAAGTGAAGCCTAACGGTGAGACCACCCTTGATGTGACGGCTGACCCTGACTCACTCTGCGGTGTGGGTGTGGTTGACAAGAGTGTCTACGTGTTGGGAGGAGACAATGTACTCACCAAGGATGCGGTATGTACTCTTACGCTATCATAGAAATTATTGTAAAACGGGAAACTTTGTACATATGAAATTTTGGGCGAAATGTTAAATCACAGCCATTTCACACAAAGAACTTTCACAAATTAAACAATTTCGTGTTCTTTCAGCTGCATTCCATTCTTTTGGTATGAAACTTTTACAAATCTTAACCGCCTGTAAAAGTGAAATTAATGTGAAAATTTCAGGTTTTACAGGAGCTTTAAAATGGGTAAGATGGATGGCTTGTGAGCAGTTGCTAGTGGTATAATGAATGGTATTAATTGGTTGAAGTGTCAACATAGGTTACACCAGCTCAACTAGTTAGACCAGTAAAACCATTTAGACCATTATATTGTTAGACCTGTTTGACCAGCCATACCATTAAAACCACTTACATCATTTAAACAGTAATTGTTGGACTAGCTACAGGAGTTATACCCGTTAAACCAGTGAAGATTTTTAGACCAGTTGGCCCAATTATACCAGTCAGACCAGTTAGAAAAGTTAAACCAGATCAACTAGTTATACCAAGTTAGAACAGTGATACCAGTTTTAGCTATACCAATTGCAATTAGACCAGTTAGACCAGCTATACGGTTATACAAGTCACAATAGTTTAACCAATTATGATTAGATCAGGACAAGATATACCAGGTAAACAAGTAAGACCAGTTGTTACACCTGCTAGTATTCTTCTTTCCTTGCGACAATCCATTGGACTTTTTACAGGGGTTCCATGTTGTATCAATATTGCGGCCTATAATGTCATCATTTCAGTATCATGAAATCAGATGTTCTTTTTCTTTCCTTATCCCCAGCTGTTTGATTCTGTGCGGGCATATCAGTTAGACAGGTACGGAGGCTTCTTTGACTCCAGCTCCAAGTGTTCAGGCAGCAGCTCTCCCTACAGGTATAGGAGGAGGAAGAGGACCAGTGTGCCCTGGTATGGAGGCTCCTCTTCAAACTTTGTGGACTCGTCTACAGCTTTCAAGGTACTCCTTTCAACTTCATGTAAATAATAATAATATTAATGATAATAATAATGTTGACAATGATGACAATGATGATGATGAGGATGATGATGATTATGATGATGATGAAGACGACGACGACAACAACTTTAATTAGCATGACAGCCATCTTTGAAAAAAATAGCTAAAAATTGCAAATTACTATTAGTAAATAGTAATGCCCTGCCTCTTTTTTATTAAAAGTCCGGACGAAAAAACATGTCATTTTTGTTATTTGGCCCATTTTCTGCACTTTCGCTATATTGTTACTATGAAACATGCTAGCTTTACTATCTTGGGCCTTCTCTTTTCAGAATATTGGTCTAGTCTACCTCACCAGCCTGGACGTTGAAACTAAACCGTGCCCAACGTACAGTGAGTGGAATCTCCTTTTCTTTTCTTAAATGAGTGTTGAGTTCTTGTTATCCAAGATTGTTTTTTATTGTCCATATATGATACTGAAATTTGCTCTCCATTGGTAGACAAAACAGAGTATTAGCTATTGAAATTCTCAAGTAATCTACCAGATTTCCCACTCAAAGTTCTAAACTGCACATAATTGATATTCACTGATCCAATTTAATTCAAGATTCAAAACTTTGCATTCCATTCATGTATATAACACTGTAGTGACAAAAATTGTCATATATTCTACCAATTTTCACATTGAATGTTCTAGACTACCCATAAATAATATTGGCTGATCGAAATTCATTCAAGATGAAATGCCATTGCATTACCAGCAAGCAAGATTAATGTAGAAGTGTAATGTATCAAAATTGATATCAATGCTTATTTATATTATTATTAAATAGTTGTTTAATTGATGAATTCTGTTTAGTCTAGATATACATTCATAGCAAGGCTTTCCTATAGGGCATATGTATTTTTCAATAACTTTTGCAGATTTGAAAAATATTTTTGTGTCCCCCTGACCCCCCCCCCCCCAAAAAAAAAAAGTTTTAAAAAATAAACATATTATCATCATCATTCTAATAGAAGTCTTGTGTATATGTGGTTGCATCAGAACCTTATCCTATAGCGTATAACCGCCAGAACGGGCTACCTGGAAGAGAAGGACCAGTGGCCATTCCCTTTGTTGTTGAGGATAGGGTGGATGATAACGTTGTTTTAGAAGGGGAGTCTGTTGAAAAGGCAGGATCAGGAGCTCAGATACGAAGCTACTTCCCGGAGACGTTCCTGTGGGACTTGGTCACAACAGAGTATGTATATACCTCTCCCATTCCTATACATTCCTATATTTTGCTATACAGTGCGTCCCAGAAAAAAAGAAACCAAGAATTATCAATGTTTTATCACAACTTAATCGCAATTATAACTAATAAATGACACATATTTGTAAAGCTTAGATCCTCCTCTTTCATTTGATGCAACTCATATGATGCATATTTCACGCATGAGTGATTGAAGTCAATTTGAAGGAAGGGTACCAAAAAGTCATTTGGCGGACGGTATCTGAATTTCAAAGAGAAAATCACATTTCTAGAAAGCTCATTTTTTGCCCTTTCATATGACACCTCAATTAGGAAATATGAGCTAGGAATAACAAAGTTTTGTTTGTTTAAGTTAATGCTTACATTTCCATAATTTTGTAACAAATTTGTTTGCACTGGCTGCCTGCCGTAGCAACAAACAGAATTGACAAAAGACTTAACTCTGTTGCATTGACGATCATGCATGGCTGATTGTAACATCAATAAATCTCGGTTTCATTTCTGGGACGCACTGTAGATTATACCAACTACCTACATAATATTTACATTTATCTACATCAGCCCCTTCCCGTTCATTCCCAAATTCCGATAACAAACAGGCTTGCTTTCTCAAGACCTTCCTGTTTGACGATATCACTGCAGAATATGTTACATTAAAACAGGGTGAAAGCACATTGCATTTCACATTTTGTTAATACAGTTTTCTTGGTAAAGGGCACATGTAATTTTTTTTAAGAAAACAAATCTGTTTGAAAATTATTAATACAAAAAAAAATGATAAAACCACATCAAAGTCTATTTTATAATCATTTCAATGGATAATAAACTTACTGTATGTTCATTTTTTTCAAAGCCTTGTTCGCATAGGCGATGGTTAACCACCAGGGCAAAATAAGTGCTTCACATTTCTGGATCTTATAAAAGCAAAATTTTATGTGGAAGGCCTTTTATTTCACGCAGCTACTTTTGTGTTATTCCCACGTGCCATTGATTTAATTGTTTCAAACTAGAAAAGAAGAAAACACTGGTTTATTGCATCCTATGTGAACTAACCTTTAAGACCATATCCGAACTGAGAAATGAAATGGATGAATTATATATCAACGGAAAGCTTATAAGCCATAGATTACAATAATATTAATTATATGCCATTTTAGTGTCTGTCAGAGGAGTATCAGCTCTCTGAAAACTAACATTCTAAAGCTTTGAAAATCGAAACTTGTCGACCTAAAAACTTGCTATTGACTTGATGACATCTTATGTATAAAATACGCATATTCACAATGACTTTTCATTAACTAAGCACGGCTCATCGTCTCAGCTTTATAAGTCCACATGTTATGTTGTCACTGTAACTTCAAGAAATTTGACTCCTGTTGACTCGTGATTTGAAGGGTTGCGGAAAATGAAGTTTTTTATTGCTTTTGTGCAATAATGAAATGGTAAATACTTTTTATTCCTTTATATCTGTATTAATCATTCATTCAGCTTTCCATTTATATCAAGTTGTATTTTAATCGGATAGGGTCTTTAACAGAATCTTTGTGAACTTTCTTCCATTCTGCAGTGATTCTGGATCAGCGTCGATCGATATACAAGCCCCTCACACCATCACCGACTGGATCGCAAACGCTTTCTGTCTCTCCCCGGAGAACGGTCTGGGCGTTGCTCCCGCGACCTCTCTGACGACCTTCCAGCCTTTCTTCCTCTCTTTCTCTCTGCCTTACTCCGTCATCAGAGGAGAAAACGTTCCCATCAAAATAAGCGTCTTCAACTACTTAGATGCCTGTCTAGTGGTAAGACGTGTTCATCTGCTTGTCACCAAACTGCTGGGGAGCCCTTATCTGTTTAATACTAAGTGACCCTTCCCAAACTGTCTAGATTTTGAAATGAAATAGGTAAACTGTGCAAGCAACTTAGAAAGTTGCAATCAAAATGACTATTTTTGAGTTAACTGTATTGTAATTCTTTGTTTCTCTCAATTTTTGTGGCAGACGTTCTTCACAGACCCAAGCGGCTGTAAATTGTTAGGAATTTTCTCTCTCTGGGGGAAACAGTCCACTCTCTTTAAATTGTTATTTTTATTTTGTTTGCACCATAGCTACAACTTTGCTCAAAGGTGTTTCTTTATTATGAAATTATTTGTTTCAGGTGAGAGTTACCCTGTCCAAGACTGAAAACTTTACGCTGCTCTCAGAGTCTGATTCTCAGGATGTCTGCGTCTGTGGGGGACAAGCAGATTCGGTGGAGTTCCGTATCGTTCCTTTAGCCCTCGGTCAAATCCCGCTCCAAGGTACGTCTATATTCATGTGTATATTGCTTTCATTCTTTCAACTGATTGATGTACAGTCAAACCTGCTTAAGTGACCACCTGTCTACAGAGACCGCATTTTTTGTTTCCCTTGAAAATAGTTTCTCATTAAAACATGTACTATAGGCACCTGTATACAAAGACCACCTGGCTATAAAGAAAATTTTTCTTGTTTCCCTTGGGTGGTCTTTATAGAAAATTTTCACTGTATATTTAAATGGATATTTTCATAATGCTCTATTTACAAGGCATTTGGTTTGACAAAAGCTTCATTTATAAATCATACTTCATACTTCAAAATCAAAATATTGAATAAATTTTTTATCAAGTATAATGCTTTATTCATACATGTTTAAAATAAATTGATGGTGTGCTTTTTTGTTCATGGTTTGATTTTGGTTGGTGTAGTAGATCTACATGACCTTGGTTTACTTATAACAAGGGTGTTGCTTGGCATTCCATAAATAATTGTGTTTTATTAAACCAGGTTTAACTTATTATATGTGTATGAATACATGCTAATTGCTTTTAATCTGTGTTGACCGTAGTGAATGGTGTATCTGTTCTTGACTCGGACACTCTGTGTGGGAATGAAATCATCAGTGATCAGACCGGAGCGGAGGACACGGTCAGGAGAGATCTCCTTGTCAAGGTATGAAAGTCCCATCTTTAATGGCAACTATGAACTATTAAAATGTACCAATCACCTAAACAATAACTGTATACAGTTAGAATGTATAGAATATATCTCAAAAATGTATCCAGCAATAAATTGGCTTGAGGTTTATGGAGTATTAAAGAAAATTAAGGATGATTGAAAACCCCACGCACATGCAGAGCCCAAGTTGGTCTTGGGTCTATACGGGCAATATTTTGCGCGAGCATGTACGAGTGCATTGCATAAGTCTCCTGGCAAGTTGCTTTTCCATAAATACAGAGTGTTTTTCAACTTTCATTATCTCGTTATAAAAGTAATGTTTGTAATAGAATTAATTATAGTAATGATATTGGATATTTATATAGCGCACATATCCACCATGCATGGTGCTCAAGGCGCTCCAACTATTACCCCGGCTTTGCTAGGCAGCCGATTTCGGCGCTCACAGAATTCAAGGAATTCCTTCCTACCGCTAGCCATTTAATACAATTTTTTGGGGGTGATTGATAGACTGTACAGGATGACCCTGGTATTCCTAAGAATTGAATACATAACATGAGGTTACATGTGTCTTACAAAGACTTACGATTGATCCAAATCAATCTCAAGTCCTCAGATCAATCGCAAGTTTGCAGTCTCCTATCTCTTACGTATATAGTCATGATTGATATCAATCGCAACTTATTTGCAATTGATATTAACTCTTTGTAAGACGGGGCCCAGTTCTTTCTAAAAAGTTGGAAATATAAACACCAGCTGACCGAACTTCTTGATTCTCTTGTTGACGCAATAACCTGACTGATGAAACATGTGAAGTACCGACGTAGAAGTAGAAGCTGTCATGTATAAGCTCGTCGATCATGGATATGACATAAATCGTTATATTTATTTTCTTTTTTAGGCTGAAGGTGTGCCTGAAGATTTCTCCTGGAGTTCATATTTCTGTTTAGCTGGTAAGTAATCATACTCTTGATACCACTGAGTACAAAAGTATTGAAGTGTACTTTGATCAACTTTTCATCCTCAAATTAACAACACTACTATTTTTTATCCCCTCGCCAACGAAGGAGGGGATATAGTAACGCTGCCGTCTGTCCTTCCTTCCGTCCTTTCGTAACCAATTTGGTTTCCGTAAAGTAATGTTTGACAGATTTTAATGAAATTTGATATAAAGGTACATGGTATCAAAATACAGCCTGAGTTCGATTTCGGAGTATGTAGGTTTAAGGTCATAGCTTTGAAATACATGCAAAAATTTTGTTTTCATTCAAAAACGTAAGTAATATTGACTTTGTACGTTAAAAGTCACACCTCATTAAATATATATGCAAAAATTGCTTTATATAGGCCATATGTACCCGGCGAAGGGATGCTATATGCTTAGCATTGACTTGTTTTTCTTTTATATATGTGCATGTTTTGATCTTGTATCTGAAAGCAATTTACGTAGACAGAAAGCATATTGAATAATGGAAAACAAATTATAGGAAAGATCAGTTTATTGAACTTTGTGACATATTGTCAATTCATGAATTTGAGGGCTGACTTTTCTTCTTAAAAATATCAAGAGTAAAACACTTTCAGGTATTGCAAAAAAAAAGCTAAGAAATTTGTTGGTGATTCAGCTCAAGATTACATTTTTTATGGATCTTAACTTATCTTTTGGTCAGTTGTGTCCAAAAGTTAAACAATTTCAAAGTATTTGGTTCTACGGTGCTATTTTCGTACCTAATAATCGATCTGTATTCTTAAAATGTTATCTATTTGTAAATGAAGTACCGGCCCATGTGCGGTATTATTTTTAAAAAACAGTTCAATAAAAACAGCTTTGCATTGTTACATTTTCTATCTTGTAAACAGATCACCCGTTCGGGATTTACCACGACCGTGCAACGTTGCCTCCAAGTCTCTGGAGTAATGTAAACCTGGTTCCTGACTCTACCAAAGGAAAAATAATAATCACAGGTGAACATTCTGATAGTTACCTTGTAGTTATAACATTCTAGGGGTCTATTTTGTTATTTTAATTTCAAAATCTGACTACATTGGGATGCGACTCGAGGTTTATAATATTTCTTTGAGTGTCGCAGGGAACGGTGCGTGAGCCCTTTCAGTATAAGATATACACCGTGATACAGATATGATTGAGAGACCCTGTACAAGCAGTAGAGTGTGCTCCTGCATATGCTTTGGTGAAGGTTGCTTTGTGCTTTATTTCATCAAAGATATACACCCTTTATGTAAGGGTTAGGGTGTATTTTAGGTTATGTTTTGGGTCGGGTGAAGTGTTTGGGATGAAGCTCAATAGGAATTTGGTTAGTGTAGGTTAGTGATGAACAACGGGTATAAATCAGTTATATTCCACCTTGTCTCAACTTCGGGTTTTTTTAGGCTTGGAAGCCAAACAGAGAGTGGAAATTTGTTTGCCTTTCACCTGCTTTTAGCTTCATCCTTATCATCATAGGCAAGACATCAATGTACATTTGCTACTCTCCACCCAGGTAAAGTAAATGGGTGCCTAGTAGGAAGAAATTCTGTGAATGCTTGAGTACTGTACCATGGTAGCTCAGCAAAAGCCGGGTTTATAATGCTTTTACAGTGCTCTCAGGGAGAACGGTTTGTATTACTAATAGGCTACCCTTGGTAAACAAGACATGCATTATTATCATCATCATAATCATCATCAGTAGCTGCATCAAAGACTTGGAACAGCATTTCTCTTTCCTTAAGGGAAATTACCTGTCTTGCCACCTTCAAAAGATCCCTCAAAACTTACCCTTTTCCCCAGTGATATATGTGATCTTACTTCCTGACAAACTGTACATTTTTTGTCCTCTTTCCATATATTTGTATGTGTAAGCACTATGGTACTTATTGTTTTTAGCGCTCCTAAATATTCAATATTATTATTATTATTATTATCATGTGATGTTTTCAGATGATATGCTTGGCCCAAGTTTGGAGAACCTTGAGCATTTGATTCGCCTACCTACCGGCTGTGGAGAGCAGAACATGCTTGGCTTCGTACCCAACATCGTAGCCCTAGAGTACCTCAGCGCAACCAATCAGCTGACGGATAAACTGGAGGAGAAGATCAAAGGCAACATGAGGGTGGGCTACCAACGAGAACTCAACTATCGCCATAGCGATGGCTCCTTCTCTGCATTTGGAGAAAGTGATGAATCAGGTCAGTTCAAAGAAAGTTTTCAAGGGAGGGGTTTCCCCGTTTCCAGCCTTGTTTCAAACATGAAATTCAGTTTTAGATCAGTATTATTCCATAACAATAATGCATATGATAACATTTCCAAGGGAGGCTATCCCTTTTTCAGATCTGTTACAAACATGAAATTCAGTTTAGATCATTATTATTACATAACAATAATGCATATGATAACATTTCCAAGGGAGGCTATCCCTTTTCCAGATCTGTTACAAACATGAAATTCAGTTTAGATCATTATTATTCCATAACAATAATGCATATGATTACATTTTCAAGGGAGGCTATCCCTTTTCCAGATCTGTTACAAACATGAAATTCAGCTGAAAATTAAAAAAAGTATTGCCCACAGAAATGGGTGTATGGGACTTCAAACACATGTGACATGAAAATTAGATCAGAAGTTTTCAACTATTTCTCGTATTATTTTGCACATGAGGGCACTTTAAGAGCACTCCTTTTTTCAGGGGACATTTCTACTATTAATTTTTGTTGTCCAAAATTACATAAACAGAATAAGAAACCTCATAAATTGTTTTCCATCTCTACCATAACTCAACCTTTCTTTAACTTCTCTGTCCCTCTGATAGGTAACACATGGCTTACAGCCTTTGTAGTGAGATCTCTAGTGCAGTCTAGTGATTTAATCTACGTGGACAGGGCTGATCTCAATATAAGCATTGCCTGGCTGAAGAGTCTTCAGAACCCTGACACCGGTTGCATCCGATCTGTGGGTTACCTAGGATACAAGGCTATGATGGTATGAACATTTGTTTTTTTGCACAAGGCACCGGTTATCCAGCAGGGTATAGACATTACCGTATAGTGTTCTCATTTTTAACTTCCATTTTCTTTTCCTTTTTTTTTTCTCTTGTAAAATGAACTGAACATGTATATGTGAATTGTAAGTCAGAAATGTTTTACTCTTAACTTTATTAGTGAATTTAAATTTTGGAAATTATTTCATGTGTGAGATGATTCGTAAATTAATTGAATTGGCCGTAAGATAACCATTTCTTTCTCCCTGTGTGTGTGTGTGTGTCTCTCTCTTCCTGTCTGTCTAATATATATATATATATATATATATATCTCTCTGTTATCCCCTTCTTTCTCTCTCTGTCTTTTTCAATCCATCTGTTTGCCTCTCTGTCTCTCTCTTTCTCTGTTTCTCTGTCTCTGTCTCTCTCTGTCTCTCTCTCTCTGTCACCCTCTCTCTCTCTTGCCTTCTCTCTCTTTCTACTCTCTCTCTCTCTTTCTGTTTCTCTGTCTCTCTTTGTCTCTCTCTGTCTCTCTCTCATGTAACCCACTCTCTCTCTCTCTCTGTCACCCTCTCTCTCTCTTGCCATCTCTCTCTTTCTCTTTTCCCTCTCTCTCTGTCTCTATATCTCTCTGTAACCCCCCCTCTCTCTCTCTCTTTATATCTTGTTCACACAGGGTGGTGTCAGTGGTGAATCCATGTTGACTGCCTATGTGGTAGTGACCTTCCTTGAGGCCGGCCTTCCCCGTGAGGTAAGTCCAGCTACTGTCCCTCCAATAGGACGTTAAATAGAGGCAAATTGTGCGAGATAGTCACAACCTATTCATGTTAAGAACCCACATGTACTGCATTCTCTAAGAGTAGGGGGGAATCTGGTTGTACAATGTACATGTAGTTCTGCACCTTAAAAAATTTATCTGTTATACCGTGAGAAATCTATCGGCCATCTAACTTGAGTCCTTGTGTAAACCTGCCAAGGTGGGTAGAGGTAGTACTGAGAGTTTTTAGGGGTGCCACCTCAATTTTTTGATCCTGCACAACTGACCTTAATTCTGTAAACTAAATAATGTTTGGATGTGAAGCTTGGACCCTGACATCAGACCTAAGAAAGCAACTTGAACGTTGTGAAGTTTGGTTCTTAAGAAGGATGCTAAGAATTTCGTGGACAGAAAGAGTTTCTAATGATGAGGTATTTGCCATGGCAGGAACAAGACGAAAGCGTCTGAATAATATAAGAGGTCGACAGCTGAGCTTCTTGGGCCATGTTATTCGAAAGAATGGTTTGGAAAATCTTGCACTGACTAGAAAATTGGTGGGAGGAGGAGTAGGGTTAGAAGGAGGATTCTGTGGATGAGTATCTTAAGGAGTGGGATTTCTGAACGTGGAATTGATCTCGGGGAGAATGAATTACTTAATAGAATATGGGACAAAGAGTTGTGGCATTCCACGGTTGCTAACATTTTAGAACATGGCACGTAAAGAAGAAGAAGGACATGAATATACAAAAACCTGTTGCTATGTCTTAAATTCTGTCTTCTCCCTCATTATTTCTCCCTTTGTGTTGGTTCCTCTTTCAAATATATGAAACTGTCTTTCCCATGCAGGATGAAGGTGTAGTAAGGGGTTTAGAGTGTGTCATAGCTGACTTGGAGTCAGTTGATGATACCTACGCTCTGGCTCAAATTGCTTATGCCTTAGCGCTGGCGGACAGGACATCAGAATTTGACCAAGTCATGAATAAACTCAAAGGACGAGCAGTAACAGAAGGTGAGACCATGAATGTCATCATATCTATCTTAGGATATCAAATCAAATAATTTCCATTTTTGAAAAATGCATTTACTAGTTGTTTTTAGTATTTTGGGCATTCAGGAAAATTTACCGGTAAGTATTTATGCGTAATGTGGATCTTTAGGTAAAATCAGTCTGAGGTAATTGAGTCGTATGTAATTCCCATCTTGGTAACTCTGTGCACCTGTGCTTTTGCTGGTCTCCTGTGGGGATGTGACATCATACGTCAAGTTTATATGCAATGTAAATTACTTTCACATTGCAATACAATCTTTGGCTCTAGCTTTGAGGAAAGTATCACGACTATTGTTATCCCCTGGGCCCTGTTTCATAGACCTTCTTATCAATCTCAAATGCCTAAATCCTTTAAGAAATGTGCTCTCAGCCAGTCAAATACAAAGATGTGAGTAAGTTATTGCAGTTATTGTAACTTGTTCTCGATAATAAACGTCATGAAACACGGCCTTGATATTATAAGAAGAAAAGCGCATATTGAATGGCATGGTTAAATCATTGAGACTTCTTACATTTTGATAACAGGTGATTTAAGCTACTGGAACAGCAATCGTCCAGTGTCTCCTGGACGATCGTACGGCTCAGTTTCTTCCAGTTCCATCAACATCGAGATCAACTCATACATGGTTCTGACACAGTTCTTGCGTCTCCCAGAAGCGGAAGCCCGCCAGAATACAGCAGTTACCATCAGATGGTTGATCAAGAACAGAGGGGCTCAGGGAGGATTCGGTTCAACGCAGGTGTGCATGCTCACAGACTTTCTTTAAAGCCCCACTGTACTACTTATAGCTACTTGCGCCCTCTATATAGCAAACAATACCTAATCAGTGCCTGTTGGTCCCCCATGATCCTCTTTTTCTTATGTTAATTGAGAGCTGATTTGATGAGATAACCACCTGACCACGCTGGTTGGTGTAGTCCCTCCTGGCCAAACTAGTACGGGAGGGCTTTAAAGGAGGTTCCAAACATTTTAGTAATTTGTGAAAGCAGGAAAAGAAGAGAGACATGAATTTTTTTAATTTCAGAGGAATCTGACAAATGATAACAAAGTTGTGATGTTTGAAAAATGAAATCACTTATTTACCCAATCCTCAAATTAGTAATGTAGTCAGTCAGTTATGAAATATTCAGGGACATTTCTCTTGTTTGTTGTATACACTTAATCATCATTTCATTTGCAGCATTTTCCTCTTTAAGGATTGTTTTAAGGATTACAGATTTATACACATATATTGTAGGTCCTCTAAATAGAAAAAGGATCCTACCGAGTTGTATATTTTGAAAAATTTACAGTTTAGTAATTTTGTGTGTTGGAACAAGTGGAATAGTTGTTTACAATGAAGGGTTCTTCCTATCCTCGTTTAGGACACCGTGATGGGTTTGACCGCTCTTGCTAAGTTTGCAGCCAACAGTGCTGAAAATACGGTCTTGTACGTCGAAGCCAAGCCTGTGAGTGCAACGGGAGAATTCATCACTAGACGCTTCTATCTCAATGAAAACACGAGGAGGCTACAAATAGAGCATCACTTTGATGGGATGTTAAGAGTCGTGAACTTCAGGGGCAAAGGAGAAGGATGTGCCTTGATCCAGGTAGAGTGTTAAGTCAGTTCAGTTGAATCAGTTCAGTCAGTTGAATCAGTTCAGTTGAATCAGTTCAGTCAGTTCAGCCGTTTAATAAAGTTCAGTCCAGTCGGTTCAATCAGTTCAATCAGTTCAATCAGTTCAGTCAGTTCAATAAGTTCAATCAGTTCAGTCAGTTCAATCGGTTCAGTTCTGTCCAGTCAGTTTAATCAGTTCAGTCAGTTTAGTCAGTTTAGTTCAATTAATTCAGTTCAGTCTAGCCAGTTCAATCAGTTCAGCTCAATAAGTTCATTTCATTTCAGTAAGTTCAATCAGTTCAGTTCTGTCCAGTCAGTTTAATTAGTTTAGTCAGTTTAGTTCAATTAATTCAGTCTAGCCAGTTCAATCAGTTCAGCTCAATAAGTTCATTTCATTTCAGTAAGTTCAATCAGTTCAGTTCTGTCCAGTCAGTTTAATTAGTTTAGTCAGTTTAGTTCAATTAATTCAGTCTAGCCAGTTCAATCAGTTCAGCTCAAAAAGTTCATTTCAGTTCAGTCAGTTTAATCAGTTTAGTTCTGTCCAGTCAGTTTAATCAGTTCAATCAGTTCAGTTCAGTTAAGTCACATGCAAGTTAAGTGAAGTTAAATACAGTTCAGTTGGGTCATTTCAGTTCATTTCACTTCAGTTAAGTAATATTGGTCCGTTCAGGTCAATTTACTTTATTAGTTTTCAAATTTCAAATTTTACAAGATTATTTATAAAAACATATGATACATTGATTTGAATCCATAAATTTTAGAGGTCAAACAAACTCATTTACACAGAATTCAAAGCTAAGTCTGTTAACCTTGTCATCCAAATCCTTTCTCTTAGATTGTAGTGAATTATAACATGAATTCAAGCAAAATTTGTAATATTTGACATCCTAATCCTCCCTCCTAGATTGCAATTAATTACAACGTCAAGCCAAGCGAGCCCAGTCAGCCGTCGTTCACACTCAAGACAGCAGTAGACCCGCTCAGGAGCAAGAAAGGGGTCTGCAATGACTACAGGCTCACAACCAGTACCAGGTAAAGTCAACAGATTTCACTCAAAATGCCTGAAAATCTCACTGGGTAGTTTTATTACTCTTTGCTTTAAAGTCTTATGCATCTTTTAACATCAAGTTTACAAATATGGGGCATACCTTTTCAGATTCATGTGACCTTTGGTTACCTAATGTTAGACAAAAATGAAGAATTTATCTGTGTTTTGTACTTTTCCTATTGCACATAAATGTATCATGTACGTATTTCATCTTTTGCACAAACTGCGCCTTGAGCATTTGACTGTCAAGTGGATTTGGTGCCTTATGAATATTATGTATTATTATTATTAATCTGAATATTGATCCAAATAGTGACCCCGAGTAGTAAAACTCAAAACTGTTAAAAAATTTAAAGGTTTGATGACTCTTCTGTCACGCAAACTTGAACCTAAATCAACGTAATCGATTTAATATGTGTTGATTGATGTACTGTCTCTTTGTTATGTAAAAGATTATATCATCTTTTGTGTGGTATTGAATAAAATGAACTTGAAGTCTTCCATATTTAAAAATTATAAAACCCATGGAAAATACTGATCAAAATCAGTTGCTCTAAGCACTACATATTGTGTCTGTTGGGCCTTTTGCTTTAGCTTGCATGTATTGAAATTCATCCAGGGCACATTTCACAAAGCATTTTTTCAATGACAAATGACAATAATCAGTGACAAATCTGCTGATAACCAATCAGAAGCAAGGATTTCAGTAGCTTATAACAAAAACTGTCATTTGTCACTGATGACAAGTTTTGTAAAACGGGTCTCAGATCTATCTATGATGCAGAAATCATTCTCTCCCTCCCCAGAAAAACAGAGATGAAATGCATGAGAAACAATTTAGAACGTTAGAACGTTAACATTCATGCATGTATTTCTTTTATTACTGCAAGCCCAATGATTTTGTAAGAATAAGCATCCATTATTTTTATCAATCCTAATAGGATGCTAAACAATGGTCTTTGATTAACACATGATACTCATCTTACTTTGATTCCTAACCAGTTATAACGATGGATTGGACGAGGAATCAAACATGGCACTAGTGACAGTCGTTCCTCCGTCAGGATTTTACCCGATCAAGTCTTCTCTTGAATCACTGAAGGATAGATCTCCAGCGGTCAAGAGGTTTGAAATCGATGGCGAAAAGATCAACTTTTATTTTGACACTGTGAGTACATTGTATTTCCCTCAAGGACACCAGGGGGTGTTTCACAAAGATTCTAAGTCAAACTTAACTCTAAGTTGGACTTAAACACTATGGAGAGCCATTTGTAGCCTTAAAATAAAATATATTCAAAAGCAAAAATTCAAGTATTTTAGACTTTCTTTAAATTCCACTTCAAGAACATGAAATCTCCTTGATGATAGAAAATATGAATGATTTGAGTCAACATTTTATGCCTTTTTAAATGACTTTTAGAAAATATTTTCATAGATACCAACGGCTTTCCATGATTTTTAAGTCCAACTTTGAGATAATTAGTTCAACTTAGAATCTTTGTAACCCCCCCCCCCCCCCCGTTACAATAACAAGAATGATTAATGGTTGCCAAGTCTCATTAGTTGTGTAAATCCATTATCTTAACTATATTTTTTATAACTTCCCTTTTTCCATATTGTTAATATTTTAATGTATACTTATGAATATTCTAGTGAAAGATTTTGCATGTTATTTACAGTACTATTTGCAAATGTATGTTTTCTCGTAATGTGATTTTTATGGAAATGAATAAACTAAATTGAAATTGTAAAAAAAATAATCTTTATTCCAGCTTGACAATGAAGTCCAGGTGTTCAGCTTTGATGTGACCAAGGAGTTTAATGTGGAAGACGTCAAACCAGGATATGTCACAGTCACAGATTACTATGAGAAGAGTGAGTTCACATTCGAATACACATAGCATGCTTAAGAGCAGAAGCCCACCTAGATATTAAGTTTGTTTTAATGGCAGCAGAAAATGAGAGAAACATGTCAGTGACATTTTGAGCAAAATCTAATTAAAAATATAAAAGTTACACATTTTTGAAGGTCAAACACAAAAATATGCAACTCTGTGACGTAGCTTGCGAGCTCCCCTCCCATTTGACCTGTAATTAAAAAAACTCCATCAAAATTTGTTTTGCAATCATACATTCACCCTAAATATCATCATTGCAAATGTATTTTTATACAAACGTAATAGATAACTAAGAAAATGAAACTTCATGAATTTTTCTGTAAAGAGCAAATTGGAGAGGAGCTCGCAATCTTGCCAATTTGTGTTTCACTGGTGACCATTTCAAATATTTCTAATTGGATTTTGTTCAAACTTGCTCTCATTTCTCTATTTTTTATTAAAACCAACTTCATATCTGGGTGGATATCCATTTCGGGTACTTTTTTTCATCTCCACTTGTCATTTATTTCCATGTTCTAAAAAAAATTTGTTTGCAGTTTCTTGTATTGTGTGAAGGAAACAATATGATATTGTAGATTTCTGTATATTACTCTTTCTAATGAAGAACAAAACATCAATTGTTAATGTACAAATAACTTAATAAACAATTGTCATCACTGATATGTAATTCTGGATATATAGATAAACTGCTTGTGGGAATTTTTTCGTATGAGTATTGCCATGAGCATAAGAGAAATGTTTTATTTTGAAATTCTTTTAAAATAAAAAATAACTAAATTTATATGAAGATTCAGAGCAAAAAAGGGTCGTGGATTTTATAATTGAAAAGTCACTGTAGTTCCTTTTTTCTAGGAAGTCCTGGAACCCTGGCATAAGATATTTTCTAGTTCTTGTTTATTTCTTTTTGAATTACAGGTTTGACAAAATCTATTGAGCTTGAGCTGGAATGTGACCCCGATCGTGAACCAATTGATGTTGAGTTTTTAAGCATTGATCCTGTGGAGGAGGATGTGTTGAAAGAGCTGATCCCACCACCTCCACCACCTCCCTTTGACCCAATGACCTTTGATCAAATGACCCTATCTCCATCCGTTGACGAAGCTACAGAGGAGAGAGTTCTTGGAGAAGGTCCAGAGCCGCAGGAGACACCAATCACTGAGGAAGGCACACCCTTCCCAGGATTCGGTTTCCAACCTACCGGTAAGGAAGGAGATCAGAATGTCAGCAAACCGGTGGAAGCGGTAGAGGACAAGCTCTCGCCTGGACCGGACAAGCTTGGACCAGAGTCCAAGGACGGTGGGGACTTACAAGGAGCTGGCGAGGAAGATACTACGAAGGAAGGGGGTGTTTCAGAGGAAGCAGATGAACATAAACCAGGCAAGGCTACAGATGGAACCCCTGCAGAGCTCAAGACCGATATCACTTTCGATGAACGAAAGGAGGAAGGTGGACATTCGAGTAGTGAAGAAGTGCTCGGAACTGAAGAAGTTGCGACAATGGCAACAGATCAAGGAATGGTGACGGAGATCGTCTATGTGGAAGGAACAGAAGGCACCCCAGAAGATGTAACTGGAGACGGAACGGTAGCCTATCGCTTTGAAGTGGGGACTCCCCTCGTTTATTATGGCGTCGAGGAAATCGTAGAAGGCACAGAGGTAGTGTCGACCGTACTTGATGGGACAGTGGAAACAGAGGTAACGGAAATAATGACCGGGGAAGCAGAGACAGGGGAAGCAGAGACAGGGACAGCAGTAACTGAAGAGGATGTGACAGTAACAGCAATGGTAGAAGGCACTGAAGCACCATCCACACCACCACCTCCACCTGACTTTGATGAGTGCACTGTTGCAAACATCTGCCCAGCAGGCACAGAGTGTTTCAACTTCCCTGGTACCTATGAATGCAGATGTCTTCCCGGCTACACAGAAGATGAAGAAGGAAACTGCCACGGTAAGAGCACATTCAGTTCTTTTAATCATCATTAGGCTGCATAATGCATACTGTAATACTTGATTCATAAGGCCTAAAAAAAAAAAATGTTGTATTGCCCTTTGCGACTGACCCGAAAAACTTGATATCAACGGTCGTTTTTTTTAAATAATTTTATTTTACAGTTTTTTAGAAAAATTATGTATTAAACAATTCAAAACCGAAAAATATCAGCCCAAAGAAGGAGTAAAAAAAAAAAAAAAAAAAAAAAAGATATCTGACCGACCGACCCATGTTTTGGCACCTAAAGGGCAATACAACATCTTTTTTTTTTAGGCCTAATACATGTCATGAATCATCTGTTTGGAGCCATAAGGAGATTAACTCTTAGTAACATGAATTAACACCCTTGTTGTTCCAAACACCTGTCCATATAATGTTGAGGTAAAGGAAAAATTGTGGGTCTCGGTGGAAATTTTAAAGATGATAATCAAAGATATGCATTTTGTATCTTAATCCTTTTGGGCAAGCAAAGCTAAACCATGTACCTGTACCAAATCTAGCTGTATTATATGGTTCGTTGAGGAACAAAAGGATGCTAAATGATATCAGAAAGTGAAGCCATTACCGGTACCTAAAGGAACTGGGTGGTCACTATTAAAACCAATATGAATGTGATCATTCAATAGTCATTAGGTTTATACCCTCCTGGCTCTGAATAGATGGCATGAGAAGTGTCATCATATTAGTAAGGCCTTTCCAAAAGTGTTGACGAGAATGGGTTTCTAGTCCAGAGCGTGTGCTCACTCGGGTTGACACCCCTTGTTCACATCCAAAATGAGTCGACACCCACTCGCCGCAGTAGTGAACATGATGACGTCATGCACGTGACATATTTGTCATGCATATGCCACTTGAAAGGGCTCATAGTACGTACATGTATGTACGTACTATCGCTAAAGAGAACGGCCTACTAGATTGAGGTGACCGTCAAAACCAAGGTGGACACGTTCTTGATTCTGGGGGGTGTTTCACAAAGATCCTTAATTGGACTTTAAAAATATGAAGAGCCATTTGTAGCCTTAAAATAAAATATATTCAACAGCGAAATTTCAAGTATTTTAGACTTTTTATAAATTCAACATCAAGAACAGTAGAAAATATATGATTGATTTGAATCAACATTTTTTGTGCCTTTTAAAATAACTTTTATAAGATATTTTCATAGATGCTAATGGCTTTCCATAATTATTAAGTCCAACAAGAGAAAAGTTCAACTTAGGATCTTTGTGAAACGCGTCCCTGGTAGTGGACAGGGTAGACAACGTGGGTCATGCGCAGATCATCAGAATGATGTCATCATGTCACAGTTCACTACATCAACGTGACAATCAAAAAGTCCTTGGTAGTCTTTGACCAAACAAGGAATTTTTTTAAAATCATTCATGTAACTGGTTACTGTAATTGTTATGTAAATTGATCCAACTACAAATTAAAGCATTGATTTCTACTCTCTGATGTTGTTTCTGTTTTAAAGATTGCGCTTACTGTGGGGATACGTTACCGGAGGACGGGAAGGACCGATTCTGCAGCTCAGACTTTGGTGAGTTTATATTTGGCAATGATGTTACATGTATACAGTATAGATTGCATCCGCAATATATTTAAAACAATTTTTTTAATTAAGTTGTTAATATAGAGTATTGGTTACAAAGTTGCATTGAGACATTAAATGTCCAGATACTGTTTGGGATCATTAATATATGTAGAATGCACATGCTCTTAAAAGAAAAAGAGTGTTTTGTGACAGCTTCAAACTTTGAATCCAAGAAACAAAAACAAAAAGACAGAATTCTTGTGGACAATCACCTCATTAACATTGCTACATGTAGTTTGTTATTCTTTTATATCCTCCTCTGTTTGGAGCCAGAAGGGCGTTAACTCTGTGTTAGAGTATACAAGTTAAAAGCCCTTCTGGCTCCAAACAGACAATATGGTTGTAACAAGAAGGAGAAAGCTCATTAATTAATTACTTTTCATGATACCTTGTCCATCTCTTTTAGATGCAGGCCTTGTAATATTTTTTCCCCTTCCAAATCAAGTGTAGTCTGGAGTTTTGGTTATTCTTAAAATATGCATCCAAATTTTCAAATGATACCGGTACTTAAACTAATTATGGGACTTTTTACCAATGTAATTTATGTCAGCCGAATCTATTTTTTGTAGAAAATATAGATAGTTGTTTTTACCCACAATATGTGAACTCTAGTTAAAATGTGGAAATTTTTCAAGAAATAAATACATGCACAGTTGATATTTGATTCCAATTGTAGTTAACATTGTGAAGAAGAGAAAGAGGATGAATTTAACCTACGTTATGTTATAACTAGTTGCAAATGTAAAACTATGCTTTGAATGTTGATGTTGATATTGATATAGGCCTACTTGATGATAGATTATATAGTGAAGAGGAAAACGAGGATAAAGTATACCTCTGTAAAACTGAGTTACAGTTGTAAAGCCAAATTTAGAATATTATTCTGTGTCCAATTGAGGTTTAGATTGTCAAAGAGAGAAAAAAGAGGATAAACTGGCTTATTGTATAATATATAGAAACAGTTGTAAAACCATATTTTGAATATGATATTCTTGTTCCAATTGTAGTTTACATTGTGAAGAGGAGAAAGAATGACCTCCGTCTACTCAAAGAAAAGCGTTTTACAGATGAAGTGCTTGATGGTAGAGTCTACCGTTCATTTGAAGTTCCTGATAACACCTGTACGTGCGACATGTTGGGATACAAAGCAGGTACGTCAACTGGTTTAAACACTGTATTGGAAGTAGAAAGGTTGTGGGTTTGAGCCCTGACATAGCACCAGTGTCATTTGGCAAGACATTTATCTACATTTGCCACTCTCTACCCAGGTGTTAAATGGTTTAATATCTGGCAGGATAAATATTGTGGGGATTGGTATATGTGTGTTTGTAAAATGGTGCCTGGCCGGAATACTCCCCAGGAAGCAGAGTGTGTGCACTATCATGTGCAGATCAGCAATTACAACCAATGATCAGGGTACTAATAATTACAAAGTAAAGTGCTGAGAAACGTAGTACATGACTTCAGTGATATTGAAATGTGACTATTATCAATCGCAAGTTGTTCCGAAAGATATCTGATATTTCAGAGAAGCAGAATCAATGAAAGTTTGAACAAAATTGGACGAACAAGACAAAGAAGAAAAAAAAAGGATTTTTGACCGTTGTAATCATTATACATATTTGGAAATCTCAAATTGACAAAGAAGTCATTGGACTGTGATGTATTTGGGGACCCATTTGTTTTCCAATATTATCAGTAATTTCTGTTTTTCTCCCAAGTGTGCTTTTCACAGGGCTGTAATTAAAATATATGATGGATAAGTTGTAGTGTTTTGGTCTAGTCCCAATGTTCCCAATGTTAATTGATGACTTTTGGAAGTATATGCTGAGTGTATCTCGCTCTTCTCTATTCTTTTCTTTTTCTTTCCCTCTCTCCATTTCAGCGCACAGGGACATATTTGTGATTTATACTACTTTTAAGTATGGTCAATATTAATATTGTTATATCCATTTTTCTTGTATCTTGTTTGTGCAGTGGAACGCTTCATCATCATGGCGAATGCAACAAGCGAGGGCGATAAGCCTCTCATCCTGGACCATACTGCCACCATCCTTCCGTTCATGGGTCTAACCATAAATGAGCTGGACGGCTGGAGAGACGAGTGCCCCTAGAGGGCCTCCTCTATCACATCCTTCCTTTAATACCCTCATAGTGACAGTACAGGGGGCTTTTCACAAAACTTGTCATCAGTGACAAATGACAGTCTTTGTTATAAGCCACTGGAATCCTCGCTTCTGATTGGTTATCAGCAGATTTGTCACCAATTTTTGTCATTTGTTATTGAAAAAAGGCTTTGTGAAACAGGCCCCAGATGAGTGACTTAAAATCAAATCTTCTTGAGACAAGTTTTCAACGTTACCTGTTTATTGATTGTTCATATTTATACAACCAATATTTCTGAAGAAATATGCTGAAGAAAGGTGTATAATTCATATTCAGAACTCCTTTTATTACTATCTCTTCAATACTTTCTTTGTCACATTTTCAATAATCATTTCAAGCCCAAACAAAAGTAATTATCAAGAAAAATTGTTTGTCTTGTTGTTATGGGTCTGAATGGTTATTCTGTACATTTCTTCAGCAGTATTACATTTCTTGAATGAACACATGATTACTAGAGCTTCTATGTGTAAATTAATCATTAATTTGTGAGGAATGCATATCAGAATCATTCTGTGCACTTCCAACATACAAGCATATTTTGTACAGATATTTGTAATATACTTTATAAACAATAAGATATGCAGTATGGTAGTATTGTCCTAGATATCATTAACATTAATATTAGCTTATATTATTCATGTAGCCTATTCCTTATCATGATTAGGCATTACTAGCCTTTGTATAGAAATAAATGTTTAATTTGTTACACAGGAAATTGTCCAGCCAGCTGTGTATAATGGATATAGCATGTAGTTGCGTTCAAAAATCCTATACTTGAAACTGCCAAGTAATTGTATGTTTAATGTTTATAATATCCTCATCATTTATTTGATGTACCTTTTTACTGTATGTATGAATGTTCTGTTCAACTCCTTGTGTACCACAAAATGTGTGGTTTAAATTTTGAAGATAAATGTTTAAAGTTGTCCAGCCAGCTGTGTATCTTGGATAAAGCATGTATTTGCGTTGAAAAAAAATCCTATACTTGAAACTGCCAAGTAATTGTATGTTTATAATATCCTCATCATTTGTATGATGTATGTATGAAAGCTCTGTTCTACTCCTTATGTACCACAAAAATGTGGGGTTTAAAAAAAAATGTTTAATGTTGTCCAGCCAGCCGTGTATATTGGATAAAGCATGTAGTTGCGTTGAAAAAAATCCTATACTTGAAACTGCCAAGTAATTGTATGTTTATAATATCCTCATCATTTGTATGATGTATGTATGAAAGCTCTGTTCTACTCCTTATGTACCACAAAAATGTGGGGTTTAAAAATAAATGTTTAATGTTGTCCAGCCAGCTGTGTATGTTGGATAAAGCATGTAGTTGCGTTGAAAAAAATCCTATACTTGAAACTGCCTATACTTGAAACTGCCAAGTAGTTGTATGTTTATAATAGCCTCATTTTTACTGTATGTTTGAAAGTCCTGTACTACTCCTTGTGTATCCCAAAATGTGTGCTTTAAAGATATATTTCAGAATTGACATTGATTTCTCTTGAGGATAGGTAAGTCCATACACTACAAGCGGGTTTAAAAAAAAGTTGTTCATTATTATTGCTTTAGATTTTACTTGTATTAGCTCTGCGTACATTACTATTTGAAACAGATCATTTCATCCTACTAGATTCTACAACTGCTGTTCTATTTCTGATGTTCCTAAGCTCATGAACTGTGCAAGTACATATACCTTGATATGATATTCGTTCTTTAACAGCTGTTTAGTATAAATTGTAGTAGTCAGGATTTGTTTGTTTATGTTTTTCCACTGGAGACTTGTAGATGTTATATCATAATGAGGTGTACTAATCTTTGTTTTTGTTTTGATGGTGATGGGATGTGAAAAAATTAAAAGAAAACTGTCAATTATCACATTAATTGTTGTCAATTGTTTGGTCATGTGTATTGATTGCTCTTTGATAAAAGCACTTCACAATATTAATCAGGCACTTTTTACATTTAATCTGAAATGATCCCTGTTAAGCTGAGAATGAGTCATTCACATACTATTTCTTTATGTCCTTTGATGTACATGTATGTTAGAGAATGAGAGAGAAGAAAGACGGGAGAGAAGAGAAATGAAGAGAAAGAGGGGAGAGGGGATAAAGAAGAGATCTAAGCAGGCAAAGGGAAGGTGTGTGTATGTGTGTGTGAGAGAGAGAGAGAGAAAGAGAGGGAGAGGGAGAGAGAGAGGGGGGAGAGGGAAGGACAGAGAAAGAAAAAAAAGGGGGAAAGGTAACAAGAGAGGACGGAATTTGGAGTGAGACGGACGGTGTTGGAGAGCAAGTGATTAGAGAAAGGGCAAACAGAATAAGAAAAATGTACCTGTACATATGTTGTAGAGAGAAAGAGAAAGAGAAAGAGAAAGAGAAAGAGAGCACTCTTGACATGTACATGTATATACAAATCAATGAAAATGTAACAAATTCTAAATGAAAAACGGGGAACTAGAATACAGAAAGTCTAAATTTCAGATACATTTCTAAAAGTTCTTCAAATTTTCAAAAGAAATGATGATAAACATGTAGCATTAAAACTACTTTATAGATGTTCCCTATTTCTGTTAGTGTACACCTTAGCCGTACAGGGCCAACTGATCATGTCTTTCCTATGCACAATACCAGGAACTCGAGGCATCGTGCACTAAGTGTATATTACCAGCTGGTCCTGTGCAGCCAGGCTGCGCACAAACATTACTGCAGCACTAAATCACCCTGAATAGGAAGTTTTTGTTTATTTTGAAGAAAATATCAAGAATATCCCCTCTAATGAATGCCTGCAGGAAAGGAATATATTAGTCTTCAAATGTGAGAAAATGCATGCCAAAAAAATTGTAGAGCGAACTTTTGGAAAGGCATGAGGAAAATAACTCTCAGTGAAAAGTTAAAGTATACTTTTAACAACACAAACAGTGTTCTTGGGATCATGATATCAGTGTCAGACTGACTTGATATTTGTCTCCCAAAATATGTAATCTTCATTACTTGAAAAATAATTTGGTTTCTTGTGCGTTGATATCGTACTGATCTCTTCCAACTAAAAAGATAATAACTCGACAGAAAAGCACATTACTTGATTGAACTTAAAGTCAAATTGAATTTTATTACAAAACATGGACTTGTAACAAGCATACAATATCATTGTTTTTTTCTTAACTTCAACATAAAGTAGACAATAATGACAAATTGTTCGTTGAGAGGTAGAAGGTTACCGACTCTTTCTAAAAGAAAAGGATGCAAGTTAAGACCCTTCAGGTTCTCAGTAGATGACATGATTGACCGGAGAACATGGTTGACCGGAGAACATGGTTGATCGAAGGACTTGATTGACCGGGGGACATGGTTGACCGGAGAACATGGTTGACCGGAGGACATGATTGATCAAAGGACTTGATTGACCGGGGGACATGGTTGACCGGAGAACATGGTTGACCGGAGAAAATGGTTGACCGGAGGATATGATTAACCAAAGGACTTAATGGGCCGGGGCACATGGTTGGTATCTGTAGGATCATCATTCTGATAAATGCATTAATGGCACTGTTAAGGTTTCAAATGAATGAGCAAAAACACAATCAATGTACTAGGTACCAGCAAAAAACAAAACAGAAAGGCCTATATCCCTAACTCAGATAATTTAAGATTAAAAATGCAATTTAAAACTTTTAATATAGGCTCTTGGCCAGATCATATAAAATATCTAAGGTAAAATAAATGTAGACAATTTGTTTTCTTGCAATGAAGGGATTTGCTTGCTACTTTTTAAAAGTATCCATTTTGACACTTTAAAAGAAGATGGGAAAAAATAGATTCATGCACAATTTTACAGAAAGAAGACTTTTGGGCTATTGGTCTGTATAAAACTGAACAAGTTAAACAAATTAAATGGAATTTGAATCTTCAGATAACAAAAAAAAAAGTGATATTCTCACTTACTTCTTCACACATCGATACAAAGACATTCTGACCCATTGATCTTAATGCTTTGAACCATAGTGATTGTTAATCATATTTAGAAACCATCATGAACATGATAATCAACTACAGGGGCAAAAATGGAAGAAAACTAGTCAAAGGGAATGCATTCTGCATGTACAGACTTCATTTTTACTTTATCATGAAATAATGATAATTCCAGAAATTTGCAGCTCAACTTTCTGTAGCTAGACTATGGTTGAAGAGCCATGTGCACAAAAGGATTTTGTGTGCAGGGTCTGAACTTGTTACATTTATAGACTACACAAATAAATGTCTATTGGGCACTGTTGATTTGAGCTGGGCTTTGACGACTATGGTTTGTCACAATAGGTCTATTTTTGCAGACTTAATACAAGAACCAGTTAAAGAATGAGGCATATAAAAACAGTATATATATGCCAGACTCTATTTAGTGATTGACTGTTCCAGAGAATGGCTGAAAAGAAGAAAAAATCAGAAGAAAAACAAAACAGAGTCCATAGTTTACTACCAAAAAAGGGTCTGCAGTTTCAGACTAGCCAGAGAGAACAAGAAAACATGTTCTATGACTCTTTGGAATTATACACCACATGTCAAACTCTTTACAATTACTGAGTAGTATTAATGACCATGAAATTTGTCAGTGTGTCCAAGTAGAGTCTATACTTGCAGGACAGACACAGGAACAGCCATAATATGGACCATATGAGATTGAAGTCTACATTTCAGACGCCGTAAAGCAAGTTCAAATGACTGTATCCAACTGCCAGATGCATGTCGGTCGTTTCCATATCAAACCAAAATAGGTCACGATCATGAGGCTCATCCCCTACAGTCTTCCTGGTCGCTTGTCTAACCAGAAAGCCAGAAACATTTTTCCATACTGTGTTGGTCCTCATGAAAAAAATCTACCTTCTTGGTAGTTGGTACAGTTCTTGGTGAATATTTACAATGCTGAGATAAGAGCAGCTAGTCCCGTGTAACCATGCGGTCGTCAGAACCTCTTTTGCGTACTGATGTATAGCACTGAAAGAAATGAATGCAATAAAATGTACATGAATGGATGTTGATCAAGAAACAAGGCAAAAAGAATGACTGATCATGAAGAAGAAGAATAGGAAAAGACACAAATAATATGCATTGTAGCTTCGTTGTGGATATAACTTAAAAGGAAATTTGATAATTAGACAAAATAGGAAGGAACATCATGGATATGAGGATCACACACACAGAGCAGCAATATTGATAGTCTATAATTAATCAAATTGAGAACTATCTTCTCAACAAATAGCATGAACAACACAAGGATGAAACTTTAGATACCCACTATTAAATTTAATGAACACAGCTTAAAAAATAAATTCATCTGCTTCACTAAAACATAAATCAATTCTTTCTCAAATCTTCTGCTTTCATCCAAGGCCATTTGTTATCAGGACTGCACTGCCCTTTACAATGTGCAAAATGTAAACCGGTCACAGATTTAGCAGGGGGAGGGGTGCACAACAGACCCTTAATAGATTAATAGACGAAACAAAAAATGGGCAAGACTCTTCCTCTTTATCATACCTCAGACACAACGCTAAATCGACACCATACATCCATATTATACAATAAATAGTTTTTACATACCATTATTTCCTCTGATGAAAGCATCTCCATATTTGTTTTTGAGCTGACCATTGACATACTCCTCCGTCTGCTCCAAGGCAATGTTCATATACCCATCCAAACAGGCCAAGACTCCTATCATCAAGATAGACAAGATAAATAGATTTTAATGACACCTTCTGAATTTAAGTAAGGCCTAAAAAAAAAGATGTTGTATTGCCTTTTACGTGCCAAAACATGGATCGGTCGGTCAGAAATCTTTTTTTTATTTTTTTGAAAGCCGACCATAGATTTCAAGATTTTGGGTCCGTCGCAAAGGGCAATACAACATTTTTTATTTTTATTATGGTGACATTTAACTTATTGCTTAATAACAGTATATTCTCAATTAATGAACCCCAAATTTGACTTCATAATAAGAGGCAGTAAAATCTAGCATACATCAGTAAAAAAAAATAATTACAAAAATTACACAAAGGATTATAAATTTTCCAAACTTGAATCACTCATGATATGGATGTATTTAAATAGCAAAAAGTTATTTTACAACTAAATTTCTTGAATCCCTCCTCTCAACATAACAATGGAACAAACCGTTTTACATGGATGATGACATATGTCAATATGTTAAAGGTAATACAAAGTTTTGGTAAATTTTGAAAATTGGCTGGATAGTGATTCTTTACAATTTGTATATATTTGGATGCCCCTGTGGATGTATTTTAAGCACCAGAAAATTTAGCCTCTAAGACACTTCTGCTTTCGAGAAAATTTGAATTAAAAAATTTACCGGTGCTCACAGTAAATTTTGATAAATTTCAAATAGCGCCTACGGCCAAACAATGGTAGCTGCGACCATGAAAATCTCAGAATATGTAGTTGTGGTATATAATTTCCAAATGGGAATAGCCAATCGGTCGATTCTAGTCAAGAAACATTATTTTATAGCTAAATTGATATCTTGACCTTGAGAGGGAGCTATACAACATGAACAGCTTATTATTTACGGTACAATTTCATCACTTTAGACTCGATTTCAACAGCGACAAAGGTTACTGAATATTGTAGGATCACATATGCTTCCAATATGTTAATTTGAACCAAATATGGAACAGTCTTTATGTATATATATTTAACACAGGTCTAGAGACTGCATTGTCAATTGAAGATTCCCATATCACTAGTGAGCTCAATTTAGTTTTTAAAAAACAAAACATTTTCATTTTTTGTCTGGATCTTCTTAAACTCTCACTGATATGCAAGAAGAAGAAGAAGAAAAATAATAAATGAGGATAGGAAGAAAAGGGAGAAGAATTATTTTTTTTAATAGAGAAAGAAAATGGAGGAAATACAGAAATAGAGAAGGAGGTAAAGTCTAAAGAAGGATAAGAAGTTACAAAAAGGAGATAAAAGAAGAAAGAACAAAGAAAGAAACAAAAGAAGGAACAAATAGAGGAAGGAGAAAAGGATTAAGAAAGGATAGTGAAGAAGGAAAATTAAAGGAAGTTAAAGAAAAAGGAAAGGAAAAAGAAGAGGAAAAAGAAGAGGAAAAAGAAGAAGAAAAAGAAGAAGAAAAAGAAGAAGGAAAAGAAGAAGGAAAAGAAGAAGAAAAAAAAGAAGAAAAAGAAGAAGAAAAAGAAGAAGAGAGAAGAAGCACGATAAAGAAGAACAATAAGAAAAAGAACCATTGCCATTGATTAGGCATTACATTACTCGTAGTTACCTCTATAATCTACTCCTGAATTGAGTTTAACGACAACTGGTCTGCCAATGATGAGCTTCAAGAAATCACTTGGTGTTTGTTTCCTTGCCGTCGTAGCAGAAGTCATGATGTCAAAACAAAGTAAGTCACTAGTCTTTAGATGAATCCACAGCTGTTTGACAGAGTTCAAGATCCGCAAGAAATGTCGTTCCACTGAAGTGAAGAAGTCTCAATTAAGTAGTCGGACTCAAAGAGCTCTGATATTGATAACAAGAAAGTGAAATAAATGTTAGGAATGAATGTAAGCTTTCGCTAGCTTCTACAGGGCAAGGTACCTTGCAGTCTCATATTTTTAAGAGCACGAGGAAGAAATTATGATCAACCTTGACGGAGAACAACCACCAAATATCATTACTAGAATCATTCAGGCTTTGGATACACACAAAATAAAACACTAAATCTAGGCCTACAACATTGTCAATTCCTGGGACTGAAGATAGAATTCGTTTTAAATGTAACTGATATTTATAACGCATCTAAGACACTGTACGTATAGAACATCGAAAATAAATAATCAACATTACATTTATAACAGAAGATACATAAATTAAGGCCTATTCTCTGTTTATATTATTATAATCACCTTTCTCGAAAGAGTTTATGAATCTTGGCATGCGCGCGAGTCCGTCAACCAATAGCCTTATCACAGCAGTTAATGATTTAAATATGTGAAATCCACTCGACAACAAGTTATTATTGAATAGTATCTTTCATGAAAAAAACAAAAAATTCAATATATATTTATTTTTATTTACTTCTATTTATCTTAGTTTCTCATACATAAATTTCGTATATCGCAAATTTGCACACAAATTATAACAGTTTCGCTGAATAGCTGATGAGCAGGCTAGCTTTGGGGAATTCCCGAGCGCTGCCCGAGCTTTGGCAACTTCATTTTAATGCCCAACTTATTTGTAGTGAAAGTCTGGGGAATCTTTCATCATTGCTATTTGCATGAGCAATATCACAAGTCCAATTCAATATCAGGAAAAAGGAGTGCAAAGTCAAGACTAAGCTGTGAGGTGAGTTATGCCTAGCAATCTGCCGCTTATGACTTATAATAATATTTCAAATAGCTAAAATTCATTTCCCCCTATTACACTACATGCAGACACAGTACAATTACAACACCATGTCATGAATTGTCATACTCGTGTGAGTCACCGACTAGGTCTACACCATTACATTCACTGAATCAGTCCTGATTATGATTTACATTTTACTATTTACATACCCTGGCTGAAGTGCAAATACAAGTGCTTAGTTCTGCAGCATATTAAATTTTATGAATAAAATCGCTGGAAATAATGTGCCTAATGTGTTTACCGGTATCTAATAATAATACTAAGGTTAATCAACACGTCTTTCTTGACACTTAAATTATACTGTTAGCTTAAGTTGAGATCTTAGTTGGGTCAAATTTACAACAATTAATTAAGGTTAATTTTGGGTCTCCTGATTTCCTGCAGTGTGCACCTTTCACATCATAGTGTAGACATGGTAGCCCCCCCCCCCCCTCCCCCTCCTTTAAATCTATGCCTTGGCATGTGTAGACCAAAAGCTTCAGTCTCCTCCTGTATTGAAGGGCAAGCTCACTATCCCATTAAATTTTTTCTCTGTTTTATAGGATGGCTGCAGGTGGCAGGGGAAAATCTGCATTTCTTTCTGATGACGTTAAAATATATGAGCTTTCCGAAACCATTGATGCTCCTCGCAACTATAAAAAGATTGGTATGGACTTACTCGATTCTGATGCTGACGTTTCGAGCATTATTGGACAGACGTCGGTTGACTACGAAAATGTGGTTTTCAATTGTTTGATTCATTGGAGAAATGCCAATGGAGTTGGAGATGGACAGTGCAGGGAATTAGTTATGATTCTAAAAGAGTGTGGATTGACAGATGCAGCAAGCTGGTTACAAGAGGGTAAGTTGAGACAGCTACTATCTGTAGTGCATTATTCTTGATAAAGTGCAGATGATAAATAACAATTTGTGTTGTTGTCATGCTTCTGTTTCTAACAGTTTTCGTTAAACAGCCTTTTGACCTGTTCCTTGGTTGTTAAAGTGGATGAAAACAAAAGGAACTTTTTTTTTTTAATTGTGTTGTAAATAAAAGAATTTGCTGGAAATAGAGGCATACCTGAACAAATTTGCAATTCTTCACTGGTTCAAATTAATTATAAACAAAATGTAAATGAAAGGTCAGTGAAACTTAGAACATCTTTCCAACAATAGGCACAGATGTATGAAAAAAAGGAAGCTGATTTTCTCACTTATTCATAATTTGGTCTTTATTAGCATTCATAAACTTGTTATGATCTTGGATAAGGGCGCCTTCTCTGTTAGATTATAATACATAAAATTATATGGAAGAGTAAAAACTATTATTGAAATTCAAAAAAGAAATAAAGAAAATATCTTTTATATCACATTATAATCATTATTTTGTCTTCATTTTTCCTAATATTCCCTGGTTTCAGAACAAGGAGAAACATCAAAGTGTCTGAGTAAAGATGGAGTTTTGCTTGAAGTATCCTCTATGATCGATGGTCCGGAGTACTATAGCAAACTGGGTCTAATACTCGTGGGGGATAAAACCACTCTTTCAAACATGATTGGCGGCAGTAGAACACCGAACTACAAAGAAGCCCTCTTCAAATGCTTTATCCAGTGGAGGAATAGAGAAGGATCAAGTCTGGAATCATCCAGGAAACTTCGAAAGATCCTCCACAAACGGAAGCTGAGCACCACTGTAACCCTGTTAGAAAAACTAGAGCCAGGCCTGATCTGTAAGAGAGGTAATCTGTTAGTTAGGATGGTTGTGTGTATGTGTGTGTCACTCAGGCATGAGAAAATACCCCTTTCATGTTTACATGAATTACTCTTTTTTAACCCAATAATTTCCCATGTCCGACCTGATTATTGAATAATAGTACCTCCTGTGATGCAATAAAGTATCAAAGATGAATGAGATATTGCTCTATTGCATTTTGTTGTTATTGATGTTGCAAAAAATATAAAACAATATTGTGCATGAATCAGCTATAAATTTGAATGACTACAAAATTGCCTTAGATTAGAAATTAAGCATACAAAACAGCTCTTCCCTTATCATCCCTGAAACTAATGTATACAATTGTAAGAGCTTTAAAAATAGAAATTTTATGGAGGAGAAAGAAAACCAAACTTTCACCTACTTTGTTTTTAAAGGGATCCAGTAATTTTGTCTTAGATCCTTTAAAACAATCCTTGATTTAGCTCATGCTGCAGTGATATTCATAAACCTTTAGGTAAGTCAGGAACCCCATGACTTTTACAAGCCGATCGCCTGTCTGATTATCAAGATATTTATGATTGAAAATCGAAATCAAATTTTGCATTTGCCAACAGTCTATTGGGGAAAACGAGTATGGTAAAACCGGTCACTCCAAGGTTTTTTCTTTTTTGAGGCACTTCTTAATCATTTTAGGGCTTCAATATAACACCATATCACAGACAATGATAACACGTAGGGCCGTGCATCTCAGATATAACATTATTAAATGATCCCTTTAATGTTGTTATATTTGCAGATGAAGATTCAAGGCGAATGGATACCTGCAGGGAACCGGAGGCAGGACTCCATATGGGAGGAGCCAAATGAAGATTTCAATGTCATTCAGGGCAGCAGTAGCTGGTAGAGACTAATATTTTACTATGTCATGTATTTTTCCTGCATGTGTATGAAAATATTTTTTAGCAGTGCCTTTTGATGACGATGATGATGATGATGGTGATAATGATAGTGATGATCCTGCTGCTGCTACAGTAACTGCTGCTGAGGATGAGGATGATGATGACGGTTTGTTTTCTTTACCTGACTGCTATGAAAACATGTGTATGCTTGGAAATAGGCAACCAAGAGACCAATACCGGTATCCAAGGGGCTGGGGAATAAGGATTAATGCCTTTCAGAAGGGCACTAGTGCATCAACTTGCAAGGTTACTAACCCTACCTTCAAGTTATGAGACCCCCACTCTACACTGAGCCTCCAGGTGCAGTGTCATAGAACAAGACTAATGTGTTTAATGTAGAATGGCCATGGTGTGAGGGGGCTGCAAGAATGGGACACTATATTATCTCTAGAATATCCAGTACTGAGAGCAGCTCATCAGCCTTCTAAATTGCATGCTGACAGGATATATATATATATATATGTACAGTCAAACCTGCCATAGTGACCATCTGTCTACAAAGACCACCTGTCTACAAAGGCCACATTTGTTGTTTCCCTTGAAAATGGTTTCTCATTGAATCATGTACTACAGGATCCTGTCTACAAAGGCCACTTTTTTGTGTTTCCCTTAGGCGGTCGCTATAGACAGGTTTGACTGTATAAGCTTCAACTAGAGAAAGAAAGAAAGAAAAACCAAATACTTGGTCACATCAAAAGACATTAGAGTCTCTTGGATGAAGAAAAAAAGTGCATTAAGTTATAAACGTACAATAATGAATTTGTTTAAAACTTCAGGTATTGTGTGTTTCGATGGAAGCAGCAATGAGCCTTATTCACACATTGCATGTTAAACTGCTTCAAAAAGTACATCAACAAAATAATATGAAAACAATTGTAGTACATTCACAAATTTGCACATGAAATAAGACAGCGATCACATAATACACTTATATGTCTTTGCTCATATGATAGTATTTTTCACCTTGCCTTACTTTTCATTTACACATACATTACTTTTACCTTGCTGGAGCAGTTTCTTAGGCAGTTTATATGTAATGTCTGAATTAGGCTCATATGTATCAGGTTTACATGTATGTCTGCTATACCTCTAACTATTGTGCTGGTATGGATTTCAGCCATTCTGTTTGTATCATTATGTTTCCAGTCATTCTATTTATATCATTCAAGTTCACGGCAAGCCACAAGTCTTTGAATTTTTATATCAAATAACAGGGATTTTTTAATTGGGTTGACATAAGTAAGGGCAGTGCTTCCAAATTAAATAACTATCGGTATTACATACATGTATTATAGATCATCATGTTTGTAAAGTAAGTCTTTAGGCCTCGTCTATAGAGGCTTCATTTGTAGGTACTTAAGATTTGGATTTATATTAAACCATTATTCACTGAAGATTTAAATCCTAAACTGCCACATTGTTTAGAGTATACATTTATGTTCCTTCCATGCTGCATGTCCATCAACAGTCGACTGTGGACATCCAATAGTTGTTCATTGGTCAACCAAAGTGGGCAGGGGGTTAACAAGGATTTTGGTTGTGACTGTACCCGACCAGGGTTATTAAGGTGCATCATGTTTTGTCAACGGTACAGTACTAAAGAAGATCTGTCACCTAATGGTATTATAATCAACTGTTTTCTTCTGAAAATGCATGTTAGGTGAGAATAAACTGAGTCCTTTGGCAAGACATTAATCCACATTTGCCACTTTCCATCCGGGTGTAAAATACTTATTCAATGAATCATGTAATTGTGTGATCATAGCACCATAAAAATGTGCAACTGGTGTAATTTGCCTTGATTAATTTTTATGTCACAGGGATCAAATCTAATGGAAAGTTTCAAGATGTAATTTTTTTAAACATTCCAAATCTTTACTTTCAATGATTTTATTTGTATTATATTATTAGACAGGAGTTTATGTGTAGGGAAATTGTATTACTTCAGTACTTATATGTAATATATCTATTACTGAATCTGCAGCATAGAGTGTAGTATATAGTGGAATTTTGTCTACTTGTGTAGTCTTTTACCTCGAAACTTAAGCATGTAGTTTCTTTTTTCTTTTATTTATGAACACACTATTAGTCAAATTAATTGTGATATGATATCACATGCTATATAAAAACCTGATTTTAGCAAGTAATGATCGATTGAAAGGTTTTGAATTGACTAATTTACTAGAACTATATGACATGGTTTCGCTTTTACAGTGTATATTGTGTATTTTTAATATGAAATGGTGTATGCGCCCGTTGCCATTAGGGCATGTTGCATTAAGATTTTTGATACAGAGTGCCGGAAAGAGTGTCCCTGAAAAAAAAAAGTTTGTTTGTAAACTACTCAAGTTTCTATTTTTTTCAATTCTTACATCATTTTAGAAAGCTCATTTTCTCTTCTTTCATATGCAGGGGCGGATCTAGCTTTTTGCCAAAGGAGGGGGGGAGGGGGGGTTTGAACCAGTGGCGGATCCAGGATTTTCAAAAAATCGCGCCGTTTTTTCTTTTTTTTCTTTCACTTGGCTGCCCAGGGGGGGGGGGGGGGTAAACGGCCGAAACACCCCCCCCCCCCTAGATCCGCCCCTGATACGACCCACGACTATGAGGAAGAAGTCATGCACGGCCAATTTAAGAAAATCTGAAGCAGAAATGTCAGAAACACATTTGTCCAAAATAAACGAATGGCTGCTACATTTTGTTCGTTAGGATTTTTAAAGGAAAGAAAAGGGATGTGGAATTATTTGTCATTGGAAATACACATCATTCGAAAGCTCATAATCTTATCTTCCACACGGCACCATACATATAATGGAAGGATCACTCTGGGACCGAGCAGGCACACTGATTGATGGGTAAAATGACATTTGTTGAAGTGCCTCATTTCATTTTCTAAAACAAAATGGCATGTGCCTAATCAATAGCAACGTATATGCTACCTGTTCGGTCAAGCTTGATCCTTCCATTGTGATTTTCGTATACAAGAAGAGAATATGAGCTTTCAAATGATGAGTTTGTTTAACGATTATTAATTATACATCACTTGCTAACATTCCAAAACCATAATCCCAAATGTAACAGCCATCGACTTGTGTTTTACAATTAGGTTAGGTTTCTGACTTTGCCACTTCGGGCTGTCCGAAATTAGTCATGCGTGACTAATTTGTCATGATTTTGTTGCCTTTATGAAAGAAGGGAAATTGAACTTTCCAATTATGATTCAACGGCAAAGGAATAATTTGATATTACGAGTTATTTACCTGTAAACTTGGGTTTCCTTTTTCAGGGACACCCTTTTTACAGATCGTGATTTTTCAAAAGGAATGTGGATTATGATATGAAGAATATATGTTTTCGTATACAGCATTGAGAATGCTTGAATGTGTGTTATCTCATTATGAAAAAGAGATAAATTAATAAACAGTTACATTTCCATAAATAAATTCTTGATATTGTACTAGTTGTGTTGATATCTTGACTCATGGGGAGCTCTTTCATGCTGCAGAGAATAGGATTTCGCTATTTAAAACAAAAAAATCAATAACCCTTAAACTTCAGGAGATCACGAAAATGGATCCTTAAAAGACATTTGATTTTCCTTCTATCGTTTGTTAGTTTGTTTGTACGTTTGGTTCTTTCTTCCTCATTTTCTTATCTCTATCTATCTATCTATCTCACTGATCAAATAAGAAGATTGATATTATAAGAGGGATTTTCCCTGGGATTTTTTTTTAAATTTCAAAACAGAACACCAGTGCTTCTCAAAGTCCGGACCACCCGGGACAGTGTCTTCATTTGCTTTTTTTAAAGGTACAGACTTTTCAAAGTGTTCAGGAAATTTAAAGAAAAAAAACAAAAGGAATGTAAGAAATCCTAAAAATTTAAGAACTTCCAGGACTCCCGACAAAATCTCCGCCCCCTGCACCCCATCCGTAAAAATATTAATGGTTCCCAAGACGTCCTTTTGTTGCATAAAATTGTCGTTGGGAGATAGTGTGGGTTTTATGTAGTATAAGCTTGTGACAACCACTCCTGTGGACTTTTTATTATTTACACAATATAATGATAATAATAATAATAATAGCTAGTTCTTATATAGCGCTTTTCAGGACCGAAGGCCCTCTCAAAGCCTTTACAGATATATTTGCTGCCTCGAGATCACGGAAGCGAAGAAAAAGTAAGTTATCAAAGCAGAAATTCATCCTTGTTTCTTTGTTTTCTTGATTCTTCCAAAGCTTGGCTGATAGAGGCATTGACTATTTTTAAGTACCAGATTAAGATACTTGTGTTTGGTATGCCCATCAAACTGGGAAGTAGTGTCTCTGAACCGATCCATGTCAGTAATTTAGTCAGACCAGGGAGGTGAAAGAAAAGGAGGCGAAACTCTTGTAATTTATTCAAACGCATTCTTGAGTTCTAAGGCGTAACAATGGGATGTGTAACATTCCACTTGGCTTTGAAGTTCCATGCTCCGAACCGCGCTTCCACTGCGGGGACTTTCGGAAGCCAGGCACCAGTTTTACATTTATTACAAAATATTAAATTACCGGCAAAATTTTAGTGTAAATCAAAAACTTTATATGGGGATTTTATTGGGAATAGTGCATCAAACAAATTTTCAAATTTAAAACTCCGTCCTTCCTTTAATTTGTGTGCCAGAGTTGGTAAAAGAAAAATTACATCCTGTCAAAAACTCAATATTTTAGGATGATGCGCTAATTTGTGCATGCTTTAATGTCCCGTTATTTGATCCATGGTTTACAATCTTCAATAACATTAAGTTTGCTAATGCGTGTTTTCGCGTGTTTTTTGTATTTTTCAAGTTTAAAAAAGGATGAAAGTACACAAGTTTGTGTTCGCTTGTTCTACTCTTTACACATTCAACAATGGATGAGAAATCATTGGAAGGGACAGCGAACAGTTGCAGTGATACCATTTTCTGATGTAGGAATTCTAACTCCTAAAATGTCATGCGCTCTTTTATCTCACCACCTGGTCAACAGTTGCAGATTAGCGCATAACTTTTCGGCGGCTTGGAGCATGGGGTCAAAGGAGAGCGGCTTGATTCCAGTCCTTCTCTATCACGTCCCTGGTCAGACGGTGCGATACTTTCTCCCTTCTCTTTAACCTGTACATGGATGGTCTATGATAGCTGATCATTTGAATGTTTGTAACAAAAAAAAGGCTGTGTAGTTGGTGGTATATGGTAGTCAATCATTCCAGACGATCTCGTTATTATTAGCCCGTCAACTGGTGGGTTGCAGAGTTTGCTCAAGACTTGTTCTGATTATATATGGAGATGATAATGATGTCAGATATAATGCAAAAAAAGAGTCATGTTATGATAATTAGATGTAAGGAAAACCGTAAATTGGTCAAAACAGTTTTTTGAGCGTCAAGTAACGCCTGGCTCTAATGCACCCCAGGGAGTGGAGATTGTGCACACAGTGTGCGCGGGCAAGTATTGAATCCTATGACCGGATGAATAGTACAGTGGCGGATCCAGGGGTGGGCCGAAACGGCCGCGGCCCCCC